AATATGAAGAATAAAAGGGGGTAAGATGCAAAGTAGAGACGCAAAACAACAGCTGCTCGCTGATAGAAAGATATCGCGCGTTGACAGTAGACGCAAAGACGATTGCAAATGCGGTTTACTCTACTTTTGTCGAGATGAAGATTTTAATCAGTAGGCCTTTAAGAGGGTGAGAAATTGCAAATTATTTTAATAATTTCTTCAGAAGAACGTAACATAGGAGTTCTTGTCAAGTTCCGCCTTTATCTTTAACTTTCCTCTCCCAACGGATTTTCAAAACTCCACCTTCCTGCGTGACCAAGTAAGACCAACCAGAACAGATTTGAATACCAAGGCTTCGCAATATTTATTTTTAAGGTTCCTAAATGACAACTCAAATCATGAGTGAGATGAAGTTCATTCTAAATTGACTGCCACTTATTTTCAAACACCAAACTGCATTGCGATGCTTAGCATATGCAAGACACCATGTGGTCAGATATTTCAGCATTAGCAAGTGCTATTGAACTTTTCTTTCAGTTTTTCTTCTAGGTTTTGACTCTTTTGTTTTGCTTTGCTAAACAAAAGTAATGATTTTTCAACAACACATACTACGTCTTTCATGCCTTTCATTAATTTTTAACAGAAAGGAAAGTTGAACATTATTTAAACTGACCAATAACAATGACTCTCCCTGATAAGAAGACCACCACCAAATTAAACTGAAACAAATTGGGCTTCGCGTAGAATGTCGCTTGGAGAAATGACAGGATAGCGTATGGAGCTGCACCCGATAGGATTGTGCTGTGAAAATCAAAGAAACGGAAAGTTACTTGTTTCTAGTACTTACTCTTCAAAACTGTCATTTTCAAACAAGACGTGGGGGACTTCACCAGGGGTAAGAAAATTATTGAAGGAATATATCCCGTTCAAAAAAGATTTAAAACATCTTTCACTCAAAATTACGCTAAAGGAAAGCTTTCACGTTTTTGACTTTCCAAATTACATTTACGTTCGTTATTTCTTGAAAAACCACTACTGTAGCCTCTTGGACATAAAAAAACGCGAAAAAGAACAGAACGTCACATAGATAGCGACCTAACTGACTCGATTTCTGTTAAAAAAAAAAAAAAGCGCGGAAGAGATAAATAGGTACTTCTTAAATCTCTAAAACATTTTCAAACTTTTTTTTTCGTCAAAAGATCTTACAAAGCTGTGCATGCACGTTGTTTTCACCAAAATTCCAGACAGGAAGGGATTTATTCTTATCAATACCAGGATCTCAAGGTCCTTAAAAAGGTCAAATTCAGTAAGATGATAACTTCGTTTCATTTCCTAACAATTTAAAAATTAGATATAATTAGCCATTAACTTGTCCGGGTGCGTAGCTTGAGAAGATGACTTTTCAACGTTTTCCGGTGGAAACCTTGTCGCCCTATAAATTTCATATGGCCGTCTTACATTCCTGGTTCAGTTTTCTGAAAGTCACACTGTTTTCACTTTTGTTATTCACTGTGTAACGTTTCAACAGTTGTTAAAAAGGCGTAAAATATGGGAAACTAAGGAAGAAAGCCAAAAACTCAGCTGAAAATATTACAAAGAAACTATATGGTACCTTCAATGCCAATGTAATATTGATAAAATCAACATAAAATCAAATATGTTACGAAAGACAAGTTTTCATCATTGTCATCCTCTATTCAAATCGTCTCATGAATAACTATTATAAGCATTAAAGTATGTCAACCGTCCACAGATGTTCTTAAGGCAGGAAAGGATGATCTATTGAAGTTTGCCAGCTTATATATTTTTAGAGGATCTAAATATCAAACTCGTGCTTTTCATCACGACGAGGGTGGGTGTGGTTTTCGTCTTCCCTCCACCGTGGCACTTTAAGTGATATCTTATGAACTAAAAATTAGGCAATCATTCCTCGGTTATGTGTTCCCTATGAGCGATAAGAGCGGCTGGACGGCGCGTTTGATGTTTTTGCCGTGGAATTCACCAACATCCGCTGATCTGCTTAACAGCTGAGAATAAAAAACTTTTCTTCAATCAAAGGTGCAGGCACTCCGCTAGAAAAAATGCTGACATTTATGTTTTAAACATATGAAGGACGGTGAGATAACTCTTAATGGGACCTTAAATGGTTTCAAATATCAAAACGTTCCCAAGGATTCATCCAGTATTCAGCAACGAAAAAAAATCTTCAACAAAAATGAGACTTGGACATAGGCTATGCATGAATTTTTGAAATTCTAGCTAAAAGGTCCTAAATGGCTTAGCAAGGAGGAGTGCCTCCATAAAGATTTTCTTGCGATCAGAAGGATCTATCGGCCCACAGTATGCTGATCGCTTTAATCGATAAAGTTTAATAATGTTTTTTTTGTGTTGTTGTTGGCTTGTTTCCGTATCTATTTAAAGCTTGGCCACCTTGAAATAACATATTAGAGCTTTGCTTACGTTTTAACTCATAATCAGTAGGTAACGTTTATTTATATGCAAAATCTAAACGCAGTTTTATAATGTGGGTTTGTCTACTTAGCTTTGTTGGGTCTATCGGGGTGTCACTGAGTCCTTGAGAGTCTTCGAGAGTGATTTGTGGGTAAACAGGGATTGATGGTTGTTTGTACTCCCGAAAGTACATCGAACGTGACTTAAGAGTTTTCTCTGGGGTACATTTTATTGAGACACAGCTCATGGAAAGATCAAAAAAATTTTTTCTTTTGTTTTCTTGTAGAAAAAGGGTCATAATTATAATAAAAGTTGCGGTTAAGTATGAGTTACAATCATATTATTGTTAACGTCTTCCAAGGTCTCGCGTGTTCCTCGTCAAACCTACGTGCCACGTACTTCGAGGATTGATTCCACTGCGCCTTGTAAGATGCATTTGAGAGCCTGTTCTCTTAAAATTGCTCAGGATATGGAAGATGAATGTTTCCGTTTCTTACACGGCGTAAGCTCTCTTCCGTCTTTAGCTACCCTGGGGAAGACAATGGCTTGTAGACAGTTAATAGAGGTATTTAATTTCAAGTGGTTTCATTCCATATAAAGAACAAAAGAGGTGACATGTGATCACATCTTCGCTTTATTTCTTACACAGTATAGAATAAGTAGAAAAAAAAAACCCATTTTTATAAGGCCAGAAACAGCTCCTTAAATACCAAATAAAGAGTAACCTTTGTTATCGCATTCAGACCTTTCGCAGGCAATTACTCCGAAATAACAAAATTAGAAGACCTTCGCGGGAAGGGTACACAAATCAAGGAATTCGTGAATGCACGGAATCGTAATTAACGGTTAATCGGATGCATTTGAGATTCATTTAAGTTCAAATCTCTCGTCCGTGGAAAGTGATTCCTCAATAAGGGCAGAGGTTGTAGAATTTCTCGCGGCTTTGCCTATATATCTCTAATTTTGTTCTTCGTATGTTAACAGCCGTAATAATTGCAGCATTCTTTAAGATGTGTTGATGGAAACATTTCCCTTTGCTTATCATTAGATCTCAAGATAACAACGGAACTGCTTTGAACACGACATTGTTGCGACGGTTTTACGAAATACCTTAGCGTGGAGAAAGGTCGGACTGAGTTGGTCAGTAAATTTAGAGATCAGATGGCTTCGTTCTATTTACAAAATATCAGGTTGAACTCCCTAGGCGGTTCACAAGTTGAACTTGTTGAGAATCTTTGTTTCACAGATTTCTCTACGAATACGAATCAGCACCAAAGGGGTACCCAGGTAATGAACAAAAAGACAGCCAAAAGGAACCTCTCGTCACGTTTCAAAGGCATCAGATCGTTTAATTGAATGTTGAAAATGTTTCCATAGAGGCTGATTTGACGATTACTAATATTTACATGCACTGACAAGCAATTATTCGGTAGTTACACAGATTTTTAATTCGTAATGAATTCCACTCTAAATTCCTGGTTAGCTCTCAAAACCAAATGATTACACAGATATAGGAAACAACCCTGAAATATTGTTTCCTCTTTTCACAAATGCGACAGGGGCTAAACAATTTTAAATGAAAACTGCCTTGAAAGAACCTCTCTTTCCAATCAGTGAAGGCAACAGTTGCACTGCGCCAAGATTCAAAGATGTAACCCTTTGTGTCATCGAGAGATTTCGTAATTAAAATGATAAAGCATCGTAACAATGTATTGTAACGCCTCTAACTTCTTTAGTTACACAACTCCATCTACTTTAATAGATCCTTTGAATTAATTATTTGTTATGTACATATGAGGATAATAGAGCGGGAACTTTAAAAGAATTAACCGCTAATCTTCAAAGAAAACCGTGACTAACCCAAAAAATCTAATGACCGTCAACCTATGCCGCAACCATAGATAAAAACTGGTCAAAGGCACACCAAACCTTTTTGTTAAAACCTAGGCCAATTATGTCATTAACAACGAACGCCCATGGTAGTCTGCTTGAGAGTCTTTTATCTAAAATCTTAAAATGTGACAAATTTGCCGAAATCTTACCAGGTATAGACACAGGCCTATGTCCTTTTGTAATGAAGTAAGAAATAAGTGCTAAACTCCTAAAGTGCTCAACTAGACTCTTGCAACGTCACAGTCGTGACTTAAAGACAGTGAGTTGTTTGAGAAGTGACGTGAATCAGCTCTAAAGCCTGTAAAGTACATAGATCAAACTAATCATTGAACTATTAGAGCCGTCAAATTATTTCAATGTCAAACTGAAATCACGCTGACACTGCTTAGCTCACGCTTTATTGTGTTTCGTTGTTCGGTTAGGCAAAGCGATCCGAGTATTTTAGCGAGTGATGTTTTGTCACAGCACTACGTTGTATCGACCTCCCACCACTAGAACCTCGTAGAATTGTTCTTAGGGCTAGTTTCTATGTGTTACGCATTTCCTATGAAGGTTTTTTCTAGAGCGCCTTAGTATTAATGGAATGAGTACATAAGCAAGTGTTAACTATTTGACACCGGATGTGCAAAGAATCACATTCTAACTTGAACAAATACGCTATAGAAAAGAACGCTACAAAGCGTTTGACTCAGAAAGAAAGCAGAAATGACAGGAATGCCAGAAGACAAAATTTCTGTCAAGGAAAATTCAAACACTTCATTAAAGCTAGAAAATGTACCTGCGGAATCGCAATGCGACAAATCACCGCGCCTTGCATAGTTTAACTAAACCACTAACAAAGATTTTTAAAAGCTTAACGATTTATCCAAAATGACTACAAAAACAAAGCGCGTTAATGATAATTTTAAGCCACAAATTAAAATCCCCTTTCGCGGGTAGTTCTTTTTCAATAGGGCTATTGGTTGGTCTTCTTATTAACAAGCCATTTTCAGTTTTTTCAGTCTCATAAGCCTTCCTCGTAAAAGATCCCCCATCTCTGATAGTTTTCAGCCTCAGGGAAATTGAAGTCAAACTCAAGAGCCTCAAGCTTTAAGAATATTAAATCGACCCACCAATTGCAATTTGCCCTTTCTCATTTTTCGACGATAAAAGTTCCTAAGCCTTGCTTTTCACCTTAGCTTTCCTCTGGTACGTCTGACGAATCCGGATCTGCTGTAGATGGTGTCTTAAAGGAATACATTTTGGTTAACTGTCGCGTGATATGACGGTGAGTCTTTCTCGCTTTACCCTCGATTCGTGCGCATTGCCGCAACACCTTCTTGCAACTCTGTCTGAAGTAGTCGTCAAGTGCGCCGTATAGGTAAGGATTTAGACAGCTGTTGAGCCAAATACAGAAATGTGAATACTTCATGAGAATACTGAAGTACGGATTGTTTGCTCCTGAGCCGTAATCCAACCAGAAAAACAGCACATGATTCGGCAGATAGCACAACGCGAAACTCGCAATTAAAACGATCAGTAGTCGAATGAATTTCTTGTGATTTGCTTTGGTTCTACTATTGGTAGATTTTCTACCTTCTAAGCCTTCATCTCTTCGATAAAGCACCGTGGCCATTTTACTGTAGGCGATTCCCATGATAACCAAAGGTAGGAGATATTCAGCCACAAACAGATACAAAGTATACCCTTCTTTTAGGATTCTGTCGGTGGGAGGATTCCCCCAAAGCTCTTCACAGCTGAATTTGTTGTTTTCACCTTGCACTGTATGATTCACGTCCATGACAATGATTTGTGGAAGAGCGGACATAAAGGCGCACAGCCAAACCAGTGCGAGAAGCAACTTGACCCTCCCGAGGGTCAATCTAGCTTTCATTGGATAGACAATGCCCATGAAGCGTTGTAAAGTAAGGGTTGTTAGACTGAAGATTGAAGCACCCTGGCATAACAAGCTCAGAGCTGGGATAAGCTTACAAACAGCAGTGGATCCGAAAAAGCCAAACGGATACTTCCCTGTCTCGTAATAGAGTAAGGTGAAAGGCATACACACGAAACCTACCGCCATGTCGGCAATCGCTAGACTCATCAAAAACAGGCCGTAATAGTAGTTCCTGAAACTTCGCAGCTTGCGCGTTTTCCTTACAGCTACACACACGAGAATGTTTCCTGCCATGTTGAGCACTAGAATTAGAATGGATAGCGCCAGACGAATTACCAACGATGGAAAGGGCTCGGGGACTTCAAGGCTGGTAGAGGGAGGCACTGTGGAGGGAATCATCTCTTTCACTGACAGAGAAACAGAAGCCGCGGAATTTTTCCAAGTTTCACTAGTGGTGAACGGAGAAGGTTTAACTGAGGTCATGATGTGAAATGAATGAACGCATCAGATCTTTGGCGTTTGATGTCCACTGTTATCATCAAATAAATCTTGAAGCCGCACTAATCTCGTACACGCAGCTACGCAAATGAGCACTGTCTACTTCTTGGCGGTGAAAACGACGTGAGTTGGTTACTTGTGTCTGTTTCAACACGATATGGGTGATATTAACCTGAACTCGGCGGTGAAATTCGACTCAGCTGAAGCGCACGATTTTGATCGATTCGTTATCTGCCGCATCAAGTCAATATTCAAGTGTGTCGCGTTCACAATGTCGCGATTGACAGGAGAACTTAGAGACGTGAGGGATTTACTTTTTTGACAGCTTAAGCCGCGATGATTTGTCTAGCGAATAATTAACGCTGAGATCTTCCGCAGGATGAAAAAGGCCACATTCACAGTGAGAGATCCAATATGAGTGAGGAGTTCAATTTGAATGATGTTAGCACTGATGCTAATGAACAGAAAATTAAAGTCAACAAACACGTTAGATTTTCTTAAAAACACTCTACCTCTCGTCACCCTAGGGACCAAGTTGCTATTGCTATCAAGGGGTAGGGAAACTAAACGCAAACTCGACCAATGAACGGACTTAAGTTTTGTTTGAACCACTGCTGTTGTGTTGAAATGTAAACTGACTTTCCTTCGAAAGTGAAACTTTCATCTTTTTATTGAAAACTCGCAATCATTATAAACACAGCCTTTTTACCGAGTTACGCACCACTAATCCCGAGAAATCTCCAAGGTTAAATCATGGAAATTTAAGACGACCCCTTTATACCAAGGAGAGATAAGCGTATTTACAAAACAAATTCTAAAGAGCCGAGATTCTCTGTTATCCGGTATTATTGCGTCATTTATCAAGTAACCAACAAAGGAAATTTTTTTCCACCTTTTGATAAATTCCTTTCTTTGAATTTCTAAAGGTAACTTTCTTATAGCAAATTTGATCTGCCGCGGTCCTTGAGAAGTCTGTTAGTAGTAAGATATATCGAGACCTTTCACTGATATGTGCGCTTTCCTTACTTCATTATACATATATTCTGTTCTTTTTCTTTACTTTATTATACATATAAGGTATTCTCTTTTGTATCAACGCTGTATTAATGAGCTGCTCGTTGACTAAAATATAATTTCTTAGTCGAAAATTAACATTTAGGATTGGAAATATAGCAAAATGGTGAAATATTGTTAAAGGCCATTTTAAGGCTGACGATATTTTTGTCAGTAAGTTCGGAAGTGATGGTGGGTCTCAGATAACAACCACCAACCAACAATTCAGAACAAAGTGAGACTGAAGGTATCGTAATTAAAGAAAACAATTACTTCGAATATGCCCATGGGATTGAATGGATATTACAGAAAATTTCAAAAGACTTCAGCTCTTGACAGCATGTAAACGTTCGTTTTGATTGTAATTAAATCACGTGGTGTCGTGCAAAAGAAAAACATCATCAAAGCACAGTTGATGTTATCGTATGCTGACTTGGAAAGGGAAGCGTGCCTTTGTGTGTTTTTGTCGGTCATTGTGTTGTCTTTATACGATTTTCGACCAATAATATTTGAGCGGTGTTATTAATCCTTTTGACTACGCACGGGAAAAGGCAAATGTTTTTTTTTTGGTGAACTTCACAGAATTGAATGGAATGCTACAAATGTAACGTAGACGCTATTGTGTTTTTACAAGCATTGCACGACCTGCTTTTAGAAGTTGTGTGCTTGTCCGCATATATAGTACAAGAACGCGAGGATATTTAATGGGGAGAAAGATTAATTCCAAGCTTGACGACTTCTTATCTCCGTCAGTGGATATCACAGGAAAATCTGGTCCATTAACCGCACTATCAAATAGACCTTAGGATATCTTTTTTAACTGGATCATCACCACTGGCGCAGAGCATGAGAAGGGCAAATGGCTTGTACTCGATGACTGAAAGACATTGGCAATAAATCAGTGATTCACTTCCTCATGAATCGCTTCAATCCTTTTACGCAGAAATAATTCAAACAAGAGCTGAAATTCATTTTTTTATCTTCATCTAAAACCTTTTAAAAAAATCGCTTTCCTATGAAATATAGAAGTTGGCAATTAAATTAACTCTTTCGGGTAAACTTCAAAAAATGACAAATGATGGTAACCTTTTTTCTTTTATTTTTTTTGTCAACAGTATTTACACTAGTGATTAGTGCTATATCTCATTTGAAAGAGGACAAAATTAGCTTTTCAGAAAAAATATATTTAGCCTCCAAAAATCCATGGATTTTAAATCATGCTAAGAAAATGGCATACAATTTGCATAAATTATTGTACAACTTTTGACTTTGAAACAGCCTGAGCCTGAATGGATTTGAGTAAAAAAGGAAATATTTCTTAGATAAAATATTCCTTATCTTATGGGCAAGACATCCAGAGACTCTGGCTGAAAAAGAACAAATATGGAATTAATTAGAATTTTTTTCCAAACTGTACCCCAAAACCATAAAAATTGACCCAGATTATTGAAAAATTTATTCCTCACCAAGTATTTACACAAGGGAAGTAAGCTATACCTCACTTGAAACAGCAGTAAATAAGCTTTCCTGAAATGCATGTTTCCTCTCCAAGAAAAGGAAACAACCTCATTGAATGCTTTCAAACTAACTTTAATTAGCATAAAATATCATCTAAATTTGAACTGTGAATTAAGTGATACCCAAATAATACAAAGTAATAAGGCAAAAATTAACTTAAGAGGTTCCTTGTTATATGGGCAACTTCTCCATAAAAAATTGGTTAGAAGATAACAAATCTGAGACGTGTTACACATATCTTGTCAACACTGATTGACACACTGACTAATTAGTCTGACCACATCATCACCCCAAGCCCAAATTTACTAATCCCTCTTGAAGTCTACAGTGCAATCATTGGAACTATATTTTTTTGTTTGACTTCTGGAATTTTGCCTTGAAACAGGGACAGATGAGATAATCAACCTCAAAATACATAAAGTGCAACATATATCAAAAGCCTTTCACGTGCAATGCAACACCAGTATTTTCAAGAGTAAACAATTCAGAAGTGAAATGCCCAAATTAACTAATCCCTCTTGAAGTCTACAGTGCAACCATTGGAACTATTGTTCTTTGTTTGAAGATTGACATACGGACTAATTAGTCTGACCTTATCTTATCATCACCCCAAGCCCAAATTTACTAATCCCTCTTGAAGTCTACAGTGCAACCATTGGAACTATATTTCTTTGTTTGACTTCTGAAATTTTGCCTTGAAACAGGGACAAATGAGATAATCAACCTCAAAATACATAAAGCGCAACATATATCAAAAGCCTTTGACTTGCAATGCACCACCAGTATTTTCAAGAGTAAACAATTCAGAAGTGAAACCGGAAACTGTCATTTTTTTTTTCATTCCACTCATTCTCGAACATAATTTGTTTGTTTTGTGAATTTTCAGCATGTAACAAGTAGAACCACATCTAAAAAACATACAAAACATATAAGATAATGTACAGGTCGATATATATTCAACTATCGTTCTAAAAATAAAAGATTTTATTTGATTTAGTTCGGACGCACACTGCGTCATATCTGTCATCGCCTGATAATTTAGGTCGTTGCGTTCTAACATTCCATTGAAGATTATTTTCTCTGTCGCTCAAAAATCATGTTTGATCATAATATATGTTGCTTTTCATTCATAAATATACATTTACAGGGTTGTCTCAAGGCAAAAAACAAGGATTCGTGCGCGAAAAGTAAAAGTAAATGTTTCAACACCACATGCGTCACGCAATTAAATATCGCAAGAATGTTTACAGATTACTTACCTCGATTCTTCGCTAAGATTTTCCAGTTTTCTTTCTAATTCGGATTCCTCACCACTAGAGATACCACCATGCTCACTTCCATCGTCAAAAATCACCTCTAAAGGCTTAGCTAAGCTGTATCTCTCGCGTTTCGCATCGGACGCCATTATCGCAGACTGAAATCGTTCGCAAATAATTTTCGGATCGGGCTCCCGAGGTCACGTTTGATAGTTCGGAGCTAAAACTCGCCATGTGATTGGCTTAGAATGTTTACATGCTACAGCCGAAATTTCAGAGCGATCGGATGTAATCCGAGCATTTCCGAAAAGGTCAACGTCATCGTGCAAGACAAGGATGGCAAAAAGGAAATCTTTTGTCAGCGTAGACACTTCCAAAAATTATGTCGTAGAGGGCAACAGATCGATTTTTACGAATTTTGAAACCACTTCATAAGCCTACTTCGCTAATAAGAAAATAACGTCAACTTCATTAAAAGTTTTAGTAACAAGATATTCACGTCCGCACGAGATAGTGGGAGGCATTACTTTGGTGTGCGGTTTAGAGTGAGTTTTTTCCATTTCCTAAAATCCCTCTGCAATGCAAGCCTTACGGCAAAATCTAGTCGGGGTTCTATTTGTTTCTGAAAGTGACTTCATGTTGACATCTTGATATCTCTGATCACCCTTCTTCCGCGTTCATCGCTGCTTGAGACAGGATATCGATTTTTAATTTTTTTATTCGACATTAACTTTAAGTCATCTGTTTGACAGGAAGCGCTAGTGCAATTTATTTCATGCACGAATTTGAAATCTGAATTTAAAGTGAAAAGCATATGTTTTTTCTCAGCTTCGTTCTCCAGGAAGTTTTCCTTGCTAATAGTATATTCCGACCCAGTTTACGGATAAAAGTTTCATCATTTAACATCCCAGTATTTTTAACCCTTAGTTCTGGCGTAGAAATTACTATCAATCCAAAAAAAGGCTAATAATATTAAAAAGAAACTCACCGAAACACGCGACGATGCTTTAATACCTTATACTTTGATTCACATAATGAAAACACTACAAATATTTAAACAAGACTCATCTATGAAAAAAGCCGGTGTCTTCTTAAAGCAAACCTTTCATGTATCGAGCAAAGGAACCGCGCGTAAATAAATTGACCTGAAATAAAGCCTGGAATTACACAAGAAGAAGAAGCCTACCTTGCTCAAACTTAATAATTTGGAATTAACGGATGTGGAAGTTGCAGTATGCAAAATGAGTTTTAACTGACCATTATTGGCGTCGGAAAATGATATGAATGAACTTTCAGAGGTCTTCGCTTCGGGATTTAAGATTTTGCAGCCTATTTACTCGGTCAGTTGCACTTGTGGATGGATCTACAGCCAGTTATGAGAATTTGGTGTTAGATGAGAATAGCAAAAATCTAACTGATAAATTTGAGTGTTCTCATCCTCTGTTTGCTGGACAATGTTAGGAAAATTACAGGGAAAAGTTTCATGTTAATCTCTCCTGGGAGTTAAAGGGTTAAGCACTAGAGCGACTAACTGTCAGTGCATTTTGCCAAAGACTTTCGAAATAAATGTTCGTCATCTTGGCCAAAAAAATACTCAACAGCCAATCAGACTGAAGTCGATCCCAACGTTTTGCGTGATTTTTCGCAATTATGTATAATCTTCAGAGAATTATTTGTCGCAGTAAATTCTTATCAGCTAATATCAAGTCATCCCATGGGGAAATTTATTTCTTTTTGATCGAAAGCTATTGCTTCTGAATTACCTTCTTTCCAAAAACTAAGAAAAATTACCGTGTAAAGGGAAACAATTTTGTGGTCAGTCTTGTCAGATGAAAACAGAATTCATCAAACTGTAGGAGAATCTTTCTTTGTTGTTGCTATTGTTGCAAAGACATCCCGTACCTCGTCAAAAGAATGCCTCTTCTTAATAATTGAAGACTACGCAGTCTTACCTTTCTTTCATAAAATTACCTTCTACATTAATTTTTCTATGAATGTGTGATTTTAAAACTGTAGACTGCAAGCATAATTTTTATGTCCTCATTAACGCTTGCTAAACAGATATTTTGAGTTTGTGGTGACTGGTATGTATAGAGACTTGAGGTTGTAACTTGGCAAGCTTCAAATCAGTTTTACGATACACAAAGCCTTACAGGCTCCTCTGACTTTCAAAGATATAGATACTTATTTTATTTAGCATAGTCAATTTTCGGTATTTTATTTGTATTTCGAATGCTAAACGAGGAAAGACTGAAAATATGAACAGTGACACTGGAAAAGATGCCGTCAAAGGTAACGATTTAGGAAGGAAAATTACATGCTTTGGGTATTCACTTGAGAAGATGACATGTCAATGTGCATGTTTTAAATATAAAGAAAATTACTGTCGTCTATTATGTCCTCATTAACACTTGCTAAACAGATATTTTGAGTTTCGTGATGATTGGTATGTATAGAGACTTGAGGGTGTAACTTGGCAAGCTTCAAATTTTACAATACGCAAAGCCTTACAAGCTCCTTTGACTTTCAAAGATATAGATACTTATTTCATTTAGCATAGTCAATTTTCGGTATTTTATTTGTATTTCGAATGCTAAACGAGGAAAGAAAAATACGAATAGTGACACTAGAAAAGATACCTTCAAAGGTAGCGATTTATGAATGAAAATTACATGCTTTTGGGAATTCACTTGAGAAGATGACATGCCAATGTACATGGTTTAAACACAAAGAAAATTATTGTTGTCTATGGGCTATTAAGCAAATTGTGCAATCTTTCCTTGCCACGCCCTGAACAAGGAGTTACGTAACCCACCAGCAGAGTGTAAAAAGTTTAAATCGCTCTGGACCTGGCACCCTGTCTACTATGAATAGCTTGCATGATTTTACTTCAAGTTCAAAGACAAGATCTCACTTTAGTGGCTAAAAAATGAGCTTCTGTAGAAAGTTTTCATGATTTTGCCTGGAGTATAAAGAGGGAAGCAGTTTTCAAGCGGTTGGTAGTTCTTCCGACGCCCTGGCCTGGTACGTTAGTGAGAGATACATCTCTGAAACCATGACGAAGATTTATTTACTTATTTCTTTGGTCATTCTACTGTTTGTGAATGTGTGTTGGTGCCAGTGCCGTTGGGCAAACTGGCGGAGCTCGTTTGACAGAGCAGGGTGGTCCAAGTGTGGATCAACTACTGAATACCTGACAGGTTTTTATCGAAACTCTAGGAGTGCAAGCGACCCTATTCATCTTCTGGATGAGGGAAACTGCTGCAATGCTCCTGCACCAAACCAGAATCGGGCTTCAACGTGCCAAAACGCAAACTGGTGGAAACAGTTGGACAGGTTTGTGAACAAGTGCAAAAAATTTAGGCAGCATATTTCGTCGGCTTGCCCTCGACATTATGCCAGTCGTAGAAAAATAGCGAAGGGTTACCCAGAAGTATTTCACTTCCTAGGCATTCTTGTCTCTTGGGCGAGTTATGGTAAAATTTCCGCACAGCCCCATCCTACATTATGCTTCAGTTCTTAGATAGAGAAAACAATGACAAAAACAATACATTGCCATTGGGAAAACAGATTTGTTCTACAATAGTATAGGACTGTGCGGAAATTTTTGCCGCGAGTTATGTTAAGAGCGAATATCATCGCCCGAAAACGTAACGAGTATGCGTGACGAGTGTTTAGTGAGGTTTTTCAAAATGCTCATCTGATATTGCAAGCTGTGACAAGCTTTTCTTCTTTAAATAAAACGCTTCAGTTATTCCCCGCGGGAAAACTTTCAACAACAAAGTTAAATGTTGCAACCTCGTACTGCTTTATATTTCGCGTGTCCTATAATTAGAGCTCCAAAATTTTTAGATCGTAAATGTGAAGAAAGTATTTTGCATTTTGGTGTCTATGCTTTACCAATGAACTCCTTTTAGTAATGTTTAGTTCTCTGGATTCACCGCTTTCTTCTTGGGTCAAGTAAAGACTTGTTTGCTAAATCAGTCATCCTCATATCCTCATATCCACTTGTTCTCATTAATTTTTTTCAGGAATAAAGAATGGGCATTTTGTCCGACAGGATACTTCTTGCAGGGATTATACCGCACTAGTAACCACAACATTCACAACATTGAGGAAGGTCGTTGCTGTAAACCCAATAACCTGCCAAACAGCTATCTCCACTGTTACACTCACGACGTCAGCAAATCATTCGACAACAAAGGCTGGAGTAAATGCGACAGCCAATACTACATGAGGGGCTTTTACAGGGGAGGTTGCGATAAGTTGCACTGCATAGAGCTATTCCAGTGTTGCATGATGTATGATGGCTGCAAATTTGCGAATTGGTGGAAAAGTTTTGATAGAAAAGGCTGGACCCAGTGCGACTCTGAGCAATATATCACTGGACTTTGGAGAAATATTAACTTGGGCTTAAGAGATCAAATCTACTTATTGGAGGAAGCTAAGTGTTGTTCAGCTCCTGCTCCATTCCAGAACGTCCAATCGACATGTAGAGAAGCCAATTGGTGGAGTGTTCTTGACAAGTAAGTGTACCATAATTTTAAAGTTTACCAAAGATTAATACTAGCAGGAATCGCGTGGTCTGTTGCGAAGACCAGCGTGCGCTTCGAGATTACGATGAAAAAATGATACACTTGGAAAAAACTGAAATTTAGCTAATTTGTACAATTTCGGATGCTCCGTTTTAGCCGATTTGAAAACCCGCAGTGATTCAATCGTTTAGTTTCATTTTTCATTTTGAAAGAGCCTCTCCAACAACAGGATGGCAAATATGGTAAGTTTTAAGCTCGGTAAGAAATAGAGAAATGTGTTTTGTCTTGTCACGAGCGTGGGACAAAGAAAAAATTCTGAGACCCCATGAAGAAATGAACCTCAGACCTTCGGATTCCGCGCTCCGATACTCTACCACTGAGCTCATGGGGACTCTGAATTTTATCTTTTTCCCACGCTCGTGACAAAACGAAAAACATCTTTCTTTGTATCATACAATGTTGACTATTCCATATTAAAACACAAACTTCAGTTCTAACATGATTCTCCTCTAACTAGAACAAACACGTGGGCGGTCTGTCCACTTGGTTACTTCCTACGAGGCTTCTACCGAAATGACGGTGCTTGGCTGCATCACATTGAGATGGGTAAATGCTGTAAGCCGAACATTTTCCCAGACAGGTATGAAAACTGCTACACCGAGAATATCCGCATTTTGTTTGACAAAAGAGGTCTCAGCCAATGCAAAAGACAAGGATACTATTTAGCCGGAATTTACAAAGGAGGATGTGACAAACTGTTCTGTATAGAGTCTTTCAAATGCTGTAGGATGAATATAGGTGAGGAACAATTCTTAATCTTTCAATATTTCCGTAAAGAGCAAGTTACAAGGAAATGATTCTGTACTGAATTTTATTTATATACCACTTTGTAGATGAATGCAGAATTAAAAATCCTTGTCTTAACGGTGCAGTGTGCTCCGACCAACCAGGAAGTTACAAGTGTACATGTAAATCAGGATATCGAGGAAAAAATTGCGAAAACGGTATTTGCAGTATCATAGATCATAAGGGACTGAATTTCAAATCAAAGGGCGTAGCGTATCAAAGCCTAAATTATCTTGGATAAATTTCCAATGTTTTGTTGAGCAAAGTATACATTTTTATGGATCCGTGATGGGAGGGATGTGTAATCACATCACTCGGAGTTACTCCTTACTAACGCTAGACTATTTAAAAAGGCCAACAACATAGATGCATAACAGAAAAATCCCCAAAATGTGGTTCGACTCCGCTTGACTCTAATAACGATCCTCCGCCTAGGGTTTTAAACTTCAGTCACTATCACTACAACGTTTTTGTTCAGAACTACTCTCACCCGTACGATCAGACTACACCACCACCTTTTAAACTAGCTTTTAAAATAATTGCTGTTAAAACTGAAGATCGTTCATTAAATTCTTTCACAAATCCTCTGCCATTGAAAAATTCCTGTCCACTTTTGTACTAGTAAACCAACCGTGCGTTTAATTAGTGCCTTGACAAAGCGTTTACTTCAATCGACAGATGTAAACGAGTGTGTGAATAACCCATGCAAGAACAGAGCTGCCTGTGTCAACCTTAAAGGAAGTTATCGCTGCGATTGTAAATTTGGCTATATCGGAAAGAATTGTCAAATTGGTGAGATACTCTCTATTAATTTCCTTCAATCTTGTTATGCAAATTGCATATGACTTTTTCTTTCCTTTTCAAATTTGTTATCCATTTATAAAGGAATTTTTGGTTTCGCTCGTCATGCATCACTCACCAGGGTTAGAAAATATTGTACCGTACGATAATTATAACAAAATTAGTCAAATGCGTATCCTCCTCCCCATCACTTTCCTCCAACTGCAATTCTTTATTAGCGAACTCGCTACATCACAGAATTGGAAACAAAAGTGGAAAACTATTTGTCAAACTTTTGACGAAGACTTACTTAATATTTTTTTTTTTTTTAAAATTATATTTCCATGGTGCAATATTTCGAATAGTCTAAAAAATAATTTTGAAGCAAATGTATTATTTTTACAGACATAAACGAATGTAAGAACAATCCATGCAAGAACAGAGCAAACTGTGTCAATCTCAAAGGAAATTACCGCTGTGACTGTAAAGCTGGATATACCGGAAAGAACTGTGAAACAGGTGTGATGCCGTGAATCTGCTTTAAGACAGAAAAAGGATTCTTAGTGAAGACCAGCAAAAAATTACATTGGATTAAGATATTCAGCATATTACTGAAAGTGCCAGCGGTAGTGACAAAAAAGAACGTGCCTTAACCAGGTTTTTTGATATTACAGACAAAACGCATCAAATTTAAATTCCGGAATAAATAGGTCTTTTCTTAATCTTCATTTCCTTCATTCTCTTTTGAAAATAACTGCTATCTTCTAATTGAAACAGATATAAACGAATGTGCAAATAAGCCATGCAAAAATGGAGCTGCCTGTATCAACCTCTTAGGAGCATATCGCTGTAATTGTAAATCTGGATACACTGGAAAGAACTGTGAAAGAGGTAAACAGTTGCAAGGATTGTTAACATATTTCAATAAGTACTGCATTTCAAGGTTAAAATAAGTATCTTCGATGTGTCTATTTGCCCCTTTAATTTTCGTTCCTAATTTAGACTACACAACCACCGTTGAAAGATATTTTATCATACATTTTAAGACATCCCTCGTCAAAAAATCTTAGTCATTCATGTTACTAGAGGGTCTCAATGGGATTTACCGTTATCCATAGTATGGCAAAAAAAGTAATAGGCCGTAGACTTTTAAAATTTCACTCCGACAAATCTTACACTGTTGTGTCTTGCCTTCTTACCAACGCAGGAAAGCAGAAAATTACTCCTTATCACACCAGCGGCAGCTCGACCTAGAATTTCCCTTGTTGCTTGACTCTAAGAGTAAAAGCGAACAAGTAAATATGTTTTAGATCAATGAAAGTTCCAAGTTATCGCTCCAATTACAAATCAAAATATACAGGAAAAAGACGCGAAACAGGTAGCTCAATTAATTAAAAATTTTCTCTTTGCGACAATGATGCCTTTTTACTTCCATTGCAGATATAAACGAATGCAATAATAATCCATGCAAGAATGGGGCGACCTGCGTAAATCTTCCAGGAAGTTATCGCTGTAATTGTACGCTAAAATTCCGTGGTACTAGTTGCGACATCTTGGCAGGTATACACCTCGCCCCTTCCTTCTTCTTTCATTTTGTAAGATCCATAATGCATATTAAAGCGTTATCACTTTGCATGACCTTCATAGCATATTTTCATATTTTTTCTTTCAAAATTGTATAAATCCGCTCTGGTGTATATCTCATTTCAAATAAGAAATGTCCAGCGGCTAAAACATGACCTTAAACTTATCTTTTTCAGCACCCACCGATCAATGCGAGGACTAATCTGAATACTATCGAAGGTAAAATACAATTTTAAATTATACAAAAGAAACTTTTCTGTTAGTCGGTACATGATGAATAATATATCTTCTCTGCACAAATCTATAATCTCAACAAATTATGTTATTCTTCTTTAAAAAACAAAATCCATTTTTTATATTTGAAAATATCAACAATCCAACTCGTGTCTGAAAAGATCGTTTAACAGGTACATTGGCTCGAACCACTGGTTTTAAGTTATGAACTCCCAAACTCCAGAAAAAAACGTAAAACTACAAGAAACTTAAAAGTTGTTTATTGTAATTATGCAATTTATGAACATTCTCCTTTACATACTTTTTCAGTGTTACTCGCCAGTTCTTCCAAGGATTGAAGAAACAAGAAAATTGTCCACAATTCAAATCTTAAGTATGAAACATGTAATTGAATACACAATAAAACAGTGTTTAACTTGACATTTACTAGTTGTGCTCTCTTTGTTGATCCCATTCTTTTATAGCTGCCTCTGAAAATATTTTTGTGGCCCGTTAAAAATTTAGAAATGATATGAAGAGCTCAGTATGATAAACGTATAATTTGAACCTGGTGGGAAATCTTGACGAAAGATGAGCAATTCCTAAACACCTTTTCGAATTTATGAACCAGTGAGCAGACTGTGGTCCATGCCGAAACTCTTCTCTTGAAGATAAAAAATAGAAAGGCAATTCGAAATGTTTCTCTAAGACAACTTATTGTCAAAATTGGATTAAGTTGACCTCGTAACTTTTTTTTTTTTTTTAACTATGTCAATCTTAATTTTAAAGGACATCAAGAGATAATAAACTACAATCTCCCGAGGATGTTTAACCCACTAGGTTGCAAATCATGACAAATCTCTGTTGCTTATCCAAAAATTTTTAGAGATGAAAAACATTTGTATAAATACTTAGTTATACGTTTACCTGACACTACTTCAGTCTCCCTCTTTTCGCTTGGAAACTCGTGGTCGGTTCCCAGAGTGGTAATAAGATTCAACTCGTTGATTTCCAATTCTCAAATTTTCCCATTCAAGTATCCTTTGATCAGCTCCGCTTTAACGCCATTTTATTGAAGTCACGGAGCTCATTAACTTCATTCTTCAATTTCCTCGTCTGACTACGGATCTTTTGAAAGTCTTCTTGTGTACGAGCCACGAACTCTCTTATTTCTCTCAAATCATTTTCGCATTGTGCTAAATGATCACCGATAGCTTTCCTTTCCTCGTCGAAAGTTTTCATAAGTTTCTCAGGAAGCTTTCCGCCTTCGAATTTCTTTACAGCGTCCATAAAATCACGCGATCTGGTTCTGAGCAAAGGCGCAGGCTTCGCTTTGTTCGTCGGTGTTCCAGAATCTTTCCTCACTGGTATTTGAGATGAGCTGCCCCTCAGGCTGTTTCTTTTACCTATTCTTGGGCTACTCATGGGACTTGACTCTCTAGATGAAGGCCTCGAAGGAAGCTTTCGGGGTTGCGAGGGAGACAAACTCATTACTGATGCTTTACAAACAGCCTCCTAGAAAAACAAATTATCATTTTTGTGAACGTGCCAGGGTTAAGGTTCAATAATTTTCACCTAGTTGATGTGAGAACTGAAGTGTGTTAGTCGGTGAGAGAGTGATGAACAAAGTTGGAGAGTTAATTTTGTAGTTGTTATGGAATATTGGCGTCTGAATCAAGTGTACTCAAGTAAGTATTGTGATTCTGTCCCTCCACATCAGGCAGTCTAAGCCTTTGTGAATAAACTATTGTTTAATACTGCTTGAAATACGCGTCTGCGATAAAGTACGTAACTTACCTTCTTTTACAGAAAATTTACTCGCGTGATTTCCGCTAAAGAATTGGTCAAACTTCGTAGGATTTACAATCAACCGAAATGATCAGGGCCGAGTTGTATTCAGTGTATGTCGGCTCCGACCACGACTGAGAGTAACATGTAAACAAGCCTGCGATAGATCCTTTGTTTTCGACGACACACTTGATTGCCAAATTGAATAACAATCAATTGAAGGACTTGTTTGCATTTCATAATTAAGAAAAGTGGCCTTTTAAAAGCTTTATTTGAACGTAAAGGATACAGTCCATTTGAGTTTTCTTGAAAAGAAATTACTCCAATGCTTTAGGCCGTAAAGTGAGCGGCAGGCCAACTAAGAATTTTTGATGAGCTTGCAGTCTGTCGGCGACAGTTCAACAACACATATCCGACTTTGCACCTACACCGACCCGAACATTTTAAAAAAATGCTGGCTATAAGCACAGCTATATATCGCAGGAACTATGATTATGGTTCCTAATGATATGTAATCACACCCCTCACAAGCTCAGGTCATTGTACATGACCAGTGCACCAAAAAAAGAAGGACGGTGTTTCTACATAAAAGCCGTGTTGCGGGAATTCAAAGGAATCATACAGAAAGGCTAGGTTTCTGGGGAACAATAAACGACAGTAAAACATAACAGCACGTCGTTTATTCAACCTCGCTCAGACGGCGGGTGAGCGTCGGTTAGACGTCGGGTATCGCCTACACGCTAGTTACCAGTCTATCTATCGGTCCACTAGAGTGCTTGACGTAGCCTGACTGCACTACCTAATGTTTGGGGACATTTCACTCGTCAAACGCTCATTTATTTCCCAAAGCCTATTTATGCACTAGAAACTCGGATAAAATAGAATCTATGGAGCTAGGAAAGTAGTGGTATTAGCATTGCAAGTGGCGTTAGTACTGTAATGTAAGTAACTTAAGTATTAGAGTGTAAGTAGCGTTGGTAACTTGATGTAACGCACAGTAATGTAAAAAAAAGTAACAGTGTAATTAGTATAAAAAAATCAAATGTTAAACTTTTTATAATTTAATATAATTTCACAGTTGGTCGAATGGTCACACTATCAGCGAGAAGAAATGCAAGAAAAAAAAAACCCTTGGGGTTTAGGGGTGAGATATAAAGACAAGAGCAGTTATATCTTCTTTCTACATAATTGTGTATCCAAGAGATCTTATAAATTGCTGCTTGTGGTAGCAGCCTTATTTGTTTTGATCAAATAAGGCTAGAAGACAAAAGTAATGGGAGGAATGGTCATACTGTATAGTAACTCTTTTGACCTGTTATAAATAATATCAAGACCCAGCTCAAAACTTCTATAATTTCACCAACACTTGCGAATAGAGTACCACCAATATATAGCAAGAGACTCTTCTCTTTCCTTTCAATATACAATAGCCTATATGTTAGTATGTATACCAAGAAAATACATTGAAACGGAAAATTTCCTTCGTACACCACGAGGAAATATCGTTAGCTTTCAAAACAGATAGACTTCGCTGGAATTGCTTTGAACTTTTTTTCTGTATAAAATCTTATCGTTTTTAAAACTATTTAAGAAGTGTGTTTACTGAAATTGATGGCTCAAAAAATACACTTCATATAAAGTGATTACAGCCAAACCCTGGAGGTAAACTGAGAGCGCCGCCGCCGAGTAAATTTCGGCAGCCTCCGGGAATAATATTTCAGTGAACGGTAAGAAAGCTTAACGTAATACCTTCGAATATTGCGCAGGTCTCAGGTATTCTAATTAGTTGTATCATCAGTAGCACAGTGGAAGAAGTCTCTGTAGCATATTTTTCAGGTTTATCAAGTGAGGCACAATGAAGCTTATTCAGTTTGCTGGCCATCCTTTTCATAGTTGACACATGCTCAGGCCAAAGCCAGAACGACTGTGTATTTTCAGACTGAAAGGAATCGTTTTCTACAGAGGGATGGTCGTATTGTAACCCTGGGAACTATTGGTTGACCGGTCTTTGGAGGTTAACCAATAGAGCCCTCGTATCTCTTCTGGTCTCTTCGCGCAGTGTTGTAAACCTCCTGTCACAGCGGAATGGAATTACAGAGAAGTTGCTCGGCAAACAGTGCTTGATTAGTAAGTTGGTGGTAAACAGAGTAGCGAAAATGTATTTAGACACCGCGGATAAAGGATTAAAAAAAACTTATAGTAATGTTACTTGTGATGAAAGAATGAAGCTCATTTGTTAGCATGCCTTGTGTCTTTTTTATCTATGTATGTTACCATTATCATCATCATCATTATTATTATTATTATTATTATTATTATTATCATATGTATATATATATATATATATCCGAAAGAAAGTGTGGTTTTTCAATTTTATCCTGTAAACATTCGGAAATTTTAAGTAAGTTGTTCAATACCTCCACTGCTGCACTAACCAGCTAAAACTTCGATTTCAGTGCGCAACTGCGCTGTTAATAGCTTAAATTTAGCATTTGTAATATTGTAAGTCGAATTCTTTTAACAGTTAGCAGTCCCAAGAAGGGAAGAGTTTTTGAATGAAACCAACTGAAGTGTTCCCTAACCATACTCCTAAGATTCTATCCTAGTCTTTCCTGGACTGTTCCTGGTACTCCATTGGGACTACCTTGGTTCAGACTCTTCCTTTTTTCCTAACTTCTTTTGCGTGTTACTGATATCTGTCAACATTTTTGTCTTCTTTTTCCCCAACAGGCTGTCTTCTGAAAAGGCGATGTCAATCAATCGACAAGTCTGTTCGTGTCTGTTTAAATCCAATAGAACAAGCAAATTATAAACATCATTATTATTGTTATCAGTATTATTTTTGTGCGCTAATTATTTGTTTTGATAGCTATAATCGATGGGGAACTTGCCTCGAGGGATTCTTCGTAGGAGGTATTTACCGAAGTAGTGACGAGTATCTGCATAACATTGAAAGAGCTGAATTCTGTAAAACAATGATTGCTATGAGGAGCATATTTATGACTCTTTTGAAACCTAAGGACTGAGCTAGAGCAATCGAAAGTTTAACTATGTGGCTGGAATATTTGGAGGCAATGACGATATGCTGTTCGCCCTTAATTATAACAAGCTGAAATGTTTCAGAGCGCAATGAAAGGAAACAAATCGTTAAAAATGTTTTAGTGATTATCTTATTGTTAATAACTTTCTCGTAGAAAAAGGAATAAAATGTAAGCGTCCAGCTCTTCACTATGAACATCTGGCTTATTTCCGATGTACAGCATCTCAAAACTATTTCCTCTTCTTCTTAGACTTACCCGGTAAACAGCTGTCCGGTTTGTTTCCGAAAAAAATGAATCGAACTTAGAGTAATACTTTATTTAGGTAAGTTTCATAAAATATTGTATGTGCGTATATGGGAACGTAACAAAACGTTTTTGAAGGTGTGTACTGATCAGATGAGGATGGCTATAATAAGGATGATGCAGTCGACAAAAGAGACGACAAAGTTGATGGAGATACAAACATTTTTCCTTTCTAACCAAGACAGTTTTTCTCCTTATAATATCAATACAATATCAAGTAGACAAGTGATGAGAATAAAGAAAAATATCAATTAGGAGATTATTATATTGGTTGATCCACTACAAAATTCTTTGATTTAACCTCATAAGAATTGTGTTACAGACTGTAAGGAAAAGTGCTGATAAGATATTGGGAGGGAAATGGTTAATAAGTTAAATAGGTTTCGTTTTGTAACAGAAGACGCTGTAAATCCTTACGACGTAGAAAATAGTTTTCACTGATTTTTTTTCGTATTCTCGATATCTCAAAATTAGCTATATGTAATGGGAACTCAAAACTATATGATGTTAAAACTTAAGAAAAAAACTTAACTTTGGGTTTCTATCTGTGTTAGATTCGCCGTGTAACATGCAGTAGTAAAAAGGTGGTGGGCTACAATAGATGAGTAAAATAACACCAACCGTTGGTAACGACGAAAAAAAAATGTATGGCGTAACCAATATAGTAAATGTTTCGACGCATTTTTTTTTTCAATGTTTCTACTTAATTTGGGGGATTTTGTTGTGTTATGAAAAGATTTACTTGACCCCCTCATAAGGCTCTGTAATATTTTTAATTCCCCCCCTTCATTGGCGGTTAATTGGCAGTCAATTTAGTATAGTCCGGCCCCTTTACAATCTGTTAGCGACGACAGATCCCTCTTCTGTTCCCCCCAAAAGAACCCTATGATCACCCCAAAAATCCTCTACCCATCCCGCCCCCCCACCAATAAATAACGAATTTTTCCTTAGATCTGTTATACTTTCGGGCGCGCCATCGCGGTGTGATTAGATAACCTGAGGAAAATTCAGGCGACGGTAATGAGGATAGGAAATCCCACACGAAATGGACTTGCGTTCACGCTATTTCCTATTCACTTACCAAAGCCTTATACACCATACCTTGGCCTTACAGTAGGAGCTAGAGAACAATAGCGATCAATCCTTTCTGGTAGGTAGTTCTACAGGCTCGATTCCAAAAGCTGGATGTACGCACAGCTAAGAACCTTGAGAGCGAGGTTCAGCCCGCTTTCGGAAACTCGGGTATGGACTACGCTCTAGTTACCAGTCTGTTTATCGGTCGCGCTTCGATCCATGAGAAGCCTGGCTGTTTCGGTCTTTACAAATTGGGAACATTTCAATCTTTAGCACTCGTTTTTTACAAAAGAAGCCTCAGGTAATTCAGATAAAATAGAATCAAAGGAGATTAAGTGAAATTTTATCTGCAATGAAAGCGATTCGCGTACTATCCTTTGGAGGACCTGAAGTACTGAAGTTCATGTCGGATGTGAAGGTTCCAAGTGTTTCAAATGGGCAGGTAAACGTTCAAATAGTATTTTCTTTTTTTTTATGATTCTTTTCTGATCTACATAACTTAAAGAAAATAGTTGTTTAAGGGTGTGCTTCTCCAGGCCCTACACCCGTTCTCTATTCATTCTCCTGTTTTCGGAGGCATGGGTGCTGTGTGCGGTTTAATTATTGATCGTTTTAGAAAAATAATTCTCTCGTCACATATAGAAAGGGAAAACTTCAAATCTGTCTTCTTATGCGCAATATTTTAGGGAAATCTTGAGGTTTTCATGAGTCACGTATATTTCAGGAGGTAAGACACGCCTCACACACAAATCACGAATCACGCTCGCCTTTCTGTAAATTCACGCGTGACATTTGAATCTTTGCCTTTATAATCACGCGTCACGTAAAATTCCTTTGCATCCTCTTGTAGGTCCTTGTCAAAATTAAGGCGATTGGGATCAATCCTGTAGACACTTACATAAGAAGTGGAACTTACGCCAGGAAGCCAGATCTACCTTACACCCCGGGTTCTGATGGTGCTGGTGTGGTACACAGTGTAGGAGCAGATGTAACCCAAGTCAAAGTGAGTTTTCAGTTATTCATAGTGGCCAAAGTACTTTATTTATTTACTTACCTTTTTCGGCTTTTGTATTAATTTTATGTATGGTGACTCAAACTTGAAGTATGTGACTGATGACTCTAACTGAAACTGATCTGTTGTAAAAATTACTAGATTAAAAAAGGCTTAAATAGTATAATTTATTTTGTGTTTGGTGCAGATTTTTAAAATTAATTTTGTTTTGATGTATGAAAGTGGCGAGGTGAGAGTATATCTTATGATTAAGTCTAGACAATGTGGTATTACTATCATGAATTTTTTGTTTCTATTGTTTTCTTTCAAGTAGAACAAGGAAATCATGAGCAATAGGAAACTTCTGTGAACCAGTACCATAACCCATTTCAGAAAAGAAAGATGTTATTATTTTTGCTCCAAGCTTGATTAGTTTGTCTTGTTTAGTTTTATGATTATTATTTTGGCTGCAAAATGAAGACCTCTATCAGGTGTATGGAATTGAATTTCATACTAATTGTTTCACCAGGAAGGAGACCGTGTTTACGTCTGTGGCAGCATAACAGGGACATATGCAGAGTTTGCCTTGTGTAACAGTAGCAATGTTCATCTTTTGCCAGAGAATATTTCCTTCAGTCAGGGAGCAGCTATTTATGTGCCATATTACACGGCTTACAGAGCATTAATACAAAGGTGTGTAAATTACAAAATTACAAATATTGGAAAAATAAAAGGAAGCTGCCATAGACATAATTAATAAGATCATTATGAGAGTTAGTAGTGGTTAAAGATAGAAGGCAAAGCTATAGATACCAAGTATTGAGATACAATATTGAAAAGCAGCCATAGTGCTATTTTAAACACTCCCAAACTTAGAGGATATAATATAAACAAAGTTAACTGATGTTTACCAAACACATCCTAAACAATCCTCTATTTAGCCCAACCTTTTATCTCGCAGGGAACAAATTTTTTGGCCAAAAGCTAACTGTGTAAGCATATTTATTTAATTAAGTCAACCCTTTTAAAGAGAGATTGCGAGGCCCACTGATTGTGTAAAGCCATGGTTTGGGTTAGACCTCTGGTAAATAACCAGCCCAAGGGAAAGAATGAGACACACAAAATTCACACACTGGTCTTTTTTTGGGACAATGTATTATGCTCTGTGATGATCAATATTATTAAACAGAAAACAAATGTATATTATTGTATGCTCAAGCAATTTAAATTATTGTAATACCTAAGTCTATCTCACTTTTTTGCAGATTACATGCGAAGGCAGGAGAGACGGTCTTAGTCCATGGAGCTAGTGGAGGGGTATGTACATCAGAAATGTTTTTGAATGTAGAAAAAATATGAGAACTATCAAGTTTATAATAAGATTAGTGATGAAAATGTTTTTGTTATTGTGCTCTTTTGTATGTTGACTTCTGTGTTGATCACTCTAAGTCAATTCTTCTCTTGAAAAAATACATCTGTCAGATTATTTTATTATTTATCCCTAAGCTACATGTACCTACCTTGAAAATCAGAAAATCATGAACATTTAATTGATTTAATTCTGAAAAGTCAGTGGTATATTGATCAATCATAATTAGCGTAGGACACACAAGCAAACATCAGTACCACAAAGCAACAAAAAATTACATTTAATGTTGTGATTTGTGGTTTATTTTTCTGACTTGTGTTCTCCATAAAACAAGGCTTTTTTGAGTACTGCATTAATAACCTTGCAGCAAATAACTTCCTACACCAGTAAGATTTGGTTATACTGAAAATAAACTTAAGAAACCTTTGTTAGTAGTGATCCAACTGCTACTATTTTAAGGGAATGTGACTGCTACCCAGAAAATAAATTTTTTCCTTATTAGATTTTTATGCAAATGAGACTTTATTTGACTGAGACTTTATTTAAAGAGGTCGACACATGACAGCTTTTGCTGATAACCCTGTGGCCCTCTAATGTAACAACCTTTGTCTCATGTTCAATGGCTCTAGGTTGGCATAGCTACTGTGCAGCTAGCCAAGGCATATGGATTAAGGGTGTTAGGAACAGCAGGGACAACAGAGGGGGAAGAGGCAGTGAAACAGGCAGGGGCCTCAGAAGTGTTCAATCACAGAGAAGATGGATATGTTCAAAGGATTCTGGTATTAAAGTTTAACTTTTGATCAATTGTGTTAGACTGTGGCTTTTGAGAAACTTTACTGTGTGTATCTAGTGTACTGTTCAAAAAATAAATCAATAAAGTTACTCATCCTAAATTCAAATTTGATTTTCATAAAATATTTAATGAAATTTTCAACAGGATGCAACTGGTGGACATGGTGCAGATGTTATTGTTGAAATGCTGGCAAATGTCAGTTTGGCCAAAGATCTTCAACTTGTTGCCAACAAAGGCCGCATAGGGGTATGTCAGCACTGCTTGTGACAATGAAACCATCTGTGCTTAGTTGTTTCTAAGTTAATCAGTATCAGAAAAAAATTGTCAATCAATATATGAAACAATTTGTCAATTAAAGGCAAATCAATTTTCCTGCCAGTCATTTAATCAATAAATCTATGGATCTTTGAAACCATTTGTCAATCAATTGCCCAGTCAACCAATTGATCAATCAACTTATCAATGGATTGATTGATCAATAAGATTGTCAGTCAGTCAGCCTGACAGTCAGGCAGACTGCAGGTCAGCAAATCTGTCTATCCATTCATGCATCTACCAGTCAGTCAGGTTTACAGCCAGCTAATTAGTTAGTCACTCTTTTTTATTTTGAAATTGTGCAAGAACAAAATGTTTGTTTCTTCAATTTGTAATTATTGCTGTTATGGTCTCCCAGCTTTGGAAAAGATGAAAATTAAGGCCTGAAATCAGTCTTGGTGTGAACCTTTCAGGTTGTTGGCAACAGAGGTACAATTGAAATAAATCCAAGAGAAACCATGGCTAAGGAATCCAGTATTGTTGGTGTTATGTTAGGTAAAGCTGGTGAGGTAAGAAATACATCAAAGAGTTATTTTAATGCCAACCTATAATTTGCTTCAATTTTCTGAAATAATACATGAAAATTATGCATACATACATTTACCTCTTAAAAAGTGTTGCAGGTCAAGTTAAGTGACTGTAAACCAGAGAAAGTTCAGACTATGCTGGTTTTACAGTAGTTGGACACAAATGGGCGAAAAAAATTGGAAGGGTTCTGAGGAAGAGTCACATGGAAAGAGTCTGCCCTTCCCTCTATTCAGGCTCCCCTTGTTTTTTCTCTCGCTTGCCTCACATTTCCCTCACCCTCCAAACTGGCTGGCTGAGCATGTCAGCGAGAGGTGGGTTGACCCAAGTAGTACATCCTGGCAGAGCTTTGCCCAGTTACAGTTGTGTGATGTCCCTAGGAGTTGTACCACCACCACCCCTCCCCCCTACTCTCCTGAATGAGATGCTGGAGTCTCCCATATTCCAAATCAAGTCAAAGGTATAAATTGTATTTGTGAATTTTTTTATTTATTCTTTTTGTTTTTACACTTTTGCCTTCTTTAGGAGGAGAAACAAGAAATAACAGCAGCAATAGCAGCAGGGCTCAAGGCAGGGTTTCTTAGTCCAGTGGTTGGACATGAATACTCATTAGACCAAGCATCAGAGGCGCATAGAGATATCATAGAGAGCAAAGGAGCCAGGGGAAAACTAGTCTTACTTACATGATCAAAATATGTGGTGTGTGGCCTCATTATTAACTGTGGATGGTCCCCCACTGATGACACGTTGCAAAAGCCCATTTTTTGAGGGTTGGGATTCAAAGTGTCAAGTTTTCAATGGAATATGAGTATTTTTTTTTTATTTCTATGTGGCAGATTATGTGAAGTGAGCTAGTGGGTATTCAGAAATGGTATAGAGGTCACATTTAAATTGAGTAGTAGGGATAGTGATGATTTAGTGGAACAGATGGGGGTAACTTTGACTGTTCTGTCTTAAGTCTGATGAGGCATAGTGAATTAAAAAATGAGTTCTGCACAGGTGTTCTTGGTGGTAAGTCCAAGGCATGGTTTCTTAGTTCAGTGAATTGCTTGAATATTGATACTTGTTGAATCAAGCTTCAGAAGCTCGTAGAGATATCACAGATGGTAAAATAAGAGAGCTAGTCCTATGAACATATTTTAACAAACAACATTGTACAAGCCACTATTAATGTATAATAAAACAATTATTGAATTTGGTTTTTGCATGATATCTTGAATTATCAAACCTGGTATCTGACTGTGTAATCAGCCTCACCGAGCCTTCGGCTTTGGCAGAAAACTCGGACCTCAGCATTGATAATTTATGATAGCCTGCTCAACCTCATCTAATAATTGTCTAGTGTATGGACACAAATGTGTGAAGTGATATAGGGTTAGAGAGTGCACTAAATTTGTGAACCACAGTTGGTAAGTTAAAACATTTTCCTCAAGCTTCATGTGACACATGATAAATTTGATTAAAAGAGTATTATGTATGGGGTGATAAGGTAAGAACTGTAGCAGCATAGAAAATGAAAATAAATTCCAAGAAAAAGGTTGGAAATAGGTTTGTGTTTTTTCAGGATATTGTAATACAATTATAATTTTGTAATGAATCCCTCTGCTATTTATATGTAGCTGTCTTATTCAATTCAGAAACAAACCTAATCCTAGTCAATTGAGAGATGCAAACACATTGGTCAAGAATCTGTGCATCTATGAATGTTGTATTGGTTGGGTGGCATGCTTTCTGGCTGTAAGAACCAAGTTGTTTTTTAATACAGGAGTTGTAAACAACTGCCTGTTTTAGTAATCATAAGTCATTGTAAATCTGTGAAACTTTTGAAAATGATAAATTTACAGGACACCAGTAACTATATAAGCTATTTGTTTGACAAAGCTTGGGTTTTCCTTTTCCCCTTATTTTGTTTTATTTTAAAGATTTCTCTTATCTGTCCATTTTGACTGCGACATTTTGCGCGACAGCGGTTGTCTCTCAGGTGTCTCCTTCCTAAAATTTGCGCGGGAAATTGGCTGTGACGGTCAGACTTGATCCCTTGCGCATGCCCGACGTCTGACCACCGCGTTTAACTGGCTGGGCTCAACGCGGAAAGCGAAGAACTGGGTTCGAGAATCATTTCACAGCACACACTCTGAGAAGAAGGCAAAGAAAAAAAAACAAACCCAAGACTTACAAAAGAAACATAAAGGCGAGTATACTTAGTTGCTTGCATTTTGTTGCATGTATCTAAGATATCAATTGCGGTAGCTGGAAGTAGCAGCCGTGTTAGTTTTGACCAAGCTAGAAGACAATAACCAGTACTGTAAGAGAGACTTGGCAGCCCGGCCAGCGACCTTCGTAACCAAACAAAAGGATTTCTGCAACAGTACTGAAGGAAATGAAAGCAATTCGAGCCTCTTCTTTCGGGGGCCTGAAGGCTTAAAGCTAGATTTAACTACACCAGTTCTGATACTCCTGTTTCAAGGAGCAGCTAGCCGGAGTTATTTTCGTATTTGTTTCAACACGTTCTGAGGGCGCGTGGTCCGACCGGAGAGCTTCATGTTTACTGTCAACCCTTCTTACAACTTTGACCAGAGCTAGATTAATGTCATATGTAAGAGTTTGTGAACGGTGTAATTCGTCATCTGTGTTTGTTTCACTATTGTGCGTAAGTTGGTATGTTAGGCCTACAACATCCTCAGTTGCAGTGTATGCATTACAATAGATGTTTGCCACGTAAGTAAATGTTGAGGTGGTTAATTTTTTTTTCTACGTTCACAAATACGCAACAAAGTGTGTTTCCGGCATCTAAATTTTAGATAAATTGTTCTGAGATCGTAGACTTCTTTTTATTACGCTCTTAAATCCATTATTTTGAATTATTACATTAAGCATAATGAAAAATGTTTTTAGAAGTGACCTTTAAAAGCGTTATGCTTAAATTTTTGAGCGTGTGGATATGCTAGCGAGTGTCAGTTGGGCTGATGGTATTGAGTTGGCTGTGTATTAAGGGTGCATAGGTGTATCTCCCTTTTGCATTAACATACAGAAAGTAATGTTGTGCTATATTATGACATGCACTGGGCTGTTCTCTGGCGAAGCATGGGAGACAAACTTTTGTGTCTTGGTGACTTGTATAATCTCACCTTTAGGACAGCTTTCAGAGCTGGGCACCCAATACTTCTCAGGGAGATGTGGTGGATATTTGGTTAGTGCCTTGGACTCCAGGTTAAGAGGTCTGGGTTTGAGACTGGGAGAGGTCAACATGCTGTTTTCTCAGCCAAAACACTTTGCTCTCATAGTACTGGTACCTCTCTCCTCAGGAGTATGAGTGAGTGCAGGCAAATTGTCAGGGAAGCCTGATGAAATTCTGGGGGTAACTTCAGTCACTTGACTAGATCTGTATGGATGTTACTTTTACCCAAGACTTCTAAGACAAAAGCCTTCAGGTCCCTTGACAGGACAGTGTCAAGGGGCATACATGTATCTTTCATGTTGATCAACATTATAAGTTGGCGGGGGGGTATTTCAGCATCTCCAGCAGCTTAAACCCTTCATAGTCATGCACAAGGACATGTGACTGTTTGTGACTTTCTTATAAATAATTTGTTCCCTTTGAGCTATAATACTTGCTGCTAAATGCCTTTTACACTTACTGTTAATGAGTTACACTGTGTCCTACTTTATATTTTTAGGTTGTTGGAAGTGGAGGTAGAGGCAATAATGCAATAGGGCAGGTTTGAAAGAAGGCTATATTTGTTATGAATATCAGTTTAGTCAAGCAGCTGATGCACACATGGATATTACTGAAGGCAAAGGTGCTAAAGAAGAATTGGTCTTGGTTGTTCAGTAGGAAAGTATGTGTTAGGCAGTTACATGTACCTACATGTAGTGGCATTTTAGAATTTTTCTCTGCTTATTAATATTGTATTTTTTAATACCTCAAACAATTCTGATTTTGATAGAAATGTTGACCACAAACTGTGGCCAACTACTGCAATTGGTCTGTATTTAACATTTTGCAGTGACACATGTGTAAAGATTCTTCCTGAATTGGAAGCAAGCATTTAGCAAAGAGATAATGAGTGGGTATTTTTCAACAAAGCAGGCTGAATTATATTTCATCATATGTTTTAGTACATTATGTAAAATTAGTTTTGTTATGAATGAGAAATTTCTGTTATGAAAGGTCTCTGTTGATGTTTTATTATAATTTATATCAAGACAATTATAAAATGTTGTTTTAGTGGGTAAATGTATGTTCTCTCTGTTATGCCCCATGTGATAGCGGGTGGAGTGGCTTACATGTTAAGGTCATATTTTTTGTAAAATTTGCAGAATATTATTAAATATAAATGTAGTTCAAGAATCATTTGAAGAGGATACATGGTACATGTACTAACCTTTTGACCTTTCCTTAAAAATCTGCTGATACCAGGATTTTTTATGGTTTTATTGAAGGGCTTGAAGATATTGAGATTTGAACAAAATGAATTTCATTCCTTGGTAAAATGTTGCACTAGTCTCCAGTTATTAACCAGTTAACATGAGTGGTATTTCAATATATGGGAGGTGTAGTGTTACAGAATGATTTTTAATTTGTTTATTTACAACCAAAATGCATTTGTACAAATACCAATTACCTTTCTTCAACTGTCTGCTCTTTTTTGTTTGTTTTATTTTCTTTTCCTATTGTTTATGATTTTGTTTTCATGTCTCTTTACAAATCTTTTATGTTTTAAAATTGGGTTGTACACATACAAAATTGTTACAAGATAATATTATAACATAGCTAGTAAATTTGTCTAATCAAATTCAATTGCACAAGCGTGCTTCATATTCCTAATGTGAATGGACATGATGTCAGCAAACAAATCCCTCGAGAAAAAATTTTCCATCAGGTTGAAAATGTTATAAAACAATTGGTTCATATGTCAGCTGTGCGTTCACCAATATATGAAGCACTTGGGAAGTTTGGAGAGCACTCAAGAAGCTAGAGTTGCTCTTGGCTACACCTTGAGCAACTCTTATGCATCTTTCGTGCTCTCCAAACTTCCCACGTGCTTCATATCTTGATGAACACATGCTGACGTATGAACCAACTGTTAACTGTGATGCATAAAAATACAGCTTGCGATCTTAAAAGGAAGTAAAGGTAAAAAGGTAAATTTTTTTAATTTGCAGTCAGCTAATTACAAGCAGCAAACTGCAAATACAAAATAATAATCAATTACAATAATATCGTGTTCTTTTTTTGTTCGTTTTTTTTTATTTTTTAGAATAATGTAGGTGCTCTATGGTTTTTATAATAACTAATTTCAACAATATTTTTTATGTTTGGTTATGACATATTCCAAGAAGATTGTTTTAAGCATAGTAAAAAAGCTTGAAACATTCTCAGGTTTAATTTCACAACTAAAATATGATGACCATTCATCTATCATTACTGCAAATTACTGTTGTAATCATTGTTGTGTTTATTAAATGTCTTCAAATCCCTTAACCCTTTTACAAAAATATGAATCTCAAAAAATTGTTATAATTTACTGTATCAGAAGCATAGGTAATGTGCTTCTTTCTCTACACCATTACTTATTTCATATACATTAATGTACAAAGTCATGTACTTTGTAAATTCATCTATTTTAACTTTTGAGATGTAACCTGTTGTATCATCACATAATGGACAGTCTTAATTCCTTAGAGACAAAAATGTGATCAGGTTGAATGATTTGTTTACATTTACTTCTTCCTCAAAATTCTAAACTATTTTCAGATGTAAGTGGTTTTGATTGGCCCCCATGCATGCAGGTTTATTATTCATAAACCCCAGTGTCTTCACCAAGTGAACTTTAACTTGAAACTACATAATATTGTACATGCACAAGTGTATGACTTTTTTTTGTACTCTGAGTATTTATGTTATGATACATGTAGCATAAGAGCTCTCAGTTATTATCACCATCCACTTCATACGCTTTAAGTTCTGTTTACTTTCTTTTTGAAGGCACATCATTTACCTCCTTGCACTGCGTAAATGTTGATGGATACGCAAAGCAACCTCTTGAAGCTGCACCTCTGGGCTCCTTAGGGTGTCCATAAGGTCAATAATTGTGAATTCCGGGTGTGTCGCTTTGATTGTTTCCAACAGTTGTCCAGTAGCAGGCTTTTCCATGGACTTTAAGTTTTCCCAGTAATTAAGGTTATCCTGATTTACCCCCAGTACCTTGCCCACTTTTTTCCAGCCGTATTGTCCACTGCACGTCACTTCAAGTGTCTTTACGATTATGTCCTCAAGATCAGGCGATATGTCTGATAAACGAACACCTGCAATTTTTAAGAACATTTTGTCAAGTTAGAGACTAAATATTGCTCATTACGGACTGCGGCTGTGGGTTCTATATTTACTCAAAGATTTATGGAGAAGTTGTGGTTTTATAATCACTTTTGCTTTACAAGAAAAACTTGAATTATCACACTTGTTTTCATCGTGTAACAATTTGGTTTAGTTTATTATAGAATCATTATGAATAAAAGATTAGCACTCTGTTTTGAAATTATGATGACTAACTTTCAAGGTCAGAAGTAGTTGTGTATTCCTTTGAAAGTGTGCCTTCCAAATTGCCTCTGTTGAGGGTGACTCCTTGATAGAGACCTAAAAAAAAGTACAAAGACAATAAAGATATTTTAAGTAACTCAAACGTTTTACTTTCGCTTTCCTTGGACCCTCGCAATGGAACGTAACTAGTGCCATCTATTGTTTGCATTGAGCATGGGTATTTTTTGTGCATAATGTTATGCGTAATTGGTGCCTACACGTATGGCTTTTCCTGTTGGACCAGAGCCGGCCATACGAACTTGTTGTGATTTGTGCTTGTCTGTGTTGTAGTTTTGGTCCTGGTTGAATGAATGGCCTAATCTCGTTCAGTACAGATGAAAATAGTGATCACAGTCATTACTACGTAGAGATGAAGACATCATTCGCGCCTAACGTGTTGCTACTTTTGAATGAACTTGGAGACCTTTTTTCTGATAAAAAACCGTTGAGTTCAACTAAAGTCTCACGAATGACCTCTGATTGTTGAAAATCATCAATCGCCGTAATTAACTATTGATATCTAACTATTACGTACCCTTTACGTGCTAATTGTACCCCCTCATGTTAGACACTGACTACTCCTCTTGTTTTGATTCTTCCACACATCTTTTCCTGGTAATATTCTTATCATTACTGAGGTAAAGTTAACCAAGTGTTTCTAATACACCATGGGAAATTAGAGTATTCTGATCAAAGATGTGAATGCCGGCGTTTCTTAAAGTTTACTTGTAGTGGTGTAATTTTTAACTATTTTTCTTTCGTTCCAATATCTAAGCCCCGTTGTATGTCGTTTTGTTTATCAAGTTTACTTTCTTACCGGTTTGATATGTATTTCCCAATAGCGACTTGTATTCTTCTGCACTTGTCGGATTTATCTTTATACAACAAATCACTTCACACCTACTTTGCCTTTTACAACAGAAGCATGCTATAATCACGCTCACTGAAATCAGTGCCAAAATAAGTATGGCTACAAGTACAGTTAGAGTTTTCACAAGTGTTGTGAAGTTTATTCCAAAATAATTTGAAGCGGTTTGAAGTTTTGTCGCCGTAACATTCATTTCTTTGGAAGTGGTTCCAAAGCCCTTGTTCGAATATTTGGCGTTAGCCATTGTAGTGCGCGAAATGCTTGGAAGCGAAGGAGTTTGTTCGGTAGCCATTTCATTTCCACTTCTTTCCAGGGCTTGCTGAACCTCTCTTTTAACCCTCGTTACTTTAAACATCTCCTTTCCATTAAATGCCGATTTTGATCGGTTTTCTGAAGTGTTACTGCTACGGAAATTTTGAATTGGCCCTGAGTTTGAGGGTGTCTTTCTCTTGGGAGTGTTAAGCCTCGGGGGATATAAAGCCAACATTTGAGGATCGCTTCCCTTGGTTTTTATTTCTAGGGTGCAGTTTGTTCTTAAACATTGCCCTAGATTAATACACTCCAGTGTAGCAAGGCGTTTCGTCCCACAACACTTAAAACATTTTTTGCAAACATTTTCTGTGTTATTCCAAGGATACGTTCCACGAGGGCAGGGTCCACATCGTGCATTTTTCCAAGCTAAACATGGACTGATGGTTTGTTTTGGACTACATTTCTGGCATGGGAGACAAATGCCTCGGCCTTGGCTATCCTTGTAGGTTTTCGACGGGCATACTGTGCAAGCTATCACGGCGTTTTGCTGTATTTTGCTACCACATGGTGGAGTTAGTTGTCGCCCTGGGGGACAATCAGAGCAAGGTTGGCACCTGATTGTCGTATTCTGTTTACCAAGAATTTGGTATGATAACGCTGGGCATGTTCTATCTGGATAGCTGTTAGCTTGGGGAAGGTTCCAAAGAGTCCAAACCTGTTCAAGTGGATAGTAAGAGGTGAACATACGGCCAGACATTGCACTCTGTCCATTAGATATGACTCACTTCTGAAATGGATGCAGTCGAACCTGTATTAAGCGGTCATTCACGGAGAATGGCGGGGTAATGGCGGGACCGCTTAATAAAGGTTGACTGCCAAATACAGGTTCCACAGAATAGCATAGGGGTCCAACGCCATAAAAACCGCCATTTTGTAGTAATAGTCACAAGAGGAAAGATTATGTTTATTGCGTTGAGACATCTACACTCAAAAGTGCCAAAATTGATTTCGGGATATAAACATTGTACAAATTCGAATCGAGAGATTATTCTTAGTTTTATTTAAGTGGTTTTGGATTAAGTGACCATTGGGTAAAAGTAAATGACAACGCAAACAGGCCATGGGGGACCACGACCGCTTAATAGAGGCGGCGTCGACAAAATCGATCTGTGAAAGTGACTACATGGAGTTTTGAGGCGAAAAACTTTCAAATGGGCCTGCCCTCCATTATGTTTCGCAGACTCTATTTTGGCTTGTTACAAAGCATCTCTAATTTTTATTGAATAGAATTTAATTTTTCATTCCCTCGATCCGTGATCCGATTCGTGAGGTTTTTGGGCCGAAAAAAATAAAAATTTCAGTTGGACCTGCGCTCAATTATGTCACGCGACTTTATTTTGGCTTGTCACGCAAAATTTTAATTTTATTTAACATGATCCTATCCGTGATCCGATCCGTGATCCGATCTATGGTCCGATCCGTGATCCGGTCCGATCCTGGTTGTGTTGGCGCCGCAATAGAAGTGAAAATGACGGTACTCACAGTGACAGCTTAATACGATCACGCTTAATACAGGTTGAGCTGAACATCCGCTCAACACCTTTATCTCAAATGACATCAACTCGGTCAAGTAAAAGCAGTTTGTGGCCCACAGCATATCCTTATACGTTGCTCAGTTTTTAAGAAGAGAAGGCAAACAGGATGCAATGAATCGCCATTTCCGATCGCAAATGACGAGCACGTGATTTTCCAAATGGTACTTTGCCCTTTCGCTTAATATGGACGGTCTCATGATTATCATGAGTGATTGTGATCCTTTCACCATTTCTATGTGACTGATGTCGAATCGCTTTCTGAATTGCTAGTTCGGAGAATTAACAATATTAAGAGTGTCTGTAACCAGACCACGAGATGCCACCGAGAGGCGAAATAAAATGTATCTAAACGAAAGGTGTACTTGAAACATCGAACCTTAATCACAACATCCTGCTTTAAAATAGCGTGAAACGGAAGGTATTTGAGTGCATGTAATTGTTTCCGTGACTTACTCGATGTATTTTACAATTTGCCTCAAGTTGTTCAATTCATGAAGCGCGCAGATTGTGGAAAAAAAGATAAGTTATCACTTACAAAGCAAGTTATGAAGGCAATGGCGATAAACTTCCTGATAAGCTCCAGAATCTTTGTAGACCACCAAATAGATAGCTTTACCCTGTCAAATTTTATCGTGTAAATAGGATCTGCTTTTAACTGTATGCCTCTTGAATTTGTGGGAAGTATTGAATCCTGCAATTAGAAAAGAACGACAGTGGTGCATTAAAGTTTAGCAACGTGACATCGATCGAGGAGTATAGCTGGCGAGGAACTTGAGTTCGAGGTGCTGACATTTTAGAGACATAAACGATCCAAGAAGTCTTTGATAAGTCATCGTCCACTATGCATGTTTATGTATTAGGCGTAACCTACAAATTGTTATTATCGGTGGATTGACGATAGAACTGATAAACGTCAAGCAGCATTTAGCGTTACGTCCATGTTTGCACAGCCTTGAGTATCGTATATCTATTTTCATATGTTAATGTGCTTCCTTCTACAAATATTTAAAATACATGTCACCCTCTTTGGAATCACGTAACTTGATTTGAGCCAATATCAGCCCATTTTGTTCAGTCCTTAGATTCTTTTCACTTAAATGTAACGGCACATATGTCTGTAGCAGCACGATTTCTAAGGCTTAAAGCTTGAATCAAATTAAAATTAGTATATGCAAGATGTAAATATAAAGCGCAGAGTTTAAATATGTTTTCAGAGTTATGTTACGCTCTTATTAGTAATCGCTAATGGAGACTGATACCTTGTGATGTTTCCCCATTTGACTGTTGTGAACTAAACGATTACTCAATGACTTGTTCGACGCAAAAACCAAATCTTCGTCAATCTATTTACCGAATGCCTCGCGTGATCGAAGCACAAGAAATCGAAACTATTGCCCATTCCTTTACAGGCATTTTGGGGACTCCCCTTTGGTATCATAGCAACAGAAGCTGAAAAAGCTGTTAGGCTCTGGTGGTTTTGCTTGTTGAAGGATTCCATTAAAGCTCTTCCGACAATGTCCGCTTGTTCGGGATCGAGTGGTCTGATCGCTGATTCAACTTTAGCCATAATCTCTGTAGCAGGTATGAAGTAAGAAGTTACGACGAACTTCAGGCCTTTCTTCAGTAAAGCAGTCTCGGAGTCGCTAGGGGACTTAGAAGATAATCACGCAATCCAAACTTCCTAAATTACTTCTTGTTCTATGTACGTAAGATCTTTTAAAAAATCATCACACCTTGAAAAAATTTTTTTCAATTTGTAACGCCACCAAGTTCTTAAAAGTTGCCTTAAAGAGCCCACGCAGCAAGTTTAGCGGGGGCCATAACAAAGAACACGTTAACTGTAATAACGTGCCAACTGAAATCTTGATTTTAATTCCCCAAATTTAAACGTAGTTAAAAATAACAGGGGCGTCGTTTATATTGTTAAGAAGTTTTTAAACCCTCATTAAACGATTCTCAAATCAAAGTTATTATTAGTGCAATCAAATCTCTACCGCTGCTCATGATGTTTTCTGCTTCCTGAACCTGATATTCGTTTTTTTTTTCCAAACCTGCAGAAAAATCACGGTATAAGACCAGTCTACTGAGCTGAATGGAAATGAACAAAGCACCACTGCTCACTGAAAATAAAATCAAGGCAGCGGCTGATATTAATTGCGCATCAGCAGTCCTCTTTCAGTTAATTTTCAATATTGGAAAATTCGTTAGCAGTGTCAAGAAGAGGAGGAGGTCTGTCTGATCTTTCTTCTCGTCAAGGTTTTTAAATTGCATTCCTGTTCTACGAGATCAACTTTAAATTTTCGGCCAGTAGCACAAAGAACTTTTAAGTTATTAGCTTGCATATCAGATGTTGCTTACATTTGTCACTTACCTATCTAGGGTAAGCAAAACGTTCAGTTTATTCACGCACAAAGTTGTCAAAAAACAACCCAAAAACACCCATTTTCTATACTGCTTTTACTATCTGAGACGATACCAAAACCAATTTCAACGATAAGGGAATGAATAATAATTTCGCCCTCATTCTAGTCGTAAGGTTAGCATCTGAACCTGACAATCAAGGGCACTTGTTGGTTTTTTCGACATGTAAATTAAACCTGTCACGAACTTGCAAAGAAATTTGCAGAGGTCCGTTCGCCGGTAAAGGCCATTTAAAGGACGTATAACGGACATTTAGCACCAGCATGCAATGCATATGCCGAAGTTTGAGGGGGGACGACTTCAGAACAACTATGATCCTCTTGCCTCCATATCAGAATTAACTGTGCATATTAATAAACGTGAAAGAGTATGTAGCACAAATTACTCATATATTCAATTCGCTCTTACTTTGTTCGCTTGCCCGAACCTTCTTCAATCCTTTTACTTAATTTATTCCTCTTGTTGATGAATGACTTGCTAGAACCCCTAATTTATTTCTGTTTTTCTGTCTTCCTGGAGTTAACGTGGATTGAAATGAATGTGTGGATTCGCTCACTTTTCAAGTACGTGTTGATTAAATGGTATCATTTAATTGAACTTTCAACTTTGCATTTAAACTTTCTTTAGATAAAAATATAAATTGTATTAAAGAATGCGTGGAAACCACATTTTAGTTCCTTGGCACACGGTGCCGAATTATCGTGTCGGCAACATTTCCAAGTTTTACTTTAGGTCTGTTGAGTACCGCAATAAGATCCGATATAGTCTTTCCTTGACTTCCCAATTTCTCAAGTAATCGTTTAGTTGGGCTTTCATCTTTAAGAGTTCCTAAGTGTTCATAGTATTTAAATTCTGTAGGAGGAATTCCAACCGCTTTTGCTACTATCTGCCAACCGAATGTCCTGCTATGATGTACAGACTGTACGTCACCCTGTGGAACATCCAGACGCATCACCAGTTTATCCAGGAGGTCTGGGGGCATATATGCTAGATTGAGATCTAAGATAGAATCGATTTCAATTCTTTAGTATTGTTTCTGTCATGTTTTGGTGTCTTGTTTCAAATATAGAGTTGGAGTGAATTTTTAAAATCTATGATTTTTCAGAGATGATAATGTTCATGAAAAAACTTCGCGCTTCTGATTGGCTGAAAGCGAGTGCAAAGTTGTAACAAGTGCAAATTACAAATAGCGCGAGCTGTCAAAATTTTGTCTGTCTTGATCTACTGTGATGCTTTGTTCATGTAAACATGTTATATGAAAGCCTGGTTCGCACCAATGAAAGAAAGACAAAACGATAAAAGCGTTGTGACAAGGCAAGGTCATTCCTTCGTTATCTTTTAGTGTGAAAAAGTAGAAATAACCACATCGGTTAACCACATAGTGACAGTATGTCAGGAATATTGATATGAAGACGTAATCACTTAATATCAACCTAGCTAGCAACCTAGAAATAATGACATAATGAGAAAATTGATTTTTCCTCGGTGCCTTTGTGTCCGTATTCTATTGCGTCGTGTGTGTTGATCAGATGTAACTGATCTTAGTTTCCTTACCTTGTGACAATGTAACAGTGCTTGCTTCATCGAGGGTCTCATTGGTAGTTTCTCCTTCTGCACTTTCCAAGGTGAAATCTAAGTAGAAATCATGGAAATATAATCATATATTTCGAGATGAAAACTATTTAGAGAACTTACTTTGAACAAGCAGCTAAGAAATAAAGCTCACTATGAACGATATGACAACGGCGTGGCATACTTGCAATTTTCTCAGTTTGACGTGGATCTCGATAGATCGCAGTATCGACTTAGTTATTATTAATATATTCTCGTGTTCTGACCCATTATTCTTCTTACCTGTACTTTGAGGTTCTGCGGAGTCTGATGAAGTTCTTTTTAACTCCTTTGGGTCTTGTAGCATCTTGCATACACACTTTTTGTATAAGGTATACACGAGAAGTCCCATAAGTACCAGAAAAACAGCGGCCAAAATTGTTCCGGCAAAGCTGCCGAGGGCCGAGTTCAGGAATTCATTTTGCGCAGCGTCATCGTGTGGTGTCACCTCTCCCAACTCTGTTACTTCTTTTAGTGTAGTCTCAGTTGTTTGAAAAGTGATGTAATTTTTTCCAAGTGACGCTTGAGAAGAAACCTGCTCTTCCACTTCAATCGCACGAATTTTGGTCCCGTTGAATCTCCATTTCGGTGTTAAAAGATGGTTTGAATTTTTACTTTGGTCCGTTATTGGCTGCTCAACCTCCTCCTCCTTTATGTTTTTAATGGGAGGAATCCTAAGAAAATCTAATTCTTCTTCTAGTTCATCCCAGTAGGAATTTTTTCCCGTTTGGCTGTCCGTATTCTTCAAAGACTGATCACTTTTTGATTCAACTTCGGCCTCCAAGTCTCGTTTTACTATAGTCAATGAAACATTTTTGTCGTTGGAGTCCAATTGGTCAAATTGGCTCATATTTTTCATACGACTTTGCTTCAGTGACATAGTGGGTTCTTTCGTTAACGCTTCGTTGTTCATAGCATTCGTAGATCTTGCAATCTTTTTATTAAAATATTTCCTTGTTTTTGTCGACCGTGCGCAACTTTCTCTACATTTTTTCGATATCAAGCATTCTATTTGAGCCGTATAACTTTTTGGACAACAACCAGAGCAAGGTTTGCATCCGTGTGTTTTTTCATCTTCGTAGTGTCCCTTTGGACAGTCCTGACATTCTGTGTTTTTTTCTGTGGTGCAAGAGCTAATGATGTTTCTTGATTCACAATCACTGCATATCTTGCAGGACCTACTGTCGACTTTGTCTGAATATGTTCCTGGTTTGCAAGGTATGCATTCACCAGTAGGTTTTGTATCCAATGTAATACCACACGGTGCTGAAGGTTCCTTCCCAGGAGGGCATACAGAGCAAGCGAAACATTTGATCCTTCCGCTTTCATCTTCATGAACAGTGTAAGTCTCTGGGGGACATTTAACAAGACCGTCTGGGTAAAATTCACTGCTGTCTTGCAAATCCTCTAAAAAATTCCATTGCTGTACAATCAATAAGGAAAGAGAAAGTGTCACAACTGTTTTTGGAATATTTAGCTCTATTGCCTTATTTGTCGAACTATCACTTATACAACATATGAATAAGAATAATTGTTTGAATATAATTACTTGGAAGATCAACAAGGCAACTGCATTTTAATTTACTTCCTTTAAGAAAAAGCAACAAATCGCGCGTCGGCTAGTTAAAAAAAATTGTGCTTCGAGATAACTAGATAAATAGACAGTTTATTAAAATATTCAAATTACTAGCCTCCTAAGGCTGAATTGCATGAAATTTACTAAAAGTTAAAGTTATGTACACATTTATAAAATAAACAATTTTATGTGCTATAAAACGATTATAGAAGAAACTACGTATAAAAGTTTTACCGATTGGACATGAATATGTTCGTGTAACCATTAGTGTGCATTTTTGGCAACCTAAATTGCGATGGTTTTTAAAATTGTATCGATCTGGTAATGCTTTTGGGCAGTAACAGATGATGGAGTTTATGTGCAGTATTAGATACGACTGAGAGTCAAAGAGTTTATAACACCGTTCTTTGCGCCTGTCTCATTCAAACATCTGATACAAAAGGCCAGGAGAAATTACGAAACCCAGGTAACAGTTGTTATTGCCGTACGCGACGTGGTCAGAGCGAGATATGACTTCGTTCTCCATTAATCAACAGAGCCCGTGCATCCCTCAGATCACGCAAGCTATTAAATTAAGTGACAATATTCGTAGTATTCAATTAAGCGTACGAAATCCTATGCTGAAGCCCATAACGTTCAGTAAGCAATCTGGTTTAAATTGAAATTAAAGCAAATACCATAAATGGCCTCAATTTTTAGGGAGACTAATTATTCTAATATTAGTTTCGTAATAATTCATACTAGATGACTGACTTACCCACAGCAAGAAGAGGAACCCAAAAATAAATAGCACTTTGATAATAACTTCTAATTCTGCCATATTTTGCCATGATGGGATCATGTTGCCTTCTATCGATGGTGCTACGAAAGGGTCTTACCTGTATAACAACGATAAGATAGGAATAATATTCAATTTGCATTGCAAAGGCGCCGTGAGCAGAGCTAGAGGTTGGTCTAATAAGTGCATGTTTGCACAACAAGTAAATAAATGTAGCTCGTATGATTGATACAATTTAAAAAACTATGAATACTGAAAACAATCAATTACAAAGAGCAGGTGTTGTCCTCTTTGACTATTTTGCAGAAATGTATTATTCATATTATCATATTATCATATTATCATATCATATTATTCAAGTAAATTGAATTGTAAACCGGAAGCAATAATAGAAGTTGTATCAGCGATCATCTAATAAACCTTAAAAATTGCATTTGCCTTGTGGAGGTAAGCTCAAACAAATGAATTTGTATTTGCCTAATTAATCAATTCGAACAATGAAAGTTTTGATGATAATTGAACAATTAATTCACATATTGAAAGCAGGCTTTATTTGTCATAGTCTGTAAGTCTGACAGACTTAGGAAACACTAACAGGAATTTTTGTGAACAAGTCAGTCAGAAATCTTGGTGACCTACATCTCGTGCATTGGTTATCTGGGAACCCTTGCTAGTGTCCACCTGAAACCTGACGCGCATCTAACGGAGATTCCGTTACTAGCGCGATAACTTAGCATAACTCGTAACAGATAGCGGCCATGCTGTTTATAATTAAACTCTCGGAAGGTAAAAGTAATTTTTTTTCTTAGATAAAGAACTCACTTTTCCTTTCTTCCCCCCAAGTGAAAATAGGCAAAAATTGACTGTGTAGCAAACTAGAATAATTATTTATCAACAAAGTATACGATGCATTAAATATTCGTTGTAAGGCTTAAAAATTTTCTATGCTATGTAAGCCTTCCGTTTGAGATCGAGAATGTAGAGGCAATTGATGCAGGTCGTGAAAGGTCTCACACGACTCTAGCATAGTAACGCCGCAACATCGCTGAATTATTCTGTTGAAAGGAAAAATGGTCCATATTATTCTGAAGAAAATTGGTCATTTTATGTCTTAATCTTTGAAATTGCACAACAAAATATCAATTTTCAACATCCATAATCATCAGAAATTGATATTGAACTCGTCAGACACGTATTGGTTTAGTTTACGATTACTCTTATCTCCACCGTTCTTGAAAACATAAGATCGGCCTTAAAAACAACGCAACTTTCAGAACGTGGAATTCAGAATTAACTACATCCTTACCGTCGAGGTCTTAAAAAGGAGAGAGTATGTTGCTTGGTCTGTTCGAGACTGAATTCCTGTTGAGCAGTTCTTCCTGTGAACGGTATACAGGAGTTATACGTCCAGAAGAGTCTCTCCTTCGATAGCTCTATCGTAGATAAATTTGAGTCTTAATTAGAAGATACCTTCCCGGAGTATATAAACGGATATAATGCTGTGTTGCTGGAAAATCCACAAGTAGATGTACTAACACTAATACCCGTCGTGATGAGCGTGACTTTGCTTGTTGAAGATTAATGCAAATTTGCGGCCGCTTTCTCGGAAATTGTGCTGATTTATCATTGGTCAACCAAGGGTGATTATATCAAGCTCTTGGATACTTTTCGTTTGAACTTCAAACTCGATCATTCCATCGTGAATAATACAGAAAGGACTTAATGACAGGAAACAGTTATGTTTAAGAAGACATTCTTCTTTCCTTTCATATACCGGAAGGACTTTATAATCCTAGTTATATGTCAATTTGGCTGTCTTTCTGACGCATCCTAGCAGGTCGGAATGCTTTATCCTTATTTTCATCGACAGTAGCCGGTGCACCGGGATTTTTTTCGATATTTTGGTATCTTTCGCTCTTCCTTTAAAGATTAATAAACGCAAATTAACCTCAACCCATCCTTGCATGGCAAGGAAGGTCGCGCTAATAAGATCGTGGTAATTTGTTTGGAGATTGGCGTTTTAATGTCTCTAATGGCCATCGGCTACGCTCAAGACCCCGAACATAATTGTTCTCGCTATGGACCTCTTGCCCTTTTAAAAACGTTTATATTTTTGTCTTTTCTTTTATGATAAAATACGCGCTTTATGCCAGGAAAATTGGTTGATGCAAATTGTAGAAACTAGGCTTTCACAGAACATTTAAATGAACTTTAAATAGGAGGAACGCGCTTCATGATCCTTCTTTGTTTGGAGAGAAATCGAACTGATAGCCTTTGTTTTCAGGCGGAAAATTATCTCTGATTTTTTTCCTCGGAAAAACAATGAATTTGAAAACAGGATTCTAAAAGAATTTCTAAAGCTGACGTTTCATGCGTTAGCCCTTCGTATGAGTAAAAGGAGAGACGCCCATACGCCTTTTCATTTACCTTACGGTTGCAAACATCGGCGAAGTGACACTCGTGAAGAGTACAGCCTCTAACTCGATTGAAATTTCTACAAATATTTCTATCATCAGGACTGTAATCTGCGAAAGCTGTAGCCCCTGGGAGGCTTTGCATAATGAGGGTCTAGTTGTATTTACCATCGGCTCTGAGGATAATGTGTGCAGATGGTGGGTGCCAAAACTCCACGGGTAATCATAGATGGCTTGAATGTGATGAAATTCATCAGCAACCCTGATGGCAGGCTACGTTTAGCACTAAGTTCCATAATTTTGAAGGTTTAGGCGAGATAATACTACATATCCTGAAGGGATGGTCACTTCGCACAAGAGGGCAACTGGTGGAAAATCCAAGAGTTCCCTATAACCCACTAGGCCAAGAACTGATTTTAGGTCTAGAGGAAATTGAAGGTTTCTCACCCTCTATAGTTTGGGTCGGAAAACGTGCTCGGCTCAGCTGGATGGCCAATTTGGTTTGTTTACGTCCCCGCAATCAACGCGTCCAGCGGTGTCTGTGGGATGCTCTTGGTTACTCATGTAGCCCTGGACGCACTTGTCCCAACCAACATGGCCACCGAATATTGTTGAATGGTAAAACTGAGTTGTCGATCCGTACGGTCCATACGGAGCGTCTAATATGTTCACGAGTCGTAAGGCTGTGTGCCCATAAACGGATTAATGATTCGTACGAGCCGTACGGATCGTCTACGAGTCCTAAAGTTTTCTAGCCGGTCCGTGATCCTCATTAGTGAGTCGACTTCAACGATCCGTGCGGATCATGTGTGAAGTGCACAAACAACAAGAGCATTCCGCAGGCTACTAAAAAGCACCGCCCGAAGTGCACGAACAAGAAGTTTATTCCTCGCTCAACTAAAAAGGATCAAAAGGCACCAGGCAAAGTGCAGAAACAACAATAATATTCTGCGTTCTACCAAAAGAGCACCGTACAGAGTGCACCAACAACACGAGTATTCCATGTTCTACTTAGATGCACTGCGCAACAAGAGGTGCATTCCCCGTTCTGCTATAAAGCACCGCGAAGTGCACGAACGAGAAGTTTATTTCTCGTTCTGCTTAAAAAAAAAAGTATAAGAAATATGTAGTTTTTGTATCTAACAGATTGCCTGTGAAGAGATAGCATCTGCAATGGGAGCAGCTTTACACGTAGGGCTTACTTGTCCAATAGTTGGACAAGAGTATCAGTTAAGCCAAGTTGCCGATGCTTGCGTCTGTATTGCAGAAGGAAAAGGTGCCAGAGGGAAATTGGTCTTGATTGTTTAATTGGGAAAGTATGAGTTGGACATTGCCTGCTTGTTTTCTTGATTACAATTGGTCTCGTCGAGGTTTAAAAAATTATGGGTTTTCAAAGAGTTTTCCTACTGTATATAATGATTTCAAGATCAGGTTTGAAATAAGTTATTGTACTCAGTTTGCGGTCAAGTCGCCCGGAAGTCAGCTCGCCTGACGTCACATCACCCGGAACCTGAGTCACGTCGCCTAGAATATTCGTCATGTCGCCCGATTTTTTTTGTTACCACTTGTAAAAACATCAAAATGGAATATTTTTAGAAACTGTTGAAGCTACCGATCGAAACACCTTTTAGGGGTACATACTTACGTTACCAATCCTTTACCAGCGAAATGTCACTGTAAATGCGACCTGATTTACAGTAGTTACAAATAGGATTAAATACACGGAGCTAAATTAATTTTCTCTATTAAGGGAAAATCCTATTCAGGCATTATAACCATTATAAGTATCAGAATGCACAATACACTGCACAGAAAAATCAAGTATACAAGAATAACAACAGTACTTTAATTATGCAAACAGCACCTTAACTAAAAACTATATTCCATGACAACTATGTAAAAAATAACAATTTCAACTTTTTTTTTTTTTCATTAGTGCTCATTTGTTTTATCTTACTTTACAGATCACTTTACGTTTAACCCTTTCACTCTCAAAATCTAACTCTCCTCATGATTTAACTTTCATTTCTAATAGTATTTCTGAGAATTTAGTAGTGAATTAATTGATGGTCTCCTGGTTGCCGTTGTACCTTTCTTTATTCTCATCACCTGCCTACTTTTTATTCTACACTGGATATTATTAAGAGAAATTATGTGACACAATTATGCTCCAAAGACCTGATTGGTTACCTTAAAAAAGTTAAATCCACTAAGTTAAGATAATTTCTCACTGTAGCTAAATCACTATTCGCAATTAGTCCACCATTGAGCACATTTCCGGTGAAAATCATTGAATGATTATTTTCCAGCTAGCCAATTTCATAATTCAGTCTACATGTGATTATTAGTTAGGACCACCCTAACTGGAAATGTAATCAGGTTTTTATAGAGGGAGAACTACATTTTGCTGTTTTTTTCGTGTTGGAAGCTTTCTCCCAGAAGATAACCTCAAACGTTGTCAATAAAGTCTAAATGTCTTGCCCGGGTTGTTCAAGGTTAACCCAAGGTTAGCATGGAATTTGATTTCAGGTCTGAAAGCTTTAAAAGAAAATTCGGTTTAAATCTTTTTGCTTGCGATTTGATCATTGAATGTTCTAAAAAGAATAGGGAAAATTTTCACTAAAAGGGTTTGGAAAAAAGAAGTATAGAAACCTGCATTAAAATTTAACCCTGGGCTGACACAAATCGGCGTTTGAACAACTGGGCCCTGAACTTTAAACTTACTTACATAACTAATGCAACTGTGTTTAAGTGTAATGATGTTTCATCTATTTAAACTACTGAGTTGTAAATATCCTATAATTTTTGGAGGAGAGGAAGTGACATTTTATCATTTTAGAGTTAATTTGCTACTTTCACAAGTGCCACAGCCCTCGATAAAAAATAACACCTCCAGTATTATGTTTCCTGACAAATTCATGCAATTCACGGTGAACATTATAATCACTAATTATAATCTACATTTACTGGTAGTTAGGTTATCTCACGCAAAGTGTTATTTTACATGATACAACATACATTAATTGTCATCAGACTGAAATTTTTAAAAATAACACTAGGAGATTTAAATAATCAGGTTATTAATTTTTATGGCTTATTGACATGCATCAGTGAAAGGTTTGATTGATATCCATTATGTAGAAAGATTGAAAAAATTGACCCTTAAAATAAACGGTTTGAATTAGCCACTCAGAGTGGGCTGTAAGCAATGATTTTTAGACCCCCAAAAATGTACTCAAAACTACACGTGAACTTCATTCATCAGCTACATGCATACCAGGTAGCTGTCTGCAACTCTTTCCCTGCTTTTTGGAGTCAAGGTATTCATTTTACTTCATTTTGTAAATGTAGACGGATGCGTTGAACAACATCTCGACGTTTTACGTCTGGGCTCTCTAGGATATCTATAAGGTCAGCAATAGTGAATTCTGGACGTGTCGCTCTCAGTTTTCTTAACAGTTCTCCTGTAGCTGGACTTGCCATTGACTTTCCGTTTTCCCAGTAATCCAGATCATCCTGGTCAATCTGTAATGCCTTTCCCACTTTTTTCCAACCACAGTCCACTTCAAGTTTCTTAACGAGGATGTCTTCAAGAAAGGGGGATATGTCACTTAAGGGTGCATCTGAAATTTAGGTACATATAGGTGATTGAAGTGAGATAAGATTATTAATACTGTATCACTAGAACTTTTCATCTTGTCTTTTTTCATTAAGAAATCTTTTGATTGAAAAAGAACCTCTCTTTTGGAGTTACTCACTTTCAAGGCCAGCAGCAGATGTGCTTTTCTCAGAAAAGCTGCCTTCCAAATTGCCATTGATTAGAGAGACTTGTGTGTCGTCACCTAAAAAAAAATAAAAAGAGACAGTGGCGAGATCCTACACAAAAGAAAAAAATATAATAAATTTCAGGTAGTTTGACTCTCATTAGTTTGACACTCCTTAATATTGCATCGTACATTTTTGTCATTTTCTTTTTTTAACCCTACCAACATCATATGTACTTACAAAACTAAGTTTATTTGCTGATTACAGAAAAAAACTTACAGAAAAATTTCTTACAAGCCAGAGACTAATCAAAGTGCAAACACTGCATGAATACAGAGAAAGTAGGATGCTTAGAACCCAAAATGAATGGCCTCTTCTCTATGAAGCAAGTACATGAATTGTGAAAATACTGTGGCTGTGATTCTTACACAGTACTTTAAGTCATTACGTTTTGTCAAGTTAACCGAGGGTAATAAATGACCATGGACCCCAAGAAATGAGATTGGCGGTTTATGTTGATCAAGGACGTGTCAAATTTGCTGGGGTTGTTTAGGCAATGAGTCTCAACAGTTCAAAGATCTTTGCCTTTAGTTTATACATAGATTTTCTGGTAGAGACTTTTTTCTTACCGATTTGATGAGTTGTTTCATCCAGTAGCTGTTTATATTCTTCGGTACTCTTCAGATTTATACAACAATTAAACACACAATATCTAGGCTGAAGATGTCTTGACTGCCTTTTACAACAGAAGTATACTATGACGCAAACTGTGAACAGCGCCAAAATAGATATGGCCACAATAACGATTATTATAATCTTCACTAGTTTTGCGAAGTTCATTCCAAAACAGCTTGAAGCCATTTGCAAATTGGAATCGACGGTGTTGAAGTCAGTGGAGACAGTTCCAAATTCCTCGAATGATTTGGTGATGGTGGTTATAACAGTATCTAAATTATTGCTGAGAAGAGTGGCGCTTTTTTCGTTTGCCAGTTTAGTGGTATTTCCTTCACTGACTCCTTGCAGGACCTGCGGAACATCTCGTGTTACTCTCGTTCTTTTCAAAATGTTCTTCAATGCCAATTTCTTTGCGTTGCCTGAATTTTTACTGCTAGAAACACCTAGAAGTGGCGCTGGGTTTGGAGGATTTATTATCGTCGCAAACCTTTGAGAATTTATCTCCAATTTTTGAATATCATTTCCCTCATTTTCTATTTCTTGAGTACAGTTTGTTCTTAAGCATTGCCTGAGATAAAAGCACTCCACCTCAGCAAAGCGCTTCGGTGCACAACACGACGAACACTGTTTACAAGTGTCCACTGTGGGGCTCCATTGGAAGGTACCACGAGGGCAGGTCCCACATTGTGCATTTTTGCTCGATGTGCATGAGCTAACGGTTACTCTTGGACCGCATGTCAGACACAGTTTACAAATACCTCTTCCGCTAATGTCTTTAAAGGTTCCCGAGGGGCAAACGGTACAATTTATTAATGCATCTGGCTGTACTTTGCTGCCACATGGTGGGGTAAGTTGTTGTCCTGGGGGACAGTCTGGGCATTCTTTGCATCCAGTTATCGAATTATGTCCTCCAAGAATCTGGTATGATGATCTTGTGCATGTTTCGCTTGGGTTGTCGTTAGTTTGGGGTATGTTCCAAATAGTATACAGCTATTTCAGAAGCAAAATAAAATATTAAGTAATGCAAGCACCCTTTCATCAATTAATTGAACCTTTCCATCGGTGTTATCTACGGTAATCGGAATTCGTTATATAAGTTTCGCAATATAATCAAGTGACTCTTAGAATGTTTATTGGCTTTACCAAATAGGGTAGTTCGCGTGACTACCACGGGTTAAGAACATTGAGCGAATTGCAGTTCCTTCACAAATCCCTAATTGCTGCTGCTTTTGAATTGCTCTACGAGTTCAAAGTTTTCCTTAGGATGAGTTGCACGTTATCGCATATTCTACCGAGAGTGCTCGCATATAAATACTGCCATTTCACGTCAGCATACCTTTAGCATTTAGATGCTAGAGGCGATTTGTTTTGCTGTAGTTGGCCTTAAAATCAGGCAACAAACCTGACACAAAGGTCTCTATAATTCATTGCGATCAGCCGCAAACGAAATTAATATAACTTAGAGAGCGAAAACAGACCACAAGTTGTCACGTAGCGGCGAGTAAATCTTATAATTTTCTTAGGAACCGTGCTTGGAATCAAATATATCTAGATAAAAAGTGGCGTTATACTTGAAGTTACTTGACTGCATGTAATTGCTTTCTAGACTTAAATTAATTTCGTACATTAGTTTTCTAGTTCTTCCGCTTACTTAATTCAAACATATAGTCAAAGAAAAACAATTGAACTGACACTTACAAAGCAAATTATGAATGTAACAAAGATGATCCAAATAAATCTAAGGATCTTTGTACGCTCCCGAACAGACAGCTCCATGGCTTCTCTTATCAAATAAGCAAGGGAATCTGTAAACTCCATCCTAACTGAACTTGTGGGGAGTATCGAGGCCTGAATTTAGAGAAGAAAGACAGCATTAAAAACCCAACGTTGTAAAATCAATTTATTTTCAGTCTAAACGGATGAGTAGCGTCGGAAGTGAATATGCCGGAATTTAGAGCTCGTTTACGAATCTTTAGAGGAACACAAGTAACACATTTGATTTTCTCATTCTTTGAGTAGTCTTCCCGGTCTTAGTCATTCACAAGTCGTATCATTATAATATATACATCTTGTTTTACAACATTATTGGTGTGAATGCGGTACGTCAAGCAATGTATAGTGTGACTTCCTAATGTTTACCTAGCGTTAAATCGTTGTGGTATACTAATTCATGTTCTCGTCGCTTTACCCTCCTTAAGCCCTTATATGAATTTTCACAACTTATGAATCTACAGCTTGTTACAAGCCCCTATGAATAAATTACTTTCACGTTTTATATAATTCAATGTTCCAACAAGTAACGTGTAGTAACTGTGGAAATTTGTCTTTAAGCTTTAAAGAATATCGAAAGCCTCACTGAGCTTGCTGTCGTAAATCAGAATATCAAGCAGTACAGGTGACAAATATCATTGAACAGCGATACTGTTCTTTAGTTATAAGGCATAGTACCTTACGATGTCTTCTCATGCTTGCTCTGAACTAACCAGATCGACTCCTGATACCACTGGCATGAAGATATAACTTTCTTCCGATTATTTTGCGGTGAGCTTGGTAAAGAAAGAATCGAAATTAGCTAGTACCAGTTCCCCTGGTTCCGAGATCGAATTAATAAATTTCCCTTTCCGATTATGTAAACGGTCGGGATTTATATTCATATGTTTTTTGTTTTCTCTTATATTTTGTTTAGGCTAAAAATTCGCCGGTAATCTTCTTGGTAACTTGAAATCCTGCGATTTTTGCGCATTTGTGTAACGCGGTCCCAAGTTTTATGAGAGTGGTTTTTGCCTGAGATCTTTACTCGAGATGCTAAAAGAATAAATATCTTGAAACCATGGCGGAAGTACAGAATTAATCGTTTTTGCTCACGCGAACAACAGTTACACTTGTTCTACCCAACAATTCAAGGGTTTTCTCTAGTCCGGCGCAAAACTAATCAGCCAGCAGAGTCACTAGCTACATCTGGCATTCCTTCACCTCGTTCTTTTATTTACTTTTTTTCGAAAGAGAAATCATCAATGTTATAAATCTGACTTTAATCAAAAATGTTTTTGTGTGTGAAAATAACTCGGAGACAGAATCTCTCTTCAAATCTAAACCCTAAAACTTAACTGGCTCAGTTTTCCTTGGCGGAAATGCTCCACTTTTATAAATATTTGTTGACGATACCCAACGCTGCAAATTCTCGTGCAAGTTTATATCGAAGAGAGCACGAAAAACTGAACATCTCACTTAATGAACAGCTAGCCGTTCGCAAACATTTTTTTTCTCGTAAGTCACAAAAAACATTTGAACTTGTATTAAGCAGTTATACACGAGGAATGGCGGGTTGACCGTTTAATGCAGTTTGACCAGCAAATAACTTGCGTGACATTGGTACGTAATATTTGTCCTAACAATATTAATTAAGAAGAAAGATAATCTGCACTACATTGGGGGCATTTCGACTCGAAGCACTAATATTCATTCCGGGAGATAAACATAAAATTAATTTGACTCGAAAGATTACTCTTAGTTTTATTCGAGTGGTTCCACTTTATGTAATCGTTTAATATATATAGGCCGGGAGAACAATACAAACAAGCTCTTGGTACTTAGTCAAGAATGACCACGACTGCTTAATAAAGGTGTGACCGCTCAATAGAGATGAAAATTATTGTGCTTAAGAAAAAAAAATTTTTGGGATTTTTGACAACCGACCGCTTCATACTGGATGACAGCTAAGTATGCTTACTACAGGTTCGATTGTATTAAAAGGATAATAAACCAAAAGAAATCATTAAACACAATATCCTCCATTTGGTGCGAAATGTGCTCTTTCGTTTACACTTTAAGGACGAGACTACTCATGTCTGCGGGAAACCTTTGGAAGTTTGGGGGTTGGCCGCACACTCGCCACCGATATTTATGCATGCAAATTACCACCTGAAACCTATAAGATTCATTATCTGCTTGGCGCGTCTTTTGATTGTGAAAGTAGAATTATTCTTTGTTATGAGTTTTTTAGTTACGCTGCAAGCTCTGAGAAGCCTATGATTTTATCACTGATTCCAATCAGCATACAACTTGGCTGATAGATAAATATTGATCTGCTTATTCAATTTGATGATAAAAATTTTGGGTCACCAAACTTGTTCTTTTAGTTAGAGGCACATGAAATCGAAATTAAGGGTGTTTCTATGTAAGGGGCTGCAGTGTAGGTGTGGTATTCTAAATTATCAATCAAACGATCATAACACATTCAGAAATATTTAGATATTTCTTGACACCGTTTTCAAGGGAACACCGGTAAAAATGGGTGGTAGTGTCTATCAATCAAATAATTGGAATTAATCAAATGCTAAGCCCACATAAGCTTCGTGTTATTTCCTACTTGGGCGCATGTTTCTACGATAGCAGGAGTTTTAATGAAAATGGTTTTCACTACATTTAAAATAAACTTTTACTCACACTAAAACGAAATTATTTACACTATAATACAGTTTTCGCAAATGTTTACAGTCAGATGAGGCGCTAAGTTGTTTTGTGGCGAACTGTTCTAGATCCCTATACCTCATTCACATCGGGAAAACATACGTAGTTAAACCGAGTTAAACTGAAGGAAAATCATAAATAGAGAACTAAAAGAATGAATTTCCATAGGATTCAAGTAATTGTCAAATTGCATTTTGAATGTGCAATTTTTTGATTTGACAAACATCCGTTTCGCAGCTTCTATGAAGAAAAAAAATTTACACCCTGTTTCATCCTTAAACAGAATTGTACTCCTTAAAACTGTTTTCCAGATAGCAACAGGCGGCGGGGTTAAAAGGCCGAAGATCTTACCCGCGCAAAGAAAAAAATCCTATTATGCATGTTGGGAATTACTGACTGTTTGAATGAATTGAATGGCGAGAGATGCGACATCGTGGCGGTTTACTTTACGACTCTTCAATACATCGATGAGGTCGGATATTGTCGCACATTTAGAAGTTCCAAGTTTCAATAACAGCTTGCTGGTTGGACTTCCGTTTTCTCTTTTGTATTCAATATTTAGGTGACGGAGTTCATCTCTGCAGATCTTAAATGCAGCACCCACTTTTTGCCAACCATAGAAACTTTCACCTTTGCGTCGCACGTCCAGTTTCTCTACCAGTAAGACTTCAAGATCTGGAGGTAGCTCGGACAATATGAGACCTGAAAAATTGAAGAAGTTTGTCATAGTTGAAACTCGGATTTCCTCGGCAACCTGAAATCGTTTGAAGTCAACAGCAAGAGGCATTAAATCTGGCTAATATTTGGTAAATGGCCCAGATATGTATTCTTGTGAATTTCAACGAATGACGTACTGTACTGATTCGATACAACGCTTCGTTCCAATAAGCGCTGTCTCTCTATGAGGGGCTCCATCGAATTTGCTCTTTTTTAAAAACGCCCGAATACCAATGAGCGGCCTCATTCCAATTAGCACTCCTATTCGGATAAGTGTCCCTATTCTGTTTCAGTAATATCACTGTTCGAGTACCATTACATTACATAAAACGTGGCTCATTTTCCTCTAATGTCCTCATTGCAAAGACAGTGGTCTTCCTCACAGTCTCTCTATTATGCTCACGTGAGTGCACAGTTCCTTCAAGCAAATGACCTCGTCTTCATATTTTGCAGCGATTACTTAGCTGGTCGATCTGCCCAGGAAGAATCAGGAGCAAGTCCATTTTCCAGTCTTCCTGATCCTTTTGGGTAGACATCAAAGCTTTGTTTCGCGCATACTGCTGTATTTCAAAAAAGAAATAAGCGCCCTGTCTCTAACAAGCGCCCTGTTCTGAATGGGGGCCCTCCCTTAAGGTACCATAAGTCAATAAGCGCCCAGGCGCTAAATCAAATCAATACGGTAGTAATGGGGTATATTTATAACGCAGATGCAGCCTCTCACCTTTAAGATCATCAGGAGAGGTAGACAGGTCGGTTGAATTCTTTACGTTTAAATGATCAGCATCGTCAGAGGAGTACGACATTTCTTTGAAAACAGATGAACAAAGTAAACGAGTTAGATGAAATAATACGCAAAGTTGACGCTCTATGTGAAAAGATATTTAAATGATTTCGGGTGCAATTTAGAACCAATAAGCCAGATTATTTATTAATGTACACGGATGAATTTTGTGACCGAAGAAAGATGTGTATAAAAAGAAAAAAGACACAAGATTTATGGGTGTTTTTTTAAGCAAACTCGATGCGGAATTAAGTTCCTAAAAAATAATTACAATACACATAATGATTTTTCGCCCACCTTCAATTGACTCTGCGCTCTTTAATCTCTGATAGTCTCGGCAATCCTTATTCCAAATAATGTGTCTGATACTATTCAGAAGCCACACCACAAATCCAAGCAATACGGAAATTATGACAAGCACAACAACCACTACAACTTCGACCCACGGAAAACCACCTAGCACATAAGTAATGTTTATAATCTGAGATCCCCAGGTGGCGTTAGATGTTTTTCCATGCAACCCTTCTGTGTATGGTGTTGTGAAATGTTTTGGCCTTTTCGATTGCTGTATCAACGGTCGTCGTGGTCTACTTAATAGTAATGACTGGTTGTCATATTTCTTCTCCCAACGCTTAACCGTATACGGAAGGGAATGTGCTCTAGATGGAACCGTCGTCGTGCGTGGTATATCCGGTGTAGACCTTTTATGTGAAGAAAAATGCTCATCCAGTTTTGATGAGTTTGAGTTATCAAGCCTCTCCGTCTTATAGATATCGTTCACCTCCAAAGGAGACCAGGTGAAAACTTTTCCATTTCGGATGCTGAGATGGTTGGTTCCTTTGCCATTTGAAAGGTATGTAAGTTTAATCCCCTCCGTAGGCAAATGAGTTTTCCTTGGTATCCTCTTAGTGGCGTGAATTGCAATTGGCACACACATCACAATGGTATCGAGAGTCACTGTTCTGCCACATGGCGGAGTAAGCTTCATGCCTGTACCACAGGGGCGGCAGGGCTGACATTTAATGACAGTACTGTCATTGCCGATCAACTTGTAATTTCCTGGTAAACAGGTGTCATTAGTTCCTGCGATATGGTCTAGCCGCCACCACCACCATTGCAACAATACCTGGCTCTGTAAACGGATGGATGAACAAACAATTATAGTATTTTCCATTCGACTGACTATCACAAGTGTTCGCATTTGGCTCCTAAAGTGTTTTACAATACAGGTTACACTGAAGATGAAACCAACGGCGAAATTACAGGTAGTTCAGGCATCTGAGCAATGATCATTTGCATGCTAAATGTTTGTATCTAAGTGTAAATAAAGACGTGGATAACCTGTTCCAACCAAGTTTAACCTCAATACCTCAATAAGACTATCAGGGTAAAGGAACGATGTCTTATCCAGCAATGACCCCCCTTCCCCCTCCTTAAGTCAGGAGGAGTACTTATCAAATTAATCGGTTCTTAGAATGATATCATGTGTAAGAGTAACTATAGGTGCATTTTGAGTAATCAACATCATCGAATTGCGTATGAACCCAAACTGTGGAAAGAACCGAAAAAAATGGCCCCAATGTCCGCTGTGAAAGGTACAAAAAATGTAATAACAAGCGCTTCCACTGAACACTCCACAATTAGATTTTAGAAGTATTTATTAAATATTTATAGTTGTGGGAGACTGACTTACCAATATCAGCACTACCACGGCAAACAAGAGAAACACAGCTTTCCATCCTGGAATCGCCATCAGCGTGGATGTTTCGTACTCTAGAGACAATTAAAGCGATTCGATTCTGGAACAGATCTGTTTTGAATATATTTGAGTTAAACTATATATATAACTCTGCAAAGCTTTAAATGGCACACATGTCCGGAGTGCGATTGTTGCCATTTATCCTCATTCACTCCACGACTAATTTAAGCATCTAACCCATTATACATGTGCTAAGCTAAACTTCCTCGATGTAAGCCATGGTGATCAAGTGGTCACCGTTGGAACACATGATATTGAAGAATTGCGTGACATTCTTTCCCGATGGCTGCGAAATCATTACTGGGTTACTCGCATATGCCCAAACAAGATGATCATATCCACGAAAAAACTTGAAAATTGCATCTTGTATTGTGTGATCGCTTTCGCTCAAAAAGATTTTTCGCACAAAAACGATAGGGGACACTTTAGACGAATACTCACGGCTCCGTTGAGCCGAATCACAGACACAACATTCATGTCTATGTTTGCATTTTATCAGATTGAGTATGTCATGTAGGAAACCATTATATATTTTAACCTTAAAATGATTGTCATACCCGTGTGCTTCTTGCGTGACTATTTTAATCGCTACTCTCAAGGACACGCAAATGTCGGCTCATGATAAATTAATGACCCTTCACTACCGTTCACTTGAACCCCATGCCGACAGACAATTGTTTACAATGACGTCGTAAACAGCGAATATTTTTAGCGCTTTTTTGGAAACCAAAAGTAGAGGCACAAGGAAAACGTGGCGATTTTGTACAGATATGGATAGTGCAAAAGCCCAAAAACGTTTCTGTTTTAGATTATGATCAAAAGTTAGAAGTTTCGAGTCGAAGATTAATTACATCGTTTTCAGTGGCCAATCAAATAACGACACGCGAACGAAAAGTAAGCTCACATGCTTATGCGTACAAACTTAAGAGCTAAGAAATACTGCTGTAAAAAAAAGTCACGAATTCGACTATCTGCCCTTATTTGGCAGGCCCTTTAAGCTTTGTTTTGCCTTAAGCAGTTTCCTAGAAGGAAAGAACTGAAAACTCAAACAAATCAAACTGCGCCGTTTCCATGTGAAGGCAGTCATGTACACAAATCGATTACCGGCTAGGGCTCGTTTGAATTTACAATTGAGTCGGTGAATATGCAAAGTAAAAGTACCTTTCTTTGGCTGAGTCAGATGTTTGTGTTGGGTATACCAATCGCAAGACGGGATCTGTGCAGAACAAATCCGATGTTGTGGATAAAACGATTTAGTTGGGATCGCTGATTTGTTTCCTTGACAAGTCAAGGCAAGTTGAAGACGCTTCTTTTAGCAGCCTGTTTCCGAACCCATTCACGTTGCAAAATGACTCGTAGAGTTTGATATTTTCCAGAAACGTCAGACGCAGCGAGCGTTAGAAGACTGTTCAGGACATCTTGCAAATACACAACCAGAACAGAAACAATGCCAAATAGAGGCCTACTGACGAGCAATACTTCCCAAACGGGGAATCCCCTTGACCACACTGTCTATGATGACGTATTTGGCAAGAATGATAAAGGCCTCTGATACACTGTAATAAATCTACACTTTACCGCTGACACTTCGCTGGCTGTATGATAATAAAATGGTTGGAAAAAGTGGAAGCATATACACCCGAATAACGTGGCTCTTTAGGGAACATCTTTACATACTTCATATCAATTCAAGGAACGAAATTTCAGACGTAAAATCGATCGAGGAGCGGAAATCCACCAAATTGGTAAACAACTCAGTCTTAAGGTAGCTCTCATAACAGCTTCTGTCACTTTCATTTTAAAATGGCTTTCACTGTTTTGAAATTAAAAGTAAATGCCATCATTTCTTTTGTGACCATTTCTGATTTCATCTAAGTCACGCAACTTTTTCCCTCGAAATGAAACACACAGGTAATGTAAAAGCGAGCTGCACCACATCACCCGCCTCACGTGGTTTATTTTAAATTTTTTCTCGAACAATTTTGATATACATGTAGGTTTGTCTATCCTCTCTTGTTGGTCCTCGTGTCCTCTCACTAGACCAGCGTACCATATTGAAAAACGATTTCTTCTCTCGCAAAATTGCGCAACAGGAACAGAGAACTGCGGTCACCATCCTGAGGCTGCCAATTTTTGAAAAATTAAGCGCGAAACTACTGGGCCCGAGTCGGACGCAAGTCAAATCCCAAAGGGGTATTTTCTCAGAACACTTGCTAGCAAATATCACACAAAATGGCGGACAGTTTGTTTGGAAACGAAAAGAAAGAGATCAAGGACCATTTTAGAGATTATTCCTCAAGCTATAATTCAATTGATGCAGTAATTACAAAGGTAAGGGACTATTTTTCTCATGGTATGTGTATTTGACCAATTTTCCCAGGAAAGACCCTTTCAGCTGGGGCGTCGAGTTCACTGTCACCCAATGCTTGAATTAACAGGAAAAAAAAAAACGAATTGGAAGCTGAAACCTACACTCAGACTTTGCTCTCTGATGCTCGAGTAATAATTTTCCCCAATCTAGTCGTCAGTATAATTCGAGGAAAACACCTCAAAGTTGCAATTAGTTTTATTTATTTAATATGTGCCCTAAAATATCTACATGTCTTAGGTTATTCAATCATGATTATTTCTGCTAAACGTTGCTCAACAGTTATCACATGGTGATACCATTTTTTGTATTATTCTATCAAAACTATGTTAAAAATCAGTGAACTTTTAAGTTATATTTATCCTAAAACACCCACATTTACAGTTGTCCATTAACATTTCCAGTAAAATGTTAAACATTTTATTGCATGTCAGTATCATTTTTATATTATTTTCTTAAAACTGTGTTCAATAAAAACAAACACATTTTTAAATACTGCACACCTTAAAATAACTATATTTACATTTTTGGAGACATTTCTGTCTTTACTAAATTTAAGGCCTAGGCAAATTCAGCCTATCACCACGGTATTTTTATATTCATGTCCTCATTGCATGGCATATTCAGGGATCAGCTAGGTGTAAAAAGAAAGCCATGAACTTAAGTCAATGAATAAGCTCTCCCACCAGCCCATATTTAAAGCCCTCCCCATTAGGGGCACATCAAGTGTTTTCACGAGTATGTCTTCGACATCTTGGGATATGTTGGTCAATTTCAAACCTGTAAGCATTAGAATCAATATATTGATTAATAAACTAAACTGTTGATTACTCATCAAAGAATGGAGATTCAAAGGAGCTGCAAGCATCCATTTGTCACAGATATATTATTTACCTTTGCAAGGAGAGTACAATTTTCTGAGAGCAAAGCTCAGAGAAAAGTGGAAGCTCCGAGGAACAAATATTTATGTCCAAGAACAAATATCTGACCATATCACTGCAATGAATGGAGGCTACTGCTTGTGTATCAAGGAAATGAAAAATGTGGTAGTAATGTCAGGGAGAGGAAAGTTACATGGTGATTACAGTCATGCCTGATTCTCAGTGTTCCATATCCCAATTTTCAAAAGCAAAAAAAAACAAAAGAAAAAAATTACAATTGCAACAACAAAAAGGAAACAAATTGCAAACCACAGAAAGGACTAAACATAATAGCCATGCAAACAATTTGAAGGTATTTTAAAGCTCCAACCTAGTCTTTAATTATTAACTATATTAAATATATGGAAACTCACTTTCAAGGTCAACAGAAGCTTTGCCATCTGTTGAGGTGGTTTTGTTCAAAGCGTCCTGAATGCCATTGACTAGGTCAACATAATCTGAAAAATTACAATGGGAAATTTCAGTATGTCATGATTACCTCCAAAGGTTAAGCTTATTAAAAGAAATTGCACTGAAAATATCTACAACTGATCAGATACTGTTTTTATTATCAACTGTACTATCTTGTGGTAATGTTAAGTGTGACTGTTTTGTAATTTAGTTAGTTTTGCTTTTTAATCATTATCTTGATGTACAAAACAGTTTGTGCAATAATTCGTGGCATTGCTGCAAGGCTTAACTATCCTTGAGAGTTAAGGGGGGGGGGGTGGGGAAGAATGGGGGGAAGAGGGAAGGGGAGGGGCTGAAGCCTCACCCCTCATGCAAATGTCAGTCTCTTCGCATTTCAGTTTTGAAATTGCAGCATAAAGTTGTTTAGGTAAAATATTCTGCCTCATGATTTCTTCCCAATTTTCCGTACATGCCCAGTGAACAGTTTGATATATTTGTCTTTTTGTAGATAACTAGCCTATTTGCTTGTGTGGAAAAGCAAAGCAGGGCAGGAACCCTCCGCATGTAAGTTTTCTCTCTTTATTGCATAACTTGCCTTTTTTAGGTGTTGTGTCACATGTAACAGGCTCAAATCCTTCATAATTGCGATTTATGTATTGTGCACAACAGGTCATCGTAATACCACTTGACTGAGGTTTACAGCATATTATTATGAGCAAACCAACGGAAGTAAGTGCAATAATTCCAAGTATCACTGCAAGTGAAATAAACACAGCTATCAAGTGTTTAATGGTTTCACTAAGGTAGCTTACAGCCATCAGCAACGTTGGCTCCACAGCATTGCCGCTGGGAAGAGTTCCAAATCCCTTCTGTGGTTCAGTGGTGGTGTTGTGGGTACTGCTTGAGATGATTTGAGTAGAATGTATTTCTTCCTTGGCCATATTTGAAGCAGATTCTACATTTTCTCTTTGTATGGCCTGCAGCACCTCTGTTGTAACTCTTCTTCTCGTTAACTTGGATACTATGACCTGTAAACCCTGTTTTTTTAGTTGGTCTGAGTTGTTACCTGAAGAAAGGTCATGGAGTGGCATTGGCACAGGAGGTGTCACTCTTCTAGGCATTCGCACACTTTGAGAATTTGTAGCATCTACTTGTTGAGGGTTGCGTTCCCCAGTTTCCATTTCTTTGGTGCAGTTTTTTCTCAAGCATCGCCTCAGATAAAAGCATTCCACCTCGGCAAAGCGTTTTATTGCACAGCAAGTTGAGCATTTTTTACAAGAGTCAACTGTGTAGCCCCATTGGTAGGTTCCACGAGGACAGCCTCCGCAGTGTGCATTTGTCTCTGATGTACATGGGCTAGTGATCTCTCTCGGGTGACATGTCCTGCACACTTCACATGATGCACTACCATGTCTCTCTTTATAACTTTGGGATGGACATGTCGTACAGGTTATTGAGGCAGCATTTTGCTGTAATTTACTGCCACATGGTGGAGTTAGTTGATGACCTGGGGCACAGTCTGGGCAAAGCTGACATCCGATTGTCGTATTTTGGTGACCAAGAATAGTGTATGATGAAGTTGGACATGTTCCATCAGGATTGTTATTAGCTTGGGACAATTCTTGTAGAATAAACAACTGTGCGAGAAGAAAATGAGATGTTAAAGCACTTCAACCGCATAGCCTGTATACAGCCATCCCCTTCCCCAAATTTTAATTTTGGGGAGGGGGTCTGGCTGTACATTGGCTACTACTGAAATATTAAGGGAGTTCATTTGTTATCTGCAATCTACCCTCCACTGCCCTCGTGATTTATCCCAAAAATGCCTGCAATCTAAATTCGTTAATTTATCCGTGCATTTTTAAAATTCAGTGAAAAGTTCAGGCCCAAATCTCTTACAATTGCCTTAGAATCGCCATGTGAGTCGTTATTCTCGCCTATAGTCACACTTGGATCACATAGTACTTACAAATATTTGTCCACTAAGACCTTTCGGCCCAAGACCCCTGTTTACACGCTCGCGTACCCACTAGAAGCACATGATTATTAGATTCAAACAACAAAGTTAAAACCCAGGTATAAATATGGGATTTTAAATTAGGTGTTTTTGGGCACCAAACCATACAGATAGCGAAATCAGAAGTCGCTAGAAAGTCACTAAATCAAACTTAAATAATGTCAAGAAAACGGCGATTTAAATCCTATATATAAATATATAAATATATATATATATATAAATATATATATATATATAAATATATATATATATATAAATATATATATATATAAATATATATATATAAATATATATATATATATATATATATATATATATATATATATTTATATATAGGGAGTCTGCAAGTCGATTTTCGCGTGGAACAGTGCTCATTACGTTGAGGCAGAGCGGAATAAATATTTTAAGAGGAAAAAAGGACGCAACTACATTTTCCCGACAAGCCTGTTTCGTGAATCGCTTCACTCTTCAGGGGTTCTTCATTAAACCCCTGAAGAGTGAAGCGATTCACGAAACAGGCTTGTCGGGAAAATGTAGCTGCGTCCTTTTTTCCTCTTAAGATATTTATATTTATATATATGTAGGATAAAAATTTCAGTGATGGCGTGACACCAAAAACTACGCATGTGGTAATAGGAGCACAATTAAAACTTTCAAGTTCTGTGCTTAATGTTCTTGGAAATTGTAACTCATCACTTACATAGCAATAGATTAGAGTGAGAAAGATGGCTGAGATGATTAGCAGAATTATTTTCTGGATCCTAGTCGGCCAGCGACTAAATAGTGTCTTTCTAATCACATTTACAGGATCTCCTTTGAGGTCTATCTTTCTTGAACATAAAGGGAGTACCGAAGCCTGTAATCAGAAAAGAACGAAATGACTTAAAAAATTCGGAAATATGCCATTCACTTTATCTTGACTACCTAGACCTTTTCTAAATGGGTAAACTGCGATGTCACTGTGATCCGTATTTGATGTTCTATCTCGAGCTGTTGATCTTTAGAAACAAATTTTATCACCTTGTTGTACGAGAAATCCTCCATGTATTTAAGTAATGCAAGGTATATTGTCGTATCAATATTATTATTAGTGAATGACTGACAAAACTCGTAAACTCGAACTGTAATTTCATTGATCATGATGTTCCTGTGTTTGCGCAGCATTGAAAATAGTATGCAAATTCTTATCCTCGATGTTCGTTTTAAAATAGTATTAGTAAAAGTCTTAAAATAGTATTATTTCATCCTGTCATTTAAAAGTTGATTTGAGCCCTTTCCAGTTATTTTTCAAACAGGCGTTTTAGATAACCTGAATGGTTAGTCATCGGCAATAAGTACCTAAAATCGAGATACATCGTAAAGTCGTCGATAAACAGTATAAGTGACGTCCAAATCTTCTAGTTTAGCCACCTAAGCTTTCATCGTAGATTAATACCTTATGATGTCTTCCCATCTTTGTTGTGCACTGAAAATGATCCCGGATTTCTCTATGAAAACTAGAAAGGTTTCATCAAATACATTTACCGAGTGCTTTGATAGAAAGGAATCGAAACTAGAGCCAGTTCCTCGAAACTGACCTGGCCTGGGCGGAAGTGAAGTGAAAATCTACTTATTACTTGAGCTTCCTGTGGAAAACCCCACATTTAAAATTCGGTCGTTTACATCTGCGCAGGCACAGGTTTTCAGGCTCCTAGGAAGGATTTGTGGTTACTTGGCAAAATCCAAAGTTGAGTTATTATGTTCTTGAAAATTTGATGTCATTTCTACTTGAAATGCGGTGTTTGATAAGACAATGATATCAATTGTTTTTATCGAAACTTGCGTCTCGCGGTCGCTCATTAAAATTTGCTTTGCAACGCGACGTTTGCAAAGTGTTCTCCTGCTTGCAATTAAAAAAGAACTTCTTAATCTTCTGTCTCGAAACGGCAAACCTCGGAGATATATTATTTTTGTAAAAAAAAGCTTTCAAATATCCACAGAATCAGTTACTTACAAGATCATAGTGCCGTTACTCGTTACTGCACTACTTTGTTTAAAAACACCCCCATCACAGAGGGAAGTCCAAGGGAAGGCCACTGTGGCCTCTTGTTTATCTATTATTTACTGTTTCTATTTGTCCTTTATTTTTGATGGACGTGAAATACAGAAAATAATACATTTGTTCGGATGGTTTGTCACGCAAACTAAGGCTATTAGTTGAAATATATTATGAATATTATCATTGCCATTTTCTTTATCATTATCATTGTAAACGTTATTGTCATTATCGTTTCAATAATCAACAATCCTCTTTTAATTTTGGTTTATTCTTGTCTCTTAAGTGATTGTTTACTTTGAAAATTTTGTCATCTCAAGTATATTCTGTGCTAATCAGTGGTGTGAGAAAAAAGGTAAAAGGAGGCCTTTTAAGATTCTTGGGTGTCATATTACTTTGACGATTAGTGTTCCCTTATTGCTAGCGAATGACCGGTTTTCATACGATGGTATTCTTAATATTACAAGTATTAAACGAAATTTATACTCCGATGTAGCTCATTATATCATTCACTGAAAGCATCTCTGAGACCCAATTACTTTGGGCTCCAAGGTCATCTTGCCGAAAGATTTCAGTGTCCTTTGACTGCTTTCTATGTTTTGTGGTTAAGTATTGTTGACGAGATGCCTCATTCTTCTTAACCTGCCGCGAGGAACATATAGGACCTCTACTTAAACAATTTCGCATCTATTTTAACAGTTTAAACTCAAGACTTGTACAGTTGTAATCCTGGGAATAAGATAAATATATAAATATAATGTTTGTGTTTCATGCTTTTAATTTAATTTGATGCAATTTTTTCCTTCAAGTGACTAGAGACAACCCGAACAAACACCACTTTCTTATCAAGCAAGAAAGAATTAGAAAGAATTAGAAAGAATAGGATACAGTCCTGCAATTTCCCTGAATTAATCTTCATGAATATGAAATAGGTTAATGAACGAGCCTTGTATACTCTAAGAATTTCAATTTTAACAAGGCAAACCACAAATCTGCCGGTTCTTCGGGAGACCTTCTTTTAATTTGATGATAATCCTTTTAAATCCCCTTTGATATTTCATTTACAAGTTTAATAACTAAGGATCAAGACGGCCAACCAAAAGACGAAACAATGAGCACTGCGCCACCTTAAATTAACTTGAAAAGGGGGTTCCGTGGAAGGTGTCTTTCAAGTGATTCCTTCGTCGATTTGCATAACTCCGTTTCTTCCCCCGCCCCCCCCCCCCAACCCCAAGGGAAAATAGAAGAGCGCCGCGAACTGATTCAGTTTGCCAAGAACTTCAGTTTAACCGTTGTCAGATTGGAATAACTGCTCGTTTTTGTTTTGCGGTCTTCGTAGGTTAAAATCGGTTAAAGGTGCTTGATTATAACGAGATATACTGTGAGTTAAATTATTTTTAAATTTATTTCCCGTCCCAGCCTTTGCCAGTCTTTAAATTAAAAAAAAAGAGCGAAAGAGCAGAACCGATAAATGGTAGCCCTCAGGAGAAAAAAAAAAGATGATGAAGAGAAGCTCTCCTTTTGCAGCCGTTTCTCTGACAACCGCAACCGTCGCTTGGTGCTCGCCACTAATGAATGAGAGCCTTTTTTTACGAAGAACTTCCCTTGTGGTCATGGAGACTCACAGCTTCTTTGCAATTACGCTTGCCTGTCACTACAATTGTTATGTTAAGGAGATCTTCACTTACGGGATTATCACATAAACTGTTCTAATGAGCGGATTGACATCAAGTTCATGTTGAAGGAAAAAAGTATAGTAGACATTACGATTTCGACGTATCTTTATTGCATCTTGAGTTTGACAGCCAAAAATGAGGGTTTCGTGGTTTTAAGGAAAAAGAGGGTCTGAAAATCAAATGATAGATAGAACGTTCCGCGTTGGCAATTAGGGCCACCTTTTCAGTAACTATTCAGTTGACAAGAAGAACAGGTGGCATGTGAATGTTCACTCTCATAGGAAACGAAGTCGTACATGAAGCATATGTTTGGTTAGAGGTGTTACGCTCCACTCCGAGTTGTCGCGTTTTTTTGTTTTTAACATGAGCGATTGGTACTGGATGACAGCCTGGCTGCCTTCATTACTAGCTGTTCTTGGAAATGGTCTCGTTATTTATTTGGTTCTCTCACGTCCAAGACTTCGCTCCATACAGAACAGGTTCACTTTGTCGCTTGCCATAGCTGACTTTTGTGTTGGAGTTTGTTATTATCCAGGGCACGCAATATGCCAATTTTTACTCAACTCGTGTAATAAGGTTATCAGAGATGACATTGCAGTGTTCATGATCTATTCATCTGTATCGAACCTGTGCGCTATGGCTTTCGACCGGTACATCGCTATAGTCCGACCTTTGCACTATAGGTCCCTAATGACCACTAAACGCGCAAAACTATTGGCCGCAGTAGCGTGGATGATTCCGTTGATAGTCTACTTGATTCCTTCTGTTTGTGCCAGCTTAGGCTTATTTCACATCAACTTCAAAATAAGTGTAGTTATTTGGACCACGATCTTCGAATTTTTTCCTTGCACGGCACTTTTTTTGACTACATTGCAAGTAATCGTGATCTCGAGGAGACATTGTCGCAGAGATTCACAACGAAGTTTGAAATGGCGTCGAAATACATGTTCGGCTTCAGTGATAGGAACAGTTGTGACAGTTTTTCTTCTTTGCTATGCCGTGGAGGTTTACAGTTCGTTTTGTTATTTCACGTCGATATGCCCGCGAGATGAGCATATATATAACGTAGTGCGCTTTCTCGTGATAATTAACTCGGCAGCGAATCCTGTCGCTTATGCGTTTTTGAAGAGAGACATGAGAAGAGAACTCGATTTGATCATCAGCAAGAGATCTTTTATCAAAACAAGGTCAAGACGCAGTAATGAACGATCGTCTGGTATATGACCTCTTGCAATGCATGTGAAAAGGCAAGATGAGTTGCCGCGATATAGGATTAAAGCATTGAATTTATATTCGGTTCGAAATCACTGATGGCCCTCTGATGACTTTCAGATAAGGAAATAAGCACTAAAAGTTATTGTTTAAGGTTTTTTTAAATTGATATAAGGTCCCTTAAGGATCTTAAAACAGAGTTACGATTGAAAAAAAAAATTCGCTATGTAGAGGGAGCACTAGTTCTCTTGTTTAAACTGATTGTAAAAATGTTTACATGTACGTGTAATGACAAGGTTTGGTTAGTGTGCAATTTTCTTTTGACCAACTCTTGTCAGAATGAATAGAAAACAGTGCCTCAGGATATGTTATCTGTAAATTTACAACAAATAGAAATCTGGTCTTTTTTTTATCAATTTTTAAAGCAATAAAAAACCGAAATTTTTTTGCGAGTCTAAAGATGAAAAATGGGTGCAAAAGTTGACAGATGTCTTGGCTTTTATATTATTTTGAGGCCTTTCTCGTAATACATTAATTAAAATGTTTTGTGGACATTTCGTAATTGACATCCCTTTCATTGGCCATCATTGAGTTGGAAAACATGACGTATAAAAGATGAATGATTCCCCAGTATTAACCCTTAATTAGGAAAAGTCATGGCGTGAATGAAGACAATCACCGTTCCTCAGAATATGCCGTTGATGTTGGCTTTCTTTTTATCATTTAGAGCCCATCACGGTGGGAGACTATTATTTTCTCGATCATTTCTTTGAATAAATCCTGTAAATCTGAAAATGTTATTCATGTTTTTAACAATGAGACTAATAATAAACATGCGGACGCGATTTTCGTAGGTGCTGAAAATAACTTGAAATTGCCAAGGTATTGATGAACTGTAAATCAATATGGAGAGATTGATTTTAGTCACAGACATCGAGGATATAGTTAACAAATTTAATTTATTTTCACTTTATTTTGCGAGCAATTTATGTTTTCGCTAACTCCTTGTCGTAATTTACTTACAGTTGGAATGTTAAAGTGGAATAAATGAACACTATAATTGGAGTGGCTAAACTAGGTGAGCCATGTTGATTTTGTTGTCAGAGGAGACTGTTTCAGTTGTAATTAAAGATCAACAATTAATCGCAATGTTAAAAAAAAAGAAATGTTAACTTTACTAATGACATTTTGACCAAAGGGGGGATTTCGAACGAAACTGTACTGTCCGCGACTGTGTCTCTTGGCTACAGTCGTTGTCAATAATTTTGGGCTTTTTGCACACCATAAACACGTTTCTCACTGTTTTTGGAGTGATTTTAATTAATCCACGGCGAATGTATTTTGCTTTTCTGAAGTGAATCGTTTTCTCCTATGCAAGTCGCATAAGTTAACATGATGACCGATTGAACATCGCTGTAATAAACCGCCTTTCAGGCATGTTAACTTATCCGTTTGTTTTCAATCACTATGCAATCGACTATTATTTACCACTGTGTTCTACATTACATAAGAGACAAATCTGAACAAAAACACGTAGAAATCGAAGAGTATGAAGTATCTGTGCAGTTGATTTGAGATGATAACATCGAACACGTACAAAAGCATGCATGTGAGCAGGAAGCCAGACGTCGACGACGGATGGAAATCTAGACAGGTGATACTTCAGAACTCGAAGCAAAGTAAAAATGGGTGCATGCGTTTATTTTAGACCAAAGGTGAATCCTAGGTTGAAAATGACTCCTTAATCTTCTTAAAACCTTTTGATGAAGTTAACGAAGAATTATCGTATAATCTTTAAAGGGAAAGCCTAAATATGATTTTTATTAAATTGTGGTACTTCTTTTGTTGAACAATCTGACAACTGTCAACACCATAGGACAACTTTTTCCTAGTTAGTCATTCTAACTTGTCAACCTCATAGATTGAAATTTTATTTCGTCACTTGAGCATGCACCTTTCCTTTTTTTCCATACTGTAACATGAAGGTCACGCTTCTAAATTAAAGCCGTGTGATTTGTAGCATTTTAAGTTCCAGTTTTGATCGGATTACCGCAAAAAATGTGGCTTAAACCCAAAATTTTAAATTGCATAATCTAACACTGCAGGTGCCCTTTACAAATGGAAGACAACATCTCAGTAGTTGGCTGGCTCCCGAATCCTCCTTGAATCACTGACGTGATGAAGGTTCGGTAGAGAAAATGTAATCTTAGAATGCACTCGGGGAATGCATTAGATTTGCGCGGACCTAACCAGCGTATAACGATAAAAAGCATCATGATAACAAACTGCAGCCCTAACATGATAATTATAGAAGCCTGTAAATCCTTTGAAAAGATTCAAAAGGACAGGATCTTGTTCTGGAATACCATTATTACATAACTCGTCAATCATTCAAATTCTTAACCTGAAGGGGGCTTTTACCGACTATCAATTGCAAATCGTCAAAGAATACTGTTAACATTTAGTTCGAATAGTGGGGAAGGGTGTCAAGAAAACCCCGATAAGTACTTCATATTTTTTTACAATTACATGTTGGTCATAAAGACATCTTATTTTCACTTTTATAGTAGTGGGAAAAAGGATGCTGAAGTTAGTTTCATCACGGGTGTTAATACTCTTATTTCTTGAAGTGACTGATTGAGGTCCTCTGAACTTTTGCTAAAGAATAATAAAGCATTTCTCGCTTACTATAAGAATTAGAGTTTCATTAGGGTTTAAGTCTGTAGATTGAGCAAGTTCATGAAGCGAAATTGAGGCTGTCACTGCTACATTTTGACATTTTTTTATTTTCATGTCAAAGCACATTTGAAATTTGAAGCTTTGTTAAATTGATATGACATAATATACATAGTAAAAGTCAATATTACACGCTTAAACAAGAACAAGGAAAGATGCATGCGAAAGCGATGAAGTCAAGACAGTCAAATCTACATTTTTCAAAGTACTCATGAAAATAGCATAGGATATGCTTTAATTTATACAGAGGGCTCATTTCATCAAGGTTTAAGTTATTTCAGATTTTTATGAGATAGCTAGGGCATCAGAATTAATTTGTATTTTGGCCCAGAGGTGTTATAATATATAACGACTTGAGTTTTCCAGGCTTTAAGTCTTCAATCTCATTAGTATCTAAAGATGAAATTATTTTGGCAACGCTTAAACTAAAATGGATCTTAAATACATGCATTAAACTCCCACAGTGTGCCTTTATCTTCCACCTGCTTTGTGTACGGGTCTCCTATTGTTCTTTCCGATTCAGTAACAGCAGAATACAGCAATTTTTCTTCATTGAAGCGGTATCCAGCAATGAAGCCCGCTAAACAATCACTCATCTTTAGAATAATGAATGAGAATTATGCAACATATTTATTTATACTGATTGATTCCTATTTGGCCTTCTCCTTTTCAGTTTGTTTTTTAAACAACGTCGTTGCAATTAGGCGTAAATTATTGTAAATAGAATGCTATAATATTGTCGTAGAATCCAAATAATAAATGTGCCCTTTTTATATCAACAGTCATTGTCGGCAAACACGTTGGTCTCTCATGATCGAATCCCTAAGGGGTCATGACAAGACTTGTGACAACTGTAACCAAAAGAGGCCCTTCTCTTGCTGTTATGAATTATATCGCTCCTTCGCATGTCACTTAAGAAAATAAATTTCATCTGGAAATTATAATATTTAATGCTGAAGATTTAACGACAGAAAATGGTTACTCGAACGCACGCGCTTTGACCCTAATTATCCATAACTGGAGGAAATTTTTTTATTATTTTATAGCGTCAGTCAAAGTTCTTCAACGTTATGGAAGAGAGAGAACAGTAATACTTCATAGTAAATTCTAATGTAATTTTGTCTTCATTTTGTCTTGTTTTCATCCGAAGTAGTCATTCTAGTTATTTCACAACAGGTCCGGATATAGGAAACGAGACAACAGGGTAAAATAAGCTTTTACGAGTAGGTATCCTTAACGCCTAATTTTATCACATATTTTTTGTTCAGTCACACCTTAGAACTCTGAAAGCGCAGCCGTATCTGTTTTCTTCCTAAGATATGCAGTTGTGATAACTCAAAGACTGGTCGATCTTTCATTACTACGTCTCGACAAAAGGCTTGGTTTCGTGAAAGAGTTTTTGCAGATAAGTTTATCAAGTTCTCTCTTCATGTCTCTCTTGAACAACGCATAAGCGATAGGATTTGCGGCCGAATTAACAATAATGAGAAAACGCACTGCGTTGTATATGTCATCATTTGGAGTACACAATGATGTAAAATGACAAAACGAGCTGTAAACCTCTACAGCATAGCAAAGAAGAAAAATAGCCACAACTGATCCAATCACTGATGTCGAAGCTTTTTGTCGAAGAGTTAACTGAGAGAAGTTTGCGTCTCTTCGGCGATGCCTCTTCGAGATAATGATAACCTGCATGGTAGCAAGCAACAACAACGTGCACGGAATAAATTCGAAGATCGTGGTCCAGATTACCACACTTATCTTAAAGTTTATGCTAAACAATTTCAGGCTGACACAAATGGCGGGAATAAAGTAGACTACCATCGGAATCATCCATGCTATTGTCGTCAGTATTTTTGCGCGTGTAGTCGTCATGAGTGTTAAGTAGCGTAAAGGTCTGACAATGGCGATGTACCTGTCGATAGCCATGGCGCACAGATTGGACACAGAAGAGTAGATCATGTACACTGCAATGTCATCTCTAATCATCACATTGCACTTTGAGTCGAGCAAATAGTTGCATATTACATGTCCTGGGTAATAACACGTCCCAACACAGAAGTCAGCTATTGCGAGCGACAGAACGAATCTGTTTTGTAAGGTGCGCAGTCTAGGACGTGAACGAATCAAATAAATCACGAGGCCATTTCCAATAATAGCTAATAATGAAGGCAACCATGCCGTCAACCAGTACCAATTACTCATGTTGCAACAGCTATCCCTTAAAGAAAAAAACGAAAGTAAAAATTTAGTTATTTTGATTCACTTATTTTACTGTTAGAATATCTTCGATAAGCTCTCAATTGCTTTGAGCCGTAATTATACAAAAGCATCTTAAATACAGAGAAAAATTAGCATAAGGTTGTTGAGGTTTTGTCATTTGAAATCCGAGTCGATTTTTCCATCCTCATCTGTTACTTTTCCTATTCATCATCTTTTTCGAAATTAGTTTTACTATCTTTCCCATCATGTCTATGTTCTATAGTTTTCGCTTACTGTTTGCCACTTTAAGGGTGCATCAAATGAGGCGAAAAAGAGTCTTCTGAAACATCCCAGAGATCAAGATTACCCACCTGTTTGGCAGAAAAGAAGAATAACTTTAGGTCTTCAAGCTTTTTCGCCCAATTCGTACTTCACTGGAGTTAAATTTGCGGATTAGCGTGACTTATTAGTCTCTAATTTGACCTAGAAAAAAAGAAAGTATATCGTGGTAAACAGTATATCATCGTTCTTGAATGCACGACAAGATACCGGAGTTTAGCTCTTTACTATTTCCGCTGCTTCCGACAGACAAGAAACATATTTCATTCCTTTCAGACAATTAAGTATTTTCCTCTGATTTATATTGAACCTGAATGGAGAGAAGACAATGATGTTTTAAATCGCTATTGTAAACATTGCCAATTTTAATCAATTTTGCCTTTTATATTTCACAGTTCTTTCAAAAGGTGAATATTGCATGCAGATTTCCTATGCTACTTTTCATTAAAAAAAAGTTCTGGTAGCTGTGTCGTTTTTTTACAATTTTCTGACGTTTTTCTAAGGGCAATGGGTAGTTAAAGGTTCTTATTATGGCAGCAAGAAATCTTGAAATCGTAGATTTGGTGATAACTACCACATTTTACTGAAGACGGAAAGATAATTTCTAGCGAGCGTTTTTTTTTTCTGCCATACAAAATCATTTCCCTTTTCTGTGTATGTTATGTACAGGGTCATTTTATCGAAATTAAACCTGCTATGAAGTCAAATCCTACGCAGTGCTTGTTATCTTGAAGGAAATTAACTTTTGATTTGAATTAATGGAGCTCAATTGTAGCCAAGGAACTGTAGCACCTTGTGGTACGTAGTAACTCCTCAAAAGATCATCTAAATTAGTAAATGTAGATGTAATAAATTCACTATGGTTGCATGTATTTCTGAACTGAAAATCGGTCTGCAATCATTTGCATAATGCAAACCGGATAGTGGTTGTCTTATGAAAGTGTTAATGATACTCAAGGTCATCGCGTTCATCTGTTTCTCAAGCGAACTCTGGGTAACCTTTCTGTCACTACCTAAGATTTATTTATTTTTTTCTTGTTTAAAATTTCAGGAAAAATTGTTGCAGGATAGAACTCATAGAACTCTTTTGACACGCTTTTCCAAACGTTCGTTTTCCTCTTGTTTCACAATTTAATGAAATGGAACTCGAAAAAATGAATGTTTTGAATTTTCGGCTCTGCTGAAAAAAACGTCTACGTACTTCACCATGTCAAGAAACGACTGAGCCACGCCATCGATAAGCCAAACTGCCATTGGGATTGAAAGCTGTGTTTAAAGCGAACAGAACATGGAAAACCACAATTAAGTTCATCATTTGAAGATTCCTTCGCTTATTCGTAAAAATTTTTTCTAATTTATGTCTTTAAACACACTTTTGCGAAAAGCAATCGTGGGCAAGCCACGGAGACACCTTTTGGTCACCATACTTAAAGCTTTTCCCATTGTTATTATAAATGCTTACCAACACTTTAACCGATCGTTTAACTCATGTTCTGGTGCTGAGAAAGCATTAACACCTTCTGCCGTCCTTTGGAGAACTGAACTAAATTGACTTAACATCTATTAAATTGTAATGGCTAAGTAAATTGTATTGAGTTTTGTCCGTAATTTGATTATATCGCTCATATGTTAAGGCGTATTGTACTTCAAACATGGATTCTTTATGCATATTGTTACTCGAGTTTTTCATTGACATTTACTCCGTCTCAATGTTGAGAGATCCTAAGAAATAAACAAACAAGACAAATTTCTTTAGTCGTTAAAAATGAGAACGGTTTTTCTTTTGTTGTTCTTTTACAGGGCATTTAATCTGACAGAATTTTGAATCAAATGATAGATAGCTGTCAATCGAATGATGCCAGTAATCCCATAAAGAAAAAAAATTAGGCAAGTTTTAATTGTGAGCATTAATCACTGAGGTTGTCATCATTTAAAAGAAATTAAAAAACATGATTTTCGTTTTAATATTCATCATTGAGAAGCCGTCGCTACCTAGTCAGCCATAAAAACCCCGCTTCTTCAAGAGAAGTCGAGGTCTGTTTATTATATAACGTATAAGAAGGGAAGAACCACTCACCATTTTCATCTATTGATATCAAAGATAAGGATGTTTCCAAATCGGACAACAGTCAGATCGCTTGCCCGATCGTGGTTCTGCGTTACTGATTACCCGGTAAGCAACTACTCGCAATCGAAAGTAGTTGTGGTTTTCGCTGCATTTCAATGCTTAGGATGATTACCGTGGCCTTGGTGGTTAGCAGATGTTATTACATCAACCAAATGATGGAAGCTAATTGCTGATATTTTCCAGTTTTTGTTTTGTGCCTCCATAAGTTTGTTCAGCACACAATAAAAGCACTTCTCTGGGAGAATGATTTGATACTAATTGTAGCTAAACTGTTCAAAGCTCAAAAAGCAAATTGCCTCAGGCAGTACTGCATTGAAAGAGTTTAATTAGTGAACAAAACAATAAAACACGAGCAAACAACATTTTACGGAGCCTGTCGAATGTGTTTAAGAGTAATTATCATATTTCACTCTCTAGATTTTTCTTTCAGAATGTCTCGTAATCGGTCCGTCATGTACGTTTATCGTGCATCCAAAAAAAACGAAAAAAAAGATATATCCAGAGTCTTTCTCCATAGTTAAACTACTGATCGGTCTTCTACCACGATGTTCAAAATAATTTACAAACATGCTAGAATTTTCGAATGACAATCGTGAGGACGAAACGTCAATTGTGACGTCAATCAAACCTAGTGGGATGCAAAATTTCAGTGAACAGTATAGAAATTCAATGCCGACAGTTGTGTATAAATAAAAAGGTATTGACTGGATACCCTCAAACGGCAACAAAACAAAGGTTTCAAGATGACAAAAACATGTTGACATGATATTATTTATATATTATCCCCACACCCTCCCCCGCCGAAAAAAAAAATTGAAAGGGAAACAGAGAAGTGATAAAAACAACTGAAATCCAGATCTGGGAGATAAAAATTCGTACAAATTTGTGGCTAATTCATATACATACAAACTCTCGCCCGCTGATCAAGATGGTACAATTTTATGCTAAGTGCACATTGCTTCATATGTGGTTGATAACTAAATGACAAAATTATCCATCTGCAGGTGAACTGCAACGGGACCTGAGAAATTCAAGGGGAAAAAAAGCTTGGCGCTGCCTCCTATAGGATACGAAACCATATGTTGGAGATCACCAACGAGAGACCGTCAAACAGCAACAAAAAGCGTTAGAGTGCAAGAAAACTTACGACTTTCATTTAATAAATTTACAACAAAGAACTCTGATTCCCGTAGAAATTCACAGTTACAATCCCAAATGCATTCAAGCTTTGTTACCTTTTTTGTTTGATTCAGCGAATTCATGGAAGAATGAATAATAAGATATGACCTCAATCTTCTCCACGCATAAATTGGGCAACAAAGATTTCACGCCAGTAGAGAAGACGTAGTTCTATGGTGAGGATGTTTTTGCGATTATTTATGGAGCACCTAGTTGCAGTCCTCTTTAGCATAAGTTTTTTTAGCGAGGGAATCGTATTTTAGATCCTTTCATGGAAAATCCACCAAAAAAAAATTATAATGATGACAACAATAATTAAAATCTTAACGCCACCGTCGTAATGATTTGTGCTTGTGTTAATTTTGAACTTTATTTTACACATCTATAAATATTTCTGCTTGCTGATTGGCAGCTAACTGGTCGATTGATCCTAAATACTGAGTAGACATTTAAAATTTACTGTGAAGGGTTGAAATTCAGTGGAGAAACTCAGTTGATCAAAGATGATTGGCAGAAAGCTGTGAAACCGCACCAAAGCCAAGATACGACATGAGCTAAAGCATTTTGAATTACATTCGAAGGAGACCACGTAAATAAAATGTAAGGAAAAGAAAAATGACGAGAGAGGCAGTATTCAAGAATGTTTAAAACAATATTATATATGCATAAAGAAGATAAAAATGGTACGGTTCTTCCGCGCGATTATACCGACGACATCTACTATTTAATTTCATCTCTAAATTTTGAAAAAAAAGGTAAATCCTAAACTTTTCGTCCTTCTTCTACATACGTGAAGTGAAAAAAGGTAAACTGGGAGATAAACATTTTCCACCAAGCGTCATGCATACAATTGTCATTGTTCATACTCTTTTTGCATGCATCCTTTCGTAACTATTTTGCATATCATGACAGTGCATTGTAGGAAATATAATTTACCTGTTAGGAGCACAGCTGGTGAGTTAGGCTTCCCTGTTCATATTTCTTTCCATAACGAAAATAACCTTTCAACGTCCTGTACTTGACTTGTACTTCCTTGTGAAGAAAGTTTCGTTTGAGAAATATAGCATACTTTTAATTATGAGTGCAGTCTAATATAATGTTCATTTCAGTTAGTACAAAATCATATCAGTTAATGGATAATAATGTTATGACTAGCTTTTGAATAATATCGGAAATAGATAGCTATCAGTAGCCACAACTGCTCGAGTCAGTTTATAAAAGAAGTCTAACTGAGGCCGTTGTTTCAGACAATCACTGAACCTTGAGATTTTCTTAAAGTGGATTATCTAAAATGAATGATTTTACTGCGGTGTTTGTTCAGATGAAACGTGTGGCTGAATTCAGGGTGATTTCGGATTCGAGCCTGATTTTGCTGCACAACAGTTGAACGTAGGTTTAATAACCAGCCTCTAATGGATAAAAATTCAAAGTGATATTCTTGCCGTATTCCTTTTAAACTCGCTTCTCTAAGGTAACAGCTTGCTTGTGGTGAATTCACCGGCGGACCCTAACCTGAAACGATGTCGAGTACCTCTCGATGAACAGCAGAGGAAAAACCGGAATCGCTGGCCAAACGCAATAAGATCTCTTCAAAGCGAGTCCATTTCGTTAAAAAAAAAAATTAAAAATCAACAATGGTTGTTTTAACAGTTGGGGTTGCTTGTTCAAGGTTGATGAACTGCCAAACACATGTGACATTATGCAAACGTATTAAATGACATCAACTAAAGGAAAGTGAATTGAGCGTTGTAAGCTGGTTAATAAGGCTTTAGCAAGCAGCAAGTTGCAGACAGCTGATTTAGGGAGAAAAGGTAGTCAAACTTTCTACGCACGGGAAGGAAGTAGAATCCTAAGATTTTTATCTACTTTTTCGTGAAAAGATTTGCATAAAATAAACGATGTAATAGAAAGTTTACGGGCACGAAGTACAACAAGAATTAACTCTCGTCTCGGTCCTAATTAATAGAATTCATTTTTCCAAAAAATGTTCAGGTCATGTCTGTCGAATAGCGACAAGAAGGACCTCTACCCCAGCAGTATTCATATACTATGCAATGTTTGTGAGGCGTGGTCCAATTTGATTCTCTACCCCAGCTAATAAAAATTTTGAGAAAAATTAATTTTAAGAATGCCAAATACCTCCAAATGTAGTGGTAACAGTTTATGCTTATTCGGAAGAACTGAACCGAAATACGCTCTTCAAGTGAAAATTTCTGCTCTATGATTTGTCTTCATTGTCATATAATTTCATCGAATCTCATTCAAAGTTCTTTTAATCATTTTACTTCAGACGTACGTATTCCAATGAGATGGCGCTGTGGACGTCATTTACGAACTACGAGATCTACAGCAGATTGAAAAGATAAAACATTTCGTCGTCCATTAATCTGATTGGCACATTTTTAAAGCTAATTTCACTTGACAATTTAAAATTTGAAATTCACCGATTTATACGTTAATATTTATTGAGTAGTTTTCCAAAGGGCTGTAAGCCTAGCTGTCGATAGTGATCGCTGGACGTCAGCGACGCCATGAAAAAATTACTCAACGTCAAAATGGAGAAATCTGCATGTACGTCATTTCGGTCGCGGAAAATCTTTTCGTTAACCTCAACTTGAAGCTTAGATATGGTCAAAGGGCAGAAAGGGAAGAAAGGTTTCCAGACCTCATCGAAGGACTCTCGTGAAACCAAGCTCTGGTTGTATGGAGGCGAAGGTAGCTGAAAGTTCGAGTGTACGAGAGAGCTTTTAAAGTTACAAAGATACACAAGTCAGGAACGATATTATCTATCGTTTACCAAGACTATTTGGTTTTTATCCCCTATGTGCTGAGTGGTATCGACCGAATGAGAACTTGAATTCGTAATGGGTCCTGAAGTTCAACTCGCTTCATCTGAATAATCTGAGAAAGGCTTTCAGTAAATGCGACTCACGGTCTGCAAAATTTCTAAAGTGCGAAGGCTTATGAAGATCAAAGATAGGCCAATTTCCATTTTTAAACTCATTTTTGTTTCAAGATATTTTGATTATGATTCCGATTATTTTGCAAAAATTTCTCTTTAGATAAATTAGAGGTTAGACCTTATTTTGATATAAAATTTTGATAAAATATCCAAATTTTTTCAGCACCAATGTATTTTTTCTTTGCGGTGAAAGGAAAAGTGCAGGAAATTATGATTTTATCAATATTATGTCAGTGATGTAGTCGTCATAGCTGTTTTGGGGGTCTAATTTTCTTTTCAACGGGAAATCTTCCAAACAATCTTAAATTTGGTTTTTCTGTCTTTGTGTGCATTATTATTATCGGAAGAGAAGGAAAATCAAAATGATTACGGGTGGGAAAAATCTCTGCAAAAAGGAAAATTTGAACATCAAAAATTATTTTACATCGGTATAAAAGCATTACTTGCTGGTATCGTGAACGTTCCCAATTTCGGAAAGTTTAATTTATTCTTCTTCTTATTCAGGGAATCATTACTTATTTTTTCTTTTAATGTATTTGCGCTTTCTCGACTACCGACCCTCAGGTAATGTACTTGTATATCATTTACCTCTTGGTCCTGGCATAGGAGCCTGAAACGAGAACATCGATATTGTGGTACACCTTCACTTGAGCACTGCGTTGATATCTATCCAGAAACAATTGTCTGGGCTTTTGGATAGAAAAAAAAACTATGCAGTGATCGTCTCGTATTCCATTTTTTTAAAGATAGAGCGCTTTTTTCTTCTTTTATCGCAAGAATAGAAACATCGAGGAAATGGAAGGGAGGAAATAAAAATATGGTAAGCTTTACTACCACAGAGTTGGTAAATAATTTAAACTAACATTTTTACTTGTTCATATCAGGAATAGTGTTTTGATATCATAATTTCTGTCCGGATGAAAAGGCCTATATTTAAGCATGTAGATTCCCAGATTGAAAAATTATTTACTAAAGAAAAAGAAGAGCAATCATACTTTCCTGCAAGGAGCGTTTATGTAATACAATGCTCTGAGGATAGGGGCAAGTATTTGATCCTACGCAAAATGCGAGAACGTCCAGAATCGTTCGGTGATGAACAATACAATCGCGAATTCAATTAGTGGAAAAAACTGATGTCAACAAATGCTTTGTCAGTTATTATCCAAGCTGGTGCATTGTCAACGAATTGCCACACAGGGCAAACACGAATCAAATGCATTAAGTGCTAGGTTATCTGGTGCTGTAAAGGTTAAGCGTAAGGAGACAACATAAAAGGTTAAGCGTAAGGAGACAACATAAAAGGTTAAGCGTAAGGAATCACAAAAAATGAAAAAAAAAAAAAAAAAAAACGCACCGAAGGATAAAGGGCGACATACATGCAGAACAGACGTAAGTCAAAATCAATTCAGCGTGTTCCAGGTTCTCGATCAGTGCGTGAGCCACGCTTGGTGATTGTTGGTGGCAACTCCGATGGCAAAGAACTTATAACTATGAACTGGGATTTTTATCTCTGCCTTTGAAGAGTATTTGTATACTTATCCTACGGACCGCTGTTTGAGATTATTAATAATAACCTGGGCTTTCAAAAGTTGTGTTAAAAAGTGTCCATCTCTCGACGATCTGTTTGAAAAATTAGGAGCTAGACAAATGACACAGATAACTCAAATGATTACGTTCTTTTGATAGCGATGGCAGCGGATATTTGTGGGCTGGGTTACTAATATGTTGTCAATAAAGTTGTGTCTCGAGTCGACCAAACATCCAAATGGTGTATTTCATTCATTTGGGCAATCAATTTTTGAGAAAATTTGAAAGGAAATTTACTTCCAAAATCTACAGGAAATGAAGTAAATTTGTATATAGCATCAGCGATTTTTTTAACTGAGAATAGTTAAAATGAAAATGTTATGGTTTCAAGAACATACTCTTGAAAACATAGTGCGTAAGATTTTGGTTGCATATTATCCTAACAACCAGGCGAGAGGTTTTGCAAAATTGCAGCATAGCGGTTTATTATTTCTCTACTTTAACAATGTTAACAAAACAATGTTAGACATAAAAAAAAAAACTTTGAAAAAGTTATTATGGGTTCTATTATTAATAGCTGATTATACATGATCTCGGTATATGCTCAAAATTAAAAGGTTTGACCAATACACACTGCTGTAATGCCAAGTGTCTGTAGGACACCTTCAAAATAACATTGAGCCCTTGGTGAAACCAGTGTTAGTTTTCACGTGCTCTGCAATATGGAAATACGCAAACAAATATGTTCCCCCTGAAAAGTGACGAACAGGCCATAAATTCAGGCAATTTAGCAAACCATTGAAGCTACCACTAGTCTTTTAACACTGTAATCGTTTTAAGCACTGCTTTGTTCTCCTTTCACGTCATTTTCCAGCTTGAAAGCAAGATTGTTTTGTCCAACTCTCTCGTCATTGTTGCTTGGTAACCGTTGCGTCCTTCGGAACTTGACCAACAAAACAACCAGAGCTACAGCTGCGATCAGTCCAAATACTCCAGCGCCTGCCACACCACCGATGAGAGCTGTATGTTTACTTTGACTTGGCTCTATGAAACAATAGACAAGAACGCATTTCATTCTCCTGCTGAACCAAATCATCATCATTTGCGGATATAAATCCTCATCTTTGCTATGAATCGATACATACACTTCAGAAGGTGTCGTTCTTCCCTTACAAATAGTAGTAGGATCGTGTGAAAGACGCGGTCACACTAATGCAGCCTTGAGTTTTTAAACCGATTCATGAAAAGGATCGTAACGTAACAAACAGATAAAAGCATTGTATTAACGAGTTATTTTTTCGAAAACCTACGCTGATCGAGTGGTTCGTCTTCTTTAGCCGCCTCGAACACTACAGGTCCACCTGTAAGAATGACTTTGTTTGTACTTTCTTCTTGGTCTCCATCTCGTGTTACTTCTCTTCTCTTTCTTTTGTTCTTTATACAGCCCTTACTGCACCTGCAAAAGTGTTCGTTGGATTTTGAATTACAAATGATTAGCACGTAGACAAAAATGCAAAAGAATCAGCAATGCATTTCTGAATAGCCACATTTTAAAAGTTTTTATTACTTTTGGATCAGTGAGCCGCCTTAACCTTGCCTGAACTTTGTTTATATTTCCTCTCTATAAGTGTTTCAAGCAATCCTTAATTAAGAAGGTGTTAGTAATGGAGATGGCCTTAAATGGTAATTGCACCGTGGTCATGAACGAAAGGTCTACGTGCTTGCCCATTTAAGTCTATCGTGTTGTTTATGGACACGAGCAAGCCACTTTCCTCTTAATTGCCTGTCTCGAACCAGGAGTGTAAGCTAATAGTAAAGAAGTGTCAGGGAAAACTTTACAAAGAGCATTGACGCACCTTCTACGATGGACCAGTGCTCCGCGCTGGAAGGATAGCAATATTTAAGGTACGGGGATGGGTTTGGATTAGCTCCGGCAGAATAGTGCACTTGATTAGCACGCAAAATATATATTAATATCGATACCAAGAATAAAACTTTATCATTCACAGAATTCATCAATCACATCACTCAGGCCAGATTTGATATTTTTTGTGAAAGCATTTCGCCGATTTGACAACAACCAAACAAGAAAAAGGAAAGTCGGCTGACACATTTTGCAGCTTTCTAAAATCCAGCAAGGTGAATTCAGACCGACTTCCCTTGTTTGCAATGTAACTGAATAATTTGAGACCAACCTAGAATCAGGATAATTACGGTGACAGGCCAGCAGCTCACAATGGAAGTACACTGTGTCGTAGTCGTTCCAAAATCTGAACGCTCGGATTTTAAACTGTTGGTAGTGTCGAGTTGGATTATAACTGTAGTCAAGCGTCGAATCTGTGGGGCATCTTTTCGTTGAAATAATAAAAAATCGACAACAATAAGAGAATGAAATGAATGAAATTGTAAATAGTAGAGCCTCGGTATGGACTCTTTTCTAATGTTTGTTCACCAACAAGACCATATAAAAACTAAGGACCAACGCTTCAAATTGAAGGGTTCCAGCGTTGTTATTCACTAGTTTTATTATATAGGCTGTCTTAACCACAGTCTTTTATATTATGTTGCGAAAATCGTATCAAGCTTTGAAAATTTTGAAAGCTTAACTAGCAGCTGGTTCTGCTTGATCACGGTATATTTATATGCTTACCCGTTTTGGAGGAAGGTGTATTGCGGCCACGAATAAAAGCTTGCGTCCTTAGTCGCCTTACAGTTCTCAGCCATGATGACTAAACCAGCTGAGGACGCCACACTGTACTGTAAATACACATATTCATTCAGAACCACTGATAGAGGGTAGTCTGGCTCCGTGAAGGGCGTGGTAAAAGACGAATTCCTATAGAAGTCCATCTTGAAAGTGAACGAACCATATCCCGCTAAATAGTGAAAATTATAAAAAAAAAAGATTGTTTCAGCTTCTTCCTTATTTTTGTCGTTATAACCAGCCGAAAAGGTACCTTATGGAACATTCATAGGATTGCATTAAAACAAGGTAGTATTTAGTTCATACAGGGCATTTCATGACAAAGGTCGAAGGAAATATCTATTTCAGGTAATAACCCCAGTCACTTCCCTAAAAAGAACGTTGTACTTAATCATACAGCAAAATTTTCTTCAGAGGTCCAGATTCCCAAGTGAAGCTTTCATGGCAGAGTAGTTTACATGGTTTAGAGCTTTTTATCTGGACGTCTAGGGTTCGGTTGGAATGCTCTGGTTTGTTCAGAGTCTAACTGCTCCGTTTCACTTTGCAATTAACCAGAGGATTTGAGATTTTCATCAATTATCCTTCTATCTGCGTGGATCACTCTGAATTGCACAGGGGACATGTGCAGTAGCCTGGTAGTTATCGCTCAAGCCCTGGCTACTGCACAGGGGACATGTGCAGTAGCCTGGTAGTTATCGCTCAAGCCCTGGCTAGGTCATTGCGATTTTTTTAGGGCAAAACACGACTCTGACGGTGTCCTTCTCTACTCCTAGTATAGATGGGAATAAAACGGACAGTGAACCCTGATAACTTACTGGGGCTGGGTTAGCCCGCGATTCTCTCGATCGCTTCATGCTCATAAAACCGACTTGAGGTCCACTTTTAACGTTAATGACGTCAGTTGTGCGATGTTAATCACATCGACTCCTAAATAAAGATATCAATTAAGTTCGGTTACTTTCATTCCCGAAGTAAATCCTCTGAGGTGTGAAGGCCAGACTCATTAACTTCTCTCTGGAGTATCGGCAGTAAAATGGCAGTTTTATATCATGTGTACGAGTAACCACACCATTGATTATCAGGGCGTCGGCAAGGACCTCATTCCAAAAGATTAGATAATCTTCGGTTTCGTTTCGCTGCGTCCCACAGCTATCTAAAGAGGTGCCGATCAAGAAGTGGGTGGAGTTCTCGGTGGCTTTGCATGAGCCATAGCGCAAGCGTAGCTGATTGACTGTAAAGTAGTGGAATCTTTGCTTTACCAGAGAAACCGTCATACTGTTCTCCCCACACGAAACACTTGCAGTTTGGTCTAAAATATGACAGAAGATTTACAAACTTGAGGATGATTTCAAAATTTTGTTTTAGATGTTTTTCTGCTTCTTATTATCATGTAACTAACAGAAAGGAATATATACCTGAACAGTTAAAAACTCATCACGAACGTCTGACGTTTTTTTTTTCATAACCGTACTCAAAATATGCCATCCAAGTTACTCTCCACACTTTCGAAATTTGTAATCCTAGGAAATGAAGACCACCTGGTACATAATCCCAGCACATGATTGTGCTCACTAACGAGCTCACTCCTTCTTTAACTAGTAGAATATCTGACCACCGAATCGGTGGTCCGGTCCGCGTTTGGTGTTTACAGGGGACTAAGATTCAATGGTCTACTCTCGTGAGAAATCGTGACTTTTTTATTACTTACACACATAAATTAAGAGATTTAACCCTTTACACCGTAACATCAGTATCATTATTCTCCATACTGTTCTCTATACATCAATCAAAAGCTTCCTTAGTTGATGATTATTTCCTTTATTTTATTCTCACGACCTTAGGGAATAATTCTGCGGTGATATTTTAAGGAGAAGTTAGAAGCTTATCATCCTTAGGGGTCAAAGGGTTAAAACAGGACCCAAGAAACTCGGGGTAAAATGATACCTTAAATGTGAAGATTTCTTTTCGCTTCCTCCTTCAGAAAACCTGATAAATTTTGTATATATATGAAGTCTATGTTTCGGTTTTTCCATATTACAGTGCTCGATACATAGAAGTAGAGCGCGATATGCATTGAGTTAGGGGAAAAACAAAGACACTATGCTTTATCCCGAAAAGCCTGTTTCGTGAATTAAATCCCCTGAAGAGTAATTTAATCACGAAACAGGCTTGTTGGGATAAAGCGTCACCTCCCTAACTCAATTTATGTTTAAATATATAAATATATAGATATATTTTTTGTACATTTCAGGCTGCATTAGCTATTACTCACCAACACAAGTCATATTGTCTATCCCCATCGTTAATCCTCTAGGACATCCGCAGTAAAATGTTCCAAGGATGTTAAAGCACTCATGACTGCAGCCGCCATTATTGATGGTACATTCGTTGATATCTAAAAAAAACGCTCACTCCACTTTTCAGTTCGACAACACTGCATGGTAACCGATTTAGAATATTGAGAGCCTTTATAACAAAGATTCATGCGGAGGAAAAAGGCTGAAGCTTCAGAGGTGTTTGCCATTTTGCTTACAAGGTACAAATAGGTGACGATATTTTTGGCTGTTTCCATAGAGCGATTGGCTGTTTATGAGAGCAATCAAAATAAGTGTTACATTCTAAAGAACTTGTACGGATGTTCTTATTAATTCGTTGTTTTTGTTTATAAAGAGAGCGATATGAATACGAGTACTAGATGATGGTTATTAGTCAACACTTCTCATGTTTCTCACCTGTACAAGACTCCCCGTCCGACTGCAGTTGAAATCCCCTTTCGCAAGAACAGCTGTAACTTCCGGGAGTGTTGTCACAGTCCTGATCACAACCTGCAGGTAACGTGAACTCCGGAAAAATATCTGACGGACCTGAAGCGTTCCAATGCACAGAACAGGAAAATTTGAGCAGATCGGTGATCGAAAACAAATTGCGACAAAATGGTTGAACAATTTTTCCAGCCTTTTTCGACAGAGTGTCTCTGGTTATCGCTATTATGGTAACCTGAAGATACAGTCACTCACCTCTGGAACCAGAGTAGGCACATTCATCTACATCTTAAAAGCGAAAAAAAGGAAAACATTACATAATGCCGCTTTCGGCAAGATTCGTGCATACGGAGAGGACGGGTGTACAGGTGTTGTAGACTAATTATACGATGGGGAAATGCTGAGTGAACGCATGAATGACTACATGACCAGGGTGCATGAGAAAAGGGACGGACCCACAGATTTAGGACGGATGAACGGGAAGAAGAACAATTGTATGGTAATTACTTTGGGGAAATGTACGCCCAGAATCCTTCAAAAGCTAGTTTTACGGTCGTGGTAAAGTGTCGCGCGACAAACACAACCACACGATAGAATCAAAGCAAATCCTCAAAACTCCTTCATGATGAAGATTTTTCTAATAAACTTTTGAGTGTGGCTAGTTCCTTTAAGGTTTTCTTTTCAGGAACTAAGAAAATCTACAATTTTGCTTACCAACACAGCTTTGGAAGTAAGGTGAGCGTAGAGAATACCCAGAAGAACAGAAGCCAAATACGTAGAATCTCCAGGCACTAGAGGATGATATTCCGGGTGTGGGTGTACCGCCAGAGGAACAGCCCAGGCCAACCACTACTCCTTTATCCATTAAGATTGCATATGATCCCTCCATGCTCAACACAGGATAGGGTATTGCAAAATACAGCGTAGTTGAATTACTACCAATTGTCACGTTTTGAGAGAGTGCGTCCACTTTGTAGACTGTTTGTTCACTAGGCAGCAGGACGAGTCTTATGTACGACGATGTTCGAGGTTTCTTTATCTACAGGAAATGAAAAGCATTCTCATCATATAACAGAATTATTATCAAACACAATAACTGTGTCGTTTATTTGGACATGATCAATTTTGATCAACTCGAATTGAATAGTATTGGAATTTCTGTAAAATTTCACACCGTCGTTTGTAGGACTCTGCAAGGAAATTTCAGATTTTTTGAAGAGAGAAAAACTGGAAAATCTTACAAAAAGCCACAGAGTAAAGATGAAAACCAACCGCTAAAATCACCCAGAAATGATACCAGGTTACGCTAAGAACCGGGGTCACAGCCCTTGGAGATGTGCGATCTTACATATGCACCATCACAGCTTGCCTTGTCTGAGGAGCTGTACATATTAACAGATTCCATGCTCTCATGTGTGTGTCTAATTATTTCATGTAATAGATAATGTCGAAATTTAATGTGACAACATAAGATCTGTGGAGTACCAGCAAAGGGAAACTATCCTTTGTCGGTGGTACCCAAAAGTGAAGATGAATCAGAAGAAAAATTTAGTCGTTTTTTCCTCTATATTTGAGTGTGATCGACACCCATCTTGATCCACAAACTACACCTGACAGATATATCCAATTTCCTATGATAGAAAACACATACGATTTCCACGGCTTTTAATTTTCTCAGGAAACCAACCACCTTGCCCCGCGGGGGGCCCAAAATAATAAAAAAATAATTCGTCATAATTTAAATCTATTTATTTTACGAAAACTGACGCGGAAAAGACACGACAAGATCTCTTTGTTTAAATATCTCAAAAAGACAAAGTAGAGCCAGTGATAACGTGTACAGTTTTTCGCCTCGCTAATGAATCATACGTAAAAACAAATTATACGAAAAAGCAGGCTAATATTGTGGGTTATGAATTTGCTAAGAGCGCAACACATAATGCGAAATATTCTCAGAAGATGCGTGAAACCGTGGCCAAATGTGACCAAACTTAATCAGTTGAAAGTGACAAATGAACAACCGCCTAAAGTTTTTATTGGAAAAAGAGCGTGATCTCAAATGCTTTTGATAACTTTGTCTCGATACTCTTGGTACGAAGTTTAAAAATTTGTTGTCCTTACCAATCGGTCAAACTGAACGCTCCAGTTGGAATAACCTGATCCATATCTGCTCACGGGTGTTATGGGTGTGCGACTTGCTAAAAGGACTCGCGGGGTACTACCTGAAAAATGGTTGTCGATCATCAGTTGTTGAACCTCTATTTGCGCATAGAAATACCAATGACATAGTCCTTCATGCTATAGTTCCTTCTCACTTTTGTATGATACTGCTACTCTGCCTATAAGCCTACTCCAGTGGGAAAGCAGCTCAAAATGTCATTTGTTTTCTTTCCATTCTCAGTGAGATACTAAACCTCCTCGGGTAGGACGTCATTGGTGCAACAACAATCCAAATGTCAATTACATTGGTAGACACCTCGAAAATGAAACCTTTTCAACCATTCAAATATTACTCTAATCCCAGATGGCTATTGAAAGGAAATTTAATTACAAGTCTGTTTTAAAGATGTACTTTCGACTTTTACTTTTTCTTTTCGATGAAAGTCAACGGGTAACCGAAGTCTCCTACCTCAGTAGCAGATTTCTAACTGGTGTACTTATTTTAACAGCAACGCAACATGAATTATCAATCAAGTCTGACTATCGTTTCGGTTCTCGAAAAGGAAAAGTGTTTAATTTTCTTACTCGTGCCAACTAGAATTGTCACACATCGCCATTCACTTTCCAGTCTGTAAAAAAAATTCATCACATAAGGATAGCAAATATGAAAATAACACAGATAAATAAATAGATAAACATAAACGATTGAGTTGTTACGGGGGGATTTTAGACAGAGAAGAAATTCTACGTTTCAATAGCAAAGCCATACACCAACCTATACCTGCTCTTCGTCACACTCACACCCACACACAATGAGATTTCGATTTCACTGATTGATAGTAAACACTATTTATAATGACTTATGGTCATGCAAGTCGTTAATCAAAATGATTTTAAAAACTGTCCCAGCAAACTTTATGATAACATCTATAAGATACTTCATAAAACGACAATTCCTCTGTTTCCCCCATAAAATTCTAAATCTAACGATTAATAAGAGGCGAGTTATCTATCTGGTAAAAATGTACCTACCACTTTTACTTCTTTCCCAGCAGAGTAGGAAAACGCGAATGATCTACCAATTTGAAAAGGGGAATTTTTCAGTTTTCCAACGATTCGAGATTAACGCTTGAAAGCTGTAAACCGCCTAAATTAATATATTTGGGGTTAAGATCATACCACCTGTAATTCTTACCCAGCAGAGTCTCTTGCCACAAAGCAGAACAACTGTTGTCCAATTTGATGTTGACTAGGGTACCACGTAACATTTCGGTAGTAGATTTGTCCATGATTGCGTAAAGATGTAATTTGCATTCCACTTGGAGATGCAGTGCTTATTTCCACAATGCTGAAAGAATTGAATAGAATAACTTTAAATTTATCATAAATGATAATGACTTAAAATGTTGAGAAATTTTTAGGTTCCATACTAGAAATCATAATTTCTTGCGCTACCAATTTCACTTGAGTAGATGAAGGTTTGCGGAAAACCGCGGAAGCGTTGATTGATTCTTGTTTTCCGTTCAATGGAAATTCTTTATCATTCTAACGACCTGAATGGGATAGTATACTAAGAATTTGTATGGCAGCTTATATCAACACACTTGAAAGTTGGTTATTATTCACGGGAGATTGTTATCTATATGTTAATGAGGACCTTAAAAGATAGGTATTTGTGTCTTTTAAGTGGAAAAAAAATCAAAGGAAGAAAATAATCAAGGGCAAGTTGTTTAGTTTACATACGATTTTGAGAAGTCTGCAACCTGTACTTCGATCACTGCTCTATATGCAGAACCAATCGGCACATCGGAACATTCACCATCTTTTGGGGTGGATGCTGTAAAGACAGGCTTTTCGTCACAATGACCAGTATGGTTACCAATCACCATGACAAGAAACTGTAATGGTATACCGCTTAACGACGTGACGTTACTGAAGTTTGTATTTCCCGCTGGAAAGTCTTCTAAAGTTAATGCTAGTACAAAGATTCCACCAACTGCTGCTAGCGACCCATTGTACGTTAGAAGACAAGATTTCTGCGAGGGAAATTGATAGTACCTGATAACTTCCTTTTGAGTTTGCTGAATGATGGACATATTCTTATTCGTAAGGAGACGGATTCCCGGAGCCTTGAAAGCACTTCAGCCCCTGACATCCTTTTTTTTTTTTTTTTTTTTTTTTTGAAGGACTGTGTCTACAAGCAATCATAGTGTATAAAAATACATCGCTATGTTTACCTATTCTTAGCAAAAGTATATGACATCAAACATGATAAAAAAGTAGGATTATGTTTAACCCTTTAACTCCCAGATCAACTGACTTGTAATTCTCCCTACTGTCAACCACAAAATTCTCATAATGTTAGTTCAGAGAATTTAGTATTGGATCAACCAATTACCCCCAAATTGATATTTTTCTTTATTTTCATCACTGATCTGGTTGATATTGTATTGATATTGTAAGAAGAAATTCTCTCTTGGTCACTCATGAGAATTGAAGGGTTAATTTTTTCTGCAGTGGTTTCCCTTAAGAAACTCAACGCTTCTAACCAAAATTTGTTAGGCGATGTGCTTCATCCTAGGACTATTTCAACTAGTGGTGACTGCTGCTTTCAATTACCTCATCCAATTCACCGTAAGGAAAACTTGTATTGAATTTGAAGGACTCCAAATAAGTCGCAAAGCGACATTTCACTGTATCGCCATCTGGGTCTTCAACTGGGATTCGAAACGACTGACGACAACCTCCTGGGAATCGAACAATGGCTGGACTTCGTGTCACAGGAGATGAGTTGATTTTTCCGTTATCCGATCGTGGAGCGAGGTTTATTGCAGTTTGTACTTTCCAACTTGAGGAACCAGCATAGTGACTCAGATAAATCCAGCAGCAACCTGAATAACTTTTAGAAAAAGAGAAAATAGAAACGTTGTAGTGAATTTCTTCCCGGTTTTTTTACTTTTTCTTTTGTTCACTCAACCTCAAATGTAAGCCCCGGAGTTGTGATTTTTGCTGCAGTCATCTGCAATCATTTTGAAACTGGTGTCCAACATTGATAAGTTCGAAATCATGCCGAACAAATAATAAAGAACACTACACCAGAAAGCGAAACAGAAAAACATGAAAAAAAGAAAAGAATAAGAAAAAGGAGTGCGTATTTGAGTATGCGCCTAAACCAACGAGATTTTCTCGGTTACTAATGAAACCTTTCATTTCATTTCACTGCAACCTCTGAAATAATAATTTCTCGTATTTTGTCCAATGATAGTTTGTAAGTTGTTATGACATTTTAATGGGGCCGGTAATCGGAAAGTTGGAACAGCGATACCATTCTTCCCGTGACGTAAAAACAATATAACAACTTAATTGCTCCCTGTTAGTAAAATATTCTAATTTTTATATCGAGAACACGATCCGGCCCCCTGGGGTGTCTCAAGATCGAGTCCTCATAGCACATACTTCTCTCTCATGCCTATCAGACGACGATTGAGCAGAGTGTTAAGATGTAAGGAAACATACCTTACGTGCCATTGCTTCTCGTTGTTATTGAAAGTGTAAGTGAATTTATTTTCGCCCACTGTCCAATCTTCAGACACACTATAATCAGTGCAGTAGAAATAGGTGTTTGAAATGGTGAGCGAAGACCCACACAGTGAATTATACAAATTGTCACATCTTCCTTCCCACGAGCCTCCGTAAGTAATAAGTTGACCGCTGCTAATCATGTTTTGGTCACAATTAAGACTAAAACTCCTTGATCGTCTCCAGCCGATACGAAATGAAAAGTGTACCTGAGAATAGAAAGGCAAATTACACTAAGTTTGCCCGCTGATACACAGGGTAGACTAGCAATATAAGCCACTTTGTGTTGGTGAGAGAAAATACTTTAATTGGTTTAGAATGTGGCGCAGTGTTTTTTAACGCAGCAGATGATGTCGCGCAATTATGCATAATTTGAGCGATATCATCTGGCATTCACGTTTTGCAATGGACAATGATTGAATTGCTAAATTTGGAGGTCATTTAAATTCATGCTCAGTTCTTTATGATGGCTTGACATTCGTAAATAATTCGACTCGAAATATAGAAATCTTAGACTCAAGATGAGAGATCATTTGCTTTAGATCAAATTATAATCAACGGAAATCATTTATTAGCAGTTCTTGGAGCGTTCGAATAAGTGCCAGCGTTAAAAACACAATTTATAGATGACTTTCAATACAGGCGCCTCAAGCTCAAGATAGGAGAGTATTTGGAATAAAACCTTGGTTCTATCGCACCTACAAGAAGAAATTGTTTGTCTTCGCCTCGCTGATGCAAGTTAGGGAAATGTCCCTTGCGAGGTAGGCTTAAGAATTGTGGGAAGTCGAAGAGTTGCCGCGGCAGTTTGTGAGGCTCCATTAAGGGGGGTCTGAGTATCCTGTATCCCATTAATTTTTGGCCAAAATATCCCGTATCCCGTTAATTCTTTTGGTTCGTATCCCTGTAATGCCAGTTAACACGATGACGTCATTGAACATGATATGCTTGGATACCTGATAATGCAAAACATATTTTCCTGGGGCATTTCCTCGCCGTTTGGCTGATTTGTTCCTCGGCGGTCCGTTTTGCACGGCTCTCCTGTTGTTGTATTTCTTGCGGATCGTGGGCATCCATGCTTCTGGAATTTCTACTTCGCCGTTCCTATTGATGTTATCAGAGCGAAGTCTTATGTGAATTGCTCCTTGACCTTAAGTGTGTAGTAATGAGGAACACGATCAATAAACTTAATTTCGTTCCAGAGTGGCTGATGTCCGGTGTTGTGGTCGTGCTCTGAAACGGTGGACGTCTGGGAATGGGTTAGTCGGATTTCTCGATCATGCTCCTTAATTCAATCCTGCATGGGTCTTCCTGTCTCGACGATGTAGACATAGGGAATCCTGTGAACTACGCCGTCTTGTTTAGCTGGGTTTTTAGCAAGAAGACACTGTTTATATTGTGAATCACTACGTACAGCCATTCCACCTGCACACAAGCCGGGTAGAGTCACTTTTATCAAGTGCTTACGTCGTGGACTTGTGTTCCATCCTGGGGAGACCAATGGATGCTGCTGCCGAGGGTTCTTGAGTTTCAAGTTAATCGTAAAATAAGAACGATGATTCTCTTGGACGCCTTGACTTTCTTTCTTATCTTGTGGTTGAACCCCTAGTATCTCTCTGAATATCTTCATCTTCCATTTCTGCTAACTCATGTGATATTTCTTCCCCAGTACCCTGGCAGTCAGTGGATCTCCATAGTCCAAGCACTGAACCATATAAAATTGGTATTCTTCTTCATTCATTACAAGAGTAGAGGTGTGAGGTCGCATCGCGCGAAAGTAGCGCGAAATGGAAAAAGCCGTGGAGTAGGGGGAGATTTGTTCTCGGACAAGAGCCGATATTGGCACCTATTGTCAATATTGACAATATTTGACGGTAAAATGTAAAATGGCATTTAAAAGAATTTTTTTAAACTATTTGCGCCTTCTATATTGACTAACAAACCTATTTTATTCTTTTAAAAAATGAGTACTTCGATCTTCGATACCCCAGAATGTCTTCTTTGATATCCTGTGTCCCTTTAATTATCCGCCCAAATATCCCGTATCCCGATAACCCCTGATAGGGCTTCATTTGATTTGCAATATTTTAGTGCAATGGCGCAATTACACAAAGGAAATCTTAGCTTCCATTTTCACAAAGGAAATCTTTCAATTACACAAGGGAAATCTTAGCTTTCATTTTCTTAAAGGGCATGTAAACCCAAAAATACATTTTTTCCTATACTACGTAACAAGTGGCATAGAAAACGAATTTGCTATTCGTTTTGTCCAATTCGACTAATTTCAGGGAGAAAATTGACATTTTTAACTGAAATTCCACTGCTGGTGAAAACAATAGCAAGAAGTCGTGACGTAAGCGGTTGAATTAACGTATTGCGCAATACATATTCAACAATAGAACTGCTTGGTTGGGCAGCTCGTACAAGTGGCAGTAGTTCGGACAACGTTTTTTCAGAAGAATGTGACTCGAATGCCTGGGCCACATCCTTTAAATATGAGCCGCGTAGGGTTCACTGAAACCATCCGCACGAAGACAGCATGAAACCGGTTGTCATCGGTGCTGATCGTCTCAGAAACTCACACTGGTATTTAATTTACTGTGCGATTTATTATTATTTGGCATGAAAATCCGATAAGGCAAGGGTACAATCGGCGGCAGTGAGGCACAGATAATCACACCGGAAACGAGTAAAATGAAAATAAAATATTAACAAAAAACGTTGTCCTACTGACTTTTTAATGTAGCTCTACTGCCGTGAAAACCGTGACCAAATTCTTCAACTTCTGTTTCTTTGCAGGGTTTCTTAAAGGAAGCAGCAGGTGGGGCTGGTATGTTTCCCTTCTAGAACATAAGGGTTTTTTGTAGGATCGTGTATAGAATTTTTTACATCGAACCAACAAAATTCTAGATCAAATTAAATACCGACGTCAACGAATTCTCTTTCTTTAGTACGTGTTTCAAACTCATGCAAAGGTTCAGACAGGCCAACGTCTTTATCATGTTTATTGGGCTCAGCGCTGGCTCCTGAGAAACTGGCCTACCTATAATCTTTCAATAGATTGGAAAGGTTTCCGTGTAAATCAATTTTGTGCTTATTCTGTTGACCTCTAACTTTTGAAGAGCTGAAATTTTCCTCGGTCGTTTCTCAGTTCGGTCGGCCATATCCGAATCCTCGCCGTCTGCCGAATGTATTGGTCCCTTTTTTCCTAATTTGCCTCTGGTAGGGCCTGAATCGTCGGTACAGCACCAGGAAGAAGCTTTTTTTTTTTTCGGAGGCCCATTCCAACCATAGAGCCTTTCTTATAACAATCGGGAGAAAAATGATTGCTACAAACAACAGAATGTTTGAACGGCTCGACGAAATCGAAGTTTTCGCTTGAACAGATTTAACCCATTGTCGCTTCAAATTTAATTTGCTTCATTTGGAAATCTTTGCATTGTATGCCCAGTTTTGTTTGAATTAGTACAAACAGGACGACACAACGCTTTACCATTATGAAAAATTGAATATATTCAAGCAAACTGTAAGTAAAAAAATCGTGACGAGACTGGCAAACAAAGGCTGTGGAAAAGATCTATACTTATTTCACGCGATTGTAAAACGAAGCTTTAGACGTTCTACCCATAACGTCACGGGAAAGATGGCGCCTTTCAAGATGGCAAATGTTTCGAATTTGGAAGAGCTTTTATAAAGTAAAAATGGACTTTTGAGAAAAACGAATGGTACCTTTGGTATACTTTATATATTTACTAAACAGCTATGTCAGAAGAAAATATACGTTTACTTGTATATTTTTGTAATCCGTGAATATCTTCGCCATCCTTCACCATCCTTGCTCGTTTTGGGTTTATCCCGATCTCTTTGATGTTTTTTGTTATCCTAGTATAAGACTATTTCAATGTTACCTTGTGTTTAAAAGGCCAAACCTTTTGAATTTGAAAATTAGACAAAATATGTGAACGTTGGTCCTTCCAAAATAACATTCGGGGGAGGAGGGGGGAGGATGATGGTTATGCGAATCAGCCGATGTGCGCTATTTTCTCTCGCTCTATAGATCGATCGGATGTTATCATCGTCCAAAGCCACATGTGCGTTAACTTCCCGTGCATGTGAGTGGGTAGAGGCGTTCGAGAAAATAGTACCATTACATTTAAAATTGAAGTCTTGGACCGTTAACAGATGGAAGTCCAATGTCAAAAACTGAAAAAAATTCGTCAAAAGACCACGAACATACTATCCAAAGGCAGAGAGAATCCAGATATTGGGCCAAAACGAGTCATTCGCTCAAAAATTTCAAAACTTGTAATTCATAGGACTTTGAAGGCCAAATTTGCCGACTCATCAACTTCCCTCTATTTGTAGAAATTGGCATTAGTGAACACCTTCATTGGTAAGTAAATATGTATACATGTACCATCTTGTATGTGCTGAGTTCCACTTAAATTTAGTACTTGAAATACTAAATCACTTTCTGCCCTGGAGTAGTTTGAAACTGTTTTGAAAGAATTACTAAACACTATACCGTGTTGCTGTTAGAATCGTCTGGAGCCCACATTATACTGCCGTGTCGAAAGTGCGATGCTTCTGTCAATGTGCCAAGAGCCAGAAAAGCAAAGATCCATACCGCTGGAAGCCACCTCACCATTTTGTTGCTCGCAGGTTTCGACTTAAAACGGAAAATCGAAATGCAAGGTGCACTGAGTGCTCGCCTTGCAAGGCTTAGACCTAGAGCCGTGCGCATTTGAGAAATGACTATTTTTAATATCTTCCCGACACAAATGAATAGCCTTAATGGTCGACCAATTATCTGTCGACTTTTTAGACAACGATTCATGACGTGTGGTTTTAATAAAAGTACAATTGTAATTTGCTCGCCCATATCGTTTAGGAAAGGTTTTGTTTCTATATAATAGCTTCAGATCACACCGGAGATGATTGTGTGGTGAGGTCAATAGGCTCTTTGTAGGACTTGATCATGTGCTTGGATACCACATAGAAAACGCACTACTAGTGAGCAAGCAAAACAGCGTCACGCTCCTTGAGGTGATCAACTCAAGCAAAGTAAACCATAGGTCGCCTACGCTCCAGCTGTGAGATTATCATCTTGCAAAAAAAGAGTCATGGCGAAATCATGGGAGTTTGTGTGGGAATATTTACGACCTCTCTCAGTAATAAAAAATACAGTCAAATTCCCAATAAAAATACCAAGCTCCAGCTGTGAGATGATCATCTTGCGAAATATGAATCGTGGGAATATTTACGACCGCTCTTAGAAATAAAAAAATAAGTCAAATTCTCAATCGAAATACCTCATCTTCTATAGTGCATCGCATCTTATCTGATCGCTTACTATGTTGAAAAGAACTCATTTTCGCGAGCTATCCATTTCTAGGCTCACTACTTACTATGGCGGCCGTCACCACTAAAAATACAAGGATGTCAAATAGACCAGCAAATACAAAGCTGGTCTAAAGATCAGCTGCAGGATAGAATAGCAAAAAAAGGAATGGCATGGCCAAATTATAGACGGTTTAGTTTTCCTTCGTGAAACAGAACACCCTAAACATGGATAGTTTAGCCAAATGATAAACGGTCTAGTTGCCCGAGTTGGAACATGAAATTGTGAAATAGTTTAATTGCGAATAGTTTAGCACTCATTTGCAATACAGTACACAAACGGTGTTGTGTTGCGTCACATGGCTCAGGGTAACGTCGAGTAGCACAAACGGTGTAGAGTTGCGTCAGATGGCTCACAATGGAAGTACACAGTGTCAAAGTCGTTCCAAAATCGGAGAGTTTTGATTTTAAACTGTTGGTATTGTCGGGTTGGATCATAACTGTAGTCAAGCGTTGAATCTTTGGGGCATCTTATAGTTAAAAACAATAATAAAAAAAAAACCGAATGAATTAAATAGATATCCGTGTAAATATTAGAGCATCAATTTAAAAGAATTTAGCGAGAAAGATTGCCCTATCATTGAGACTGATATGATTGTTAAGGCCTTCCCAATAACTGGTGATATAAAATAGACGGTCCTTATCACAGCTTTTAAGAGAGTGTCTCTGTAAGAGCGGTCCGGTCGATTTTGCTTGAGACACGGATTTCGCTCATTTCTCGTGTGTTGTAAGACATTCATGTACCTATACTAAAACCACAATCAGTTTGATCGGATCTCTTTATTTTTCAGAGTTTTACGGAAATTAAATTTCACTCGAGCGAAGGCTTGTCGTGACACTTTTCAAGACTTTAATTTCATACAACTTTGGAGGACAATTTACAAAAAACTACGGAACTCAGCAAAAAACAAATACCACAGCCGTGTATATTAACTCTATCTTATCTATCGAGGCGACTTTCGTAAACATCACGTGTCAATCAAGGAAACAGGGAGACTTGAATGACACCTTATCGGTTCGCCTAAATCACACACGCCAAAACCGATCAAATTCAAGGTAAATTTTTGAAAAAGTGAGGCGTTCTTAACTGATCCAACTAATATAGCTAAGACGTAGGTGCCATAGAAAAGGTAACTACAGAAAAAAACTTTGCGGCCCGACCTTTACGAGAACTTTATAACTCGGTGAACTTACCTAATTTTCGGCAATCTCCAAGTTTGGCCGCCATTTTGAGGGAATTGTCAACATGAAGCGTAACCGATATAAATCAAGCAGATAGATCTAAAACCGTCAGAAATACATACGAAAGCAATTGAAATGAACTTTACTTTCAATTCAAGCGGCAAAATTTGAAATTGTTCGTTGAACTTACAATCCCCATGCGACCATTTCTTTCAACAATTCAAACACTACAACTTTCTGAATACCCCTCGTCGATTCCACCGCAAGAAATAACCTGTGCCACCCAAGCTTCGACTCGAATGTGAAGTACGAATCAAATAACATAACTGCTTCAACTTCGCGGCAATATCACGCTTGTATTTTGATTTTCCGATCGATAAGAACGGTGATCAAGAATCGATCGGTTTGTTTACCTCATAAACGTGACCGCTGACCAGCTGCTGAGTGAAAACAGTACGGTTCAGTGGCGATGGGCGGGGTGAGGGGCGGGGTGAGGGGTAGGTGCGGGCAGATTATCAGAAGATTTTTGGGAACACTCGAACATATGCATTAATGTATCATGATAAACATTAGGATTCTCAGTCTTAATGCGAAGGCATGCTTCGTGTTGCAGACAACTTTTGTTTTACTTAGTATTCTTTTTTATTTTAAATACGTTACGTTCCAAATAGGACTAGCATCAGTTCATAGATTTAAAAACAAATCTTTACCACGGAAATAAATGTGTTTAGATAATCGAGATAACCATTGAACCTATTGTATCGCACCGGAAATAACGTGTCTTGTCTTTGCTTAACTCTGAGAGCGTGGAGCGGCAAAGACGCGAGATACGAGTCTCGCGTCTCGCGGCTTCTCCATACTCATAGGATACGCGTGACCTCAATATCTTTAAGAAAAATAAGAGACTGCTCGAAGTCTGTATTCCGTTCAATCATTTCACGAGAGTGACGCGAGTCTTTCAATTGAGTGAGAAAGTCACAAACCCATTCTTTACCTCACGAGCGTAACCACTGACCACTCACGAATTACAATAGGCTTCTCCTTTGACGCGGAAATTGAAATCGTATCGAATATACAAAGTTAGAGTGAGTTCCTTTAGACTCCCGAACTTGTATCGCGTTGGAAACAATTACAAGTACAGGAAGAAGTCGTTCATTAGCGAGACGTTCATTATGTCTCAGGACTCCTTTTTGAATAGCAAAGATGGAAAAAACTTTGGTTCATCGTGTGGCTTAAGTGGTTTGGTACGACTGTCTGAATGCAATGACGAAGTAAAACATCATTTGATAAGCTGCCACCTGTCTAAAGAGGTTTTTACGTGAAAATGAGCTAATCTTGGCAATTAACCTCGCTCAGGAGTATAAACAAAAAAATGTGGATTTGCTATAGGAATCGCCACACTCTGGGGAAGTTTTGGAGAAGTGCAAAGGTAACATGTCAGTATCCTGATCATGATGGTGTCAGGAAGCGTATCCAAGGCAGAGATGTAATTACCTTGCATATGTCTCAGGACATTCAAAAGCTTTTTGGAGTTATTATTCCAGTTGAATCAGGTAGTCTTCAGTAACATTTTCTGTTATCTATTTTTGTCACGTAACATATCTGCTCGAAAAGAGAAGAAATTCTTTATTAGATGAAGGGTACTTAAGTACATATCACGTTGAAAAAAATAGATCTATGTGTAAGTGCTTTTAATTACAGATGGAAATATGTACAATGTTGCTCGATCGATAATCAATAATGTTTTTGTAGAAGATCAAATCACCTGACAACGCAAAATACTTACTCATGCGTACGGTTCACAATTATTTGCAGTTTGCGGTCAGTTTTCCTCAGTTTGTATGATTCTCATTAACCAGTATGATTAAATTTGCAGACTAAAACACCCCTTATTTGATTAAGAATAATAAAAGTAAACAGTGCATGTCGGTTTTTTTTTATTCCTGATGGATGCTACTGGTCTTTACTTTAACTGAGAAATTTGCAATCGCTTACCTCAGCTCTCTGTGTCTCATGCCGTAAGAAGCACAAGAAAAAAGTTGATGATAGTGAGTATTGGCTGAGACAAGAAGAATCGGAGAAGAATCTACGGTCCCCAGAAATGCCACTTTTAAACACGAGACAACTAAGGTAAATTGAATTAAGTGTTATTTGTTTTATTTAAAACTATCGTTCAGATTATAAGATACCCGAAAAACTCTCTCCACCGATTTTTTCTTACATTCTGTTCATCAAAAGTTTCAATAATTATAAAGGCTTTCTTGTTGATCGTCTTAATAGTAACAGTTTCCAGGATCCAAGGGAAGCAAAAGAGAGAACAATTTTCTGTGTAGCTAGGTAAGGCGACATGCCGGCTTTATACTTCCGGCGTGATAACGATAATGATGACAACAATGAGCAAAAAGCACCGTCCGCTAATGATGACGATTATCATAGTTATTAACAAATCTCAGTTATAGTCCTGAAAAAAATCTCAGGGGGTCCTTTGAACAATCCACTTAATCTCGCCAGAAGTCAAAGCGGCCTACACTCATTCTAAGGTTCGTGCGATTTTACGACGAATTTTCAATTCCGGTGTGTTGCATGCGCGACTTTTGATAGAAAAAACCTGCACGCGCCATAACTTAAAAGAACGTGTCAGCGGAATGAATCAAATCTCTATCACTTTGCATACATTCTTGGGAACAGAAAAAATTACTTAGAGCAAACATTCTAAGTATAGTGTTCATTCCGTGCAATGGGGCATAAATAAAAGGTTCTGGTGGAAAAGACACCTTATTTTATACCACTGATGACAAGCAAAAAGGTTATATGGGTACCCGGTTAAAAATATATTGATAACTCTATTAATTAATACCAGTTCTAATTTAAAGGAGAAAGTTATGATAATAAAATAAAAGTTGCCTGTACCACGAAGCATGCCTTCACTGTTTAGACTGATAGTCCTAGAGCTTTTTGAGCATGTATTCGAATATC